AATAAATTTAATAAATTTATAAAATATTTATAAAATAAGTTTTTTTATTTTTGTAGTAAATAATATATTAAATATAAAAAAAAATATTTCAAAATTTTAAAATTTTACTTTTATTAATAAATCTACCATCTTAAGTTAATAATAATCTAATATTAATTCTAATAATCTTACGAATATTCTTAATATTGGTTTATTTTTTAATTTTTTTAATTCTTCTTTTAATACTCCCTCAAACTCAAAACATAATAAAGTAAAATAATTTTTAAAAAAATTATTTATTAGTATTAAAAATTTATTAGAAAACTGGAAATTATTAAAAAAAAATATCTAATTCTTATAATAATAATTAAAAATATTTTAATAATACCTATTATATTAGTAAATTTAAAAAAAATATTTAATAAAACTAAAAATATTATAATATATTAATAAAATTAATTATAACTAAAAATTATATATTAAACTATAATTATTTAATTATAATAATAAAAATAAAAGAAATTTATTTTTAATCTTATTTCTAAAAAAAAAAGATCTTTAAAAAAAAAAATATTAATAATAAAAATAATGATGTGTGTGAATTGAATACCTGATTGGGATGCTTGTAAGTTTTAATTAAGAAGCAGCCCCTCTCGTATTATGATACGATGTGGTCTTGGCGAATTCATGCATAATGCTAGCATAGTGGTGCACCGCGTGCACAATGATAGTTACTGAAGGCTACAGTGCTGGTTTAAGTGTCAGAAGAAGCCGGTATCAGTACTTCCACTCAATGCTGGATTCGAGCACTGAAGAGTTATAAATTCCGAGCATTTTCCCACTTCCTAATAATGTTCTTCCTACCAGTGTATCACTACAAAACATACGAAACACACATCCCCAAGCATTATCTGCATCATCAAGACTTATTCATCTTAAACAATTTTTCTTTTCACTTAGTACGGTATAATTTTGCATCATGACGACTCCTTCAATCCAAAAGCCTCGCGGACGAGGTCGTCCTAAGAAATCCTCCAATACCGGGAATGCTATACCACAAAAAATCCAAGAACGCCGTGGGCGAGGTCGTCCTAAGAAATCCTCCAATACCGGGAATGCTATACCACAAAAAATCCAAGAACGCCGTGGGCGAGGGCGGCCAAAAAAGGCTGCCGCTCTTGAGAGTAGCAGTAATCAGCCGCTAGGAAATTTGACATCTCGTCCTATTCGGCAACTAGGGTCCAGTCGACTGGTGGAGGACAAAACATACCATCGCAATATTCCTCCCTTAGAGCAGCAGGTAGAACCTCGGCTTGAATTAGAGAATTCTATGACTGGTCCGCAGGCTTTAGACAACCCTTCTCGAACTAGTGCTTGGTCTACCTACCGAGGTGAAGAAGTCTGTGACGCTATCGAAGCGGATTTGGACAATAAACTCGTTGTGAAGCGCCGGGCGCAAAGTACAGAATATCAAATATCGAGAATGTGGGCCATCTGGGAAGCGTAAGTGGTTTATTCACTCTCTCATGACAGTTGGTATATTAATGCTTTCCGAACAGATTCTCTAAGCATCGACGGGAGAATAACCCGCTTAACCACCTAAGAGGCGTGGATCCTAGAGAACTTAAAGTTTTCACAGATTGGTACCTTACTATTAGTAAGCGAACACGCAAGCAGAAGTCGATGAAAACACACATACGCCGGTGGAGGATGATGTACGATAAGCTTACAGGGCAAAGGTATCAACCAGATCGTGATGATGTTATGGATGTAAGTTCATTCTTCTCAAATGTTTAAAGAATCGCTTCTGATGAATTGTGGTTGTAGTATATTGGGACACAGATGTCTGACAAACATAACCTGACGGCATCGACAAATGATAAACCAATTGCAAATGCGGACGATCTTCTTGATATTCTGTATCACCATTGGCATTTATCGGAGCAGACCTTTCAAATCGAAAGGTTTCGGATTCAATTGGGTTTAGTAATCCTTATAGCGTGCTCAACTTCATGTCGTCCAGGCTCAATCGTCGAGTCCATCTCGTCTCGTGGGCTATGCTCCGAATATATAGTTGGCGATCCCGCCGGCGCCGAGTCCTACATCGAACCAGATTCTATCAAATACAAAGACATCGAGCTGTTCCTAGTCCACAATGAAGAAAACCGGAACGAGTCTTATTTAACTATGCGCATCCGAGTCCGGCTACAGAAAGGATACCGGAATACAAAGGAACCGTGAGCACTCCAGTCCTATCTTAATCCTTTCAAGATAACGCAATCCTGACAAAATACAACGAATAGAACCATATACAGTTTTACGGAAGTCGATGAGCCTTTAGGGTTCGATGTGATTAGCTATATGCTGGCCCTTGCGTTTGACGACGACGCATTTGCTAGCGAGTACATAAAACAACCCGAGGATCTTTATCAATACCAAAGTCGTGCGGACAAAAAAAGTCTTAGGTTTCATTGGAAAGAGAGCGTAATGGAGACACCGCTGATTCGAGACAGCATTAAAGCTGAGAGGGGATGGGAAATCTCGAAAGAAAAGGGTTTCAGCACACAGAAGTTGAATGATCACTGTCGGAAACTTGGTAAAGAGTTGGGATATCCTCGCCCACTAACCATGTATACATTCCGACGAGGGGCGGGAGAAGCAATGGATTGTAAGTTGTCACCAGTTAAATATTTACAGACCAAAAATCTCACAATAGTATAGCAAATATTTTCGAGGTAGGAAAGCGGAACATTAGCACCGCGGGAAGATGTAAAGCGATGGGACAACTCAGGCCGGAGACATACGATAAGAACTATTCGCCTCAAGCAGCACCCGATATTCAGTCTGCATTCCTCGGCCGGCCATCAAAAGACAAACTAATCCAACTTATGAACCACTTGGCTTTTGAAAGAGATCCGATGGCAAAGCGGGAAGCTGACAAAAATAAAATTGTGGATCTACAAAACGACACAAACTTCAGCGAACTCACCCAGGAACGTGACATCTTTAGGAACAAGTTGATTGATGCTTATAGCTCTATCAAGGAGGCAGAAGAGAAAGACCCAAATCTGCATTCACAGTATATTAAACTGAACCGAAAGATAAATACCTACCGGGAAAAGGCTCGTAGGGAGGCGTGGGACCGAGCCTACAAGCAGTATTTTTCGAATAACGGGACAATCGAGATTGATCGCCAAGCTCAGGGACTAACTACATCTGAGATTACGCCCACAGTTGAAATTCCCGTTGAGAGACTCATCATCGCGGGCCTTTTGTTTGGCGATGGAAAGACTGAGGTAAAAGATTGGATGGCAAGCCGAAATCGCAGGATCGAGGCGATTACGCACATGGTCAACCTTTGTCGGGTCAACCAGCCGCGGCGGTACAAACGTCATATTAAATTGGAGGGCAGCGCGACCCCCCCTCTAGCCGTCGGTGTTTGTGAAATTACCAGCAGTGGAGTCGAAAACGAATCGGATTCCCTTGGGATAGCAGGGGATACTACACTTGAGGGTCTAGCGTCTGAAGGTCCCACCGGCGAAGAGCCAACGTCGGAGAAGCTGCCAACCAATATACACCAACTACAATGTCCCACATGCTTTTATGGCTCCTCTTCATTCCCAAAAACAGCTTTTATCTTCACAAACGGTTGGAGCCTTCAACGCCACTTCCGAGATCAGCATCTCGCGTGCCATAATCCTGGAACACCATATTTTTGTCCTTACCCATCATGTGAATACTCAAACGACCATGAACCAAGCTTCAAGAATCATCTGTCATTAATTCACGACTTTGTAACTTCAAAATCCGATACTGTGTACACTCACAGTGGGAAATTGTAACTAGAAGATCAGAACTCTTGTACAATATCTAATACTCTCAGTTAGCTGCTAATTTATATTTATATACCTCCATCTTTTTGAAGCTAGCCTATTATATCTATAACGGATAACTTGGTTCTATGAGGCTTCGAAGACTACTTCCTCTCGGTAATTATGTAGCTCGTGTTGGCTGTTTAGCATATGCCTTTCTAGTAAGGTAGATGTAGTCCTATAATATGGTTTCAAGAGACTGATTGAACGTGCTACTTTTTCAGCGACACGGATTGTAATAAAAGCCTCGCTTCTAGCTATGTGTCCTCTAAACTAAAGACTGAGGTTAAGGAATCCCACAAACTCTAGATTTGCTGAAAACGCCGTACTTAGATTCAATTCATGTAATTCGACACAACTTCTGGAGACTGGATTCACTCAAGCCTCCAGTGGGCATTTTGGAGTAACGGACATCCCGCAAGTCAAATTGGAGGACTTCCGAGGCATTTGGAGGTCTGAGGGGCATTTGATAGCTTGCTGGGAGGCGTCATTTCCACCCGCAATACAGAGAAATTACTGACATACACACTTGGATACGGAGGGGTAGTTATAAGGAACCAGACCCCTTACAGGTTCCTAAGGCTTTCGTTGGAATTTGTCTACAACGATCTACGCCTCTCTATTCACCTCATAGTAATTCCGAGCACATAGCCGAAACCCAAAGTATTTTATTACTATAACCGATAAAATAACTAAAGCCTGCGAAGATAACCAAGCAGTGTCCACTGAAAACCCTATATGCGATTATGGTTAGGTTGCTCTCGAACTGATATTTTAGTTTCTGCGGGATGGAAGCTCGAATTGGTGCTTACGAGGACGCCGCTGAGTCTTTGTATCGAAGCTGCAGCCGAAGGGGAAGAGCCATGGTCGATTACTTAAGTAGAGAATAAAAAGAACCGTAGCCTATCTAATTTTGTCCCTCAATACACCGCCTTAAGAAAACTCCCGAGGATTTGGATTTGTAAATCTATCCTAAATTTATAAACAAATTCTTTATATTATACATCATGGCGATAAATGCACAGGACTATAGGCTGCTACGATTCGCTATATCTGTAGACATTTAACCTTAGTACTTGGTTAGGATACTTCGCAGAAGTATAAGTATCTTTCTTTGGCGAATATATCTCAGGTTGCATGTTTGAGAAGGATTCTCCACCTTGGAAGCTAAGTGGTTACTAAAATACCCTTCGGGGAAGAAACGGCTCGTAAAATTCCAGTGCCTGATAAGATACTCCTCCGGCAGAGGACTATTTCCCTGATCTTCGAACAACGCTTCCATAGAGGTCGCTGTCGTGATATGCTCCTCATCACTATCCTCTCGGAGCAAACGGGAAGCAAGATTCTTCAACTGCTGGAAAAGGCACTCGCCTTCTTCTTCAAAGTTACCTTGCGGCCATCGTGCAGTAGAATTCAAGAAAATAAGCCAAATATAGATGTGTGGCCCGACGGCAGGTTGATCGGCGCAAATAGTGAGCAAGGTACAAAGTATGCCGAAAGCTATATCTCGGGCCCGTCTCTGCGAATCAAGTTCACTTTTGTGGAAGAGAATAGAAGCAATCCCACAGACCGCCATGTGTGCACCCAATAGTTCGAAACGATAGCCCATACCTTCGACTTCTTTCTTTATCTCTTGCAAAAATGCTGTTTTTTGGGACTCTATCCCCGAAAGAGAGGCAGTGTCGAGAAATGCGTGAAGGAGCACAAACTTTTGTTCAAGATTATTCTCCGGTGTAAGATATCTCCTATATTCGGCATTGAGATCCATTAAAACGTCTTCGGCAAGTTCAAACGAAGATATCGAACTTCTAGCCATATAATAGCAGCTCATTTTTCGTAGAGGGTCCTTCGACAGCACACGGCCGAGTAAACGATAAGTATTGTCAGTACCTGGCTGCAGACGAATCGCCTCGCCGTACCACTCTCGAGCCTTTCCGCCCCAGAAGCCCAGACTGTCTCTCTCTTTTCCACTCCAACTCCTTGCGCGGTAACAGTGGAGTGCGAGATCTCCTAAAATATGTGTCCAAAAGCAGCGAAACGCCGGTACGGCTTCATATAACATGGTAACTTGTGAGTACACGTCAATAAAGAAACTATAGGTGGAATCCGAATTATCCCAAGTTTGTGAGTCCAGCGGGCAGCAGGGCAGTACGTATTCCAGCAATTCGAATGATATGGAGACACCGTATTGAAACCTCTCACACATATTGTATTTCCTGGGCAGATCTCGAATAGCTTGGGGGGCGATAGGAGTTTGAGACGAGTGGAAAAAATTGTAGAAGCACCCTACAAATGCTAAGCAAAGTTTGCTGAATGCTTGCAGCGTTTCCTGCTGGAATTGCGGCTTTGTCTTTCGTTCGAATAGTTTTTTACAGACATCTCTAAGTTTGGTCTCCACTAACACTATCTCGTCGTAAGTTTGACGTATATTTAAGGGTAGAGTTGCCAGTATCTGCTCATCGGTCCATATCTGCTGGTTGGTGTCAGAAGATACAGGGGTACTGAGGGTGTGGGCAGATGCCGCTTGGTTGGATTCAGAATCTCTAAAGGTACCGCCTAGTTAACCACACATCCGATATTCAAAGGGAGGCTTTTCAAGCTGTACCTTAGATATGACATCTTTAGATCTCTTTAGATCGATAGTAAGTTGGTAGTAGGTGTTATAGGCTGAATCGAAAAAAAAGTATAAACTTCTGGGTAGTATCTCGGATTTGCGTTGGGGCGCTTGCCAAAGTTCGCTACTCATGGGTCTCAATAATTGATGTATTACTCCTTGATCAAGTAGTGGGGTACCACGAGTTTAAGTAGTCACGCTATGGCAGGCTTCTAGGCCCTATATAACACAGCATATTAATACTAATTCCGCTCAAGATCGCCCATACGACGTATTAATGCAGGTGAGAAGATAATCAGATAGACGCAATTCAAAAAACAATCACAAATTCAAGTAACGGTTATTCTGATAATTGATTGATAGCTTTCAGGAACAGTTTAAGAAATATCAGATCGAGTATCTTTCGCTGAAAATATAAATAATCAGTATTCCATTTATTAGTACGTACCTAAGTATGTTCCCGCACTGAACGTCTGTTCGATTGGAGCGGGTACCCAGGGCGAAATGCCAAACTTCGGTCGAGACGAAAGTTCCCGCCCTTCCCTTGAAAACGATAAGCTCCACTTGTGAAAGTTTTTTTGGATTTGTTGCGACTCTGCTTGTGAAGTATATCGTGCTCGAGCTCGGAATGTCCGCTATAGTGGCTTAAACCCAAATTTTCCGTATTCTGATCAGCTGAATGCCGCCCCAATGATGCTACATGTATCTGACAGACACTCCGCCGTGTTCGTGGCCTTCGAAGCTTCGCCAGTTGGGGAGAAAAGGAAAAACGGCGGCTTCGAAGAGGGTATCTGATACGAGGATGTCTGACGGACAAATCTATATGCTATTTCAAACCTCAGAGACTTACAGAAGATACTATCTTGACCTTCGGGGACTAGGCCGGTTTACTCCAACTTGCTAAAGGCGTTCCGATGGTATACTGGTAATCAAATGACTAGTAGCTAAATCTCGAAGCCGTTGTAATTCGGCAACGAAAGGGCATGTTAAAAGGCCCTATAAAAAGTATATGGCGCAGTTCGTATACCGTATATAACATGTGATTTCGTAAAGTTCTTAAAGTAGGCCCCATTATTTTGTAACGTTCCATATAGTTACCACCCCTACCGTATAAAGTCAAGCCGCTGGCCACAAGTCACGTAACGTGAGAACCTTTTTCATTCCTCAAGTCCGCTGGAATCTGAACTCATCTACCATATGCCTTCAATTTCAGGTTCGCCATGGCTTCTTTACAACAATTTGCCAAATCAGGTTGCTTTCAAATTCTCTCAATTGAGATAATATGCTTGGATGCCGCAATTTTTGAACGTTATGAGAATCGCATTTTGCTAGCCTTCACTGGCTCTATGACAGGCGCCTCAACATCGTTCGCTTTGACCGACTTTGTTATTCCTCTAAGTTCTAGTATTGAGATCCAGTTAATTATTGCAGTTTACGCCGCACTCGCAGACGCTATCACTACAGAGTCGATGGACATTACGATTAATATCCCAAATTCTTCTCTTGTCCTTGCAGTTAACACAATGGTCTCTTCTGGTACCTACAACATCGTACCACGATCTCACGAGTCACAAAACACCAATTTTTGCCTGGCGAAATTGTGTGTCTTGATCGAAGTTCTAAAGGAGCATGGGGTTCAAGTCAGGGCGGAGTTCAGAAATCTCGAAGCAGTCACAACAATCGATGTATATAATAAATTCGCATCCATTTTCTTCGATTACTATTTTACATAATCCGGTTATCAAAAGGCCTTTTCCTCCAATCAAGTACCATCGAGCCCTCGATATATACATCGGGAACTAGTCGCCATTTATTATCGATCACCTTAGTTCCTTGGTTAAACCCCTCAAACACGAAGAGAACATTTCATTGGATTCTCCCGCACGCTCAATATGAGTCGGACCAATCGTAACTATGTTCGTTGAAACGACTGAGCCCACTGCGATAGAACTCCGTGAGTAATAGGGTCTTTAAGTACTCGTAGTTCGGAGTCGAATAGTAGCTTAGCTCTCGAATGTATTTTAACATGTGAGAGATATTTAATGGTAAATTATAGCAAAGATCAGAAGCCGCAATGCAATTCTTTACCCTCCCTATTTCACGCTCACGAGAAATTATGTTGGAGACCTCGATCCCTTGCCAAGGCAGCTGTCCTCTGAGAAAGTAAATGAGCATATAGACAAGAGATTCAAGGTCATCTCGACGGGAGGGAAGATGGCCGTTGTGGATGTTAACAGAGCAAAATCGTAACGTCCCAATGATGTTGCCGGTTTTACAAATTTCATCGTTCCGGTGCTCTTGTGTTTTGGGATCTTTCCAGAAGCTGGATACTCCGAAATCGATCAGGAAAAGGGAGTTTTTTCCGTTGCCGCGGCCCATGACTAAATTTTCTGGCTTGATATCGCTGTGAAGAACCCCTCTTTCGTGAACATCCTCGAGATGACTTAACTATATTCCAGGTAGAAGTTAGATAATTCTTTCTTCTTTCGAACGCTATACGATTCCAGAATTCTATTTACCAATTCGAACCCAAGTTTTAACACCGTACCCACACTGAAGCTTCCGCCACAGAGCCTAAGAAAATATCCTAGATTCCGGCCGAGAGGCTGCATAAACAGATATGAGCCTTCTGGGTAGGTGAAATAGCTGTGAATTACCGGAATACTACAAATTCCCTGAAGCTGTCTTCACCGATGTCAGTATCGCAATTAAGATACGATAAAGTTTTGTACTACCTGTACATCATATATTCACGCTCAAGAAGCTTATGCCTTCTATGGCAAGATTCAGCCTTCACGACTAGCTCCACTATGCGACCCGGGGGCACACTATTACCTAAAGCGTATATCGTCAATACTTTATAGATATCTTGGGAAGTCTAATTTAAAACGAGCAGCGGGGTACACGTACATAAGAAGGTTTCCCCGTGTGCTCCCGCACCGATTCTCCCTCTAAAAATATACTTCCCATGAAATCGAGATATCATTGTCGTTTCCGTCTGCATTATGTGAATTATCGTTTTCGTCGCCTTATTTCAGGGGCGTGGTGGTCTAAGGGTCAATTATACAGAGGTCGTGGCTTAGTTGGTTGACGGACTAATGATATAAGTTCTAGGAATCTTAGGGACTAAGGAGTAGGCTTTTATAAAGTTTCCATAAGATCCTGATTTTAAACATACATGTTATTGACTAGCTATTCGGCAGCTTGCAGAGAGGCCAATAATAGTTTGACTTTCAGACAGCACTAGACCGGATAAGCAGTGCCTACCCTTCTATACTAAATACGTAACTCCGACGAAGGATCCCAGACATATCTCTCATTTTTAATTGAGTGCATTAGCTTTCGATCCAACCCCGCCAGCCATATATATTCGCTATGAACTACTTGCAATAAGTCACTCCTGGCCGACCTAAAAGCGGTGCCCACATAGTCGCCAAGTAGGAGCCGTACGAACAGGTCATTGAAATCTCGCAATGCCACGAATCTTTCTAAATGGGTACGAATGCTACCAAGAAGTATACAAGCAGGGTGAATATCAGTAATCTCCATCAAATCCGATCGGTATGGTTTTTTCTGTTCCAAAGGAATAACTAGGGAGTATAACCGCAAAGTTTGCAAGCACATAGCCTTGCCGAAATCGATCTTCTCCTAGAGGATGGCTCCAATGTTAAAGAAATGATCCTCCACACCGCATAACATGCCAACGATAGCTCGAACTTACCACACTACAGCTAACCCGTGGGGGAATATCGGTGACGATGAGCGATTTCAATCTTGGAACGGCACGGAAGATACCATTAAAGACGGTCGCGTCCTCGAGCACCTCCCACTGCCTTAAAGGAAAGGCCCAGCATAGTACTGTAAGATTAGAAAATGATGATAATGCCGATAGCAATGGTTTCAAGGGTGATGTTGTTCTATCAAATCTTTCCCTTGGATAAGACCAATCCTCTTCAGCCCACCACGTTTTAGGCGCGACGTAATACTCTACCGGAGCCTTTAGAATCAATGTTTGCAGAGTATGAATAGATGAAAGTACTGAACATAAATCGGTCCCACCAGTGATAGACTCCTCCGCTGGTCGCGGAAGGAAGGACTCGAAAAAGAGTTCTCCTGGTCCACTGAAATTTGTAGAATTAATGCGAAATCTTTCCGGGCCAGCCCTCTCGATGAAACCAGTGACCTTGTCAAACGGCATTTCTAAGGACTCGAACACGGCTGGGTTCCGGCTAACCCATAATTCTAGCCACCGGTGTAGTTAGAATAGAACTATTCAGCGAGATATCTATTGGCAAGGGATTTTGTGCGGAGCTTACCCATGGGACTGGAGCTACCACCAGCCGCTCCTACAGCCCCCTTTTTCCAGACCCAGCTACATTGACTTGGTTCAGTGCGACCATTGGGTGTTAATACTGAGGGCCCCGTTTTGGACCACCATACTTCATCTCCAATTTGAAGTAGGGAACCCTCAGAGTAAAAGGCACATCCACGATGAAAATATGGGTCTTCGAGGCGTGATAAATCCCGTACAATCCGATTTATAATCCAGTTGTTTGCTTGCGGGACCGCTCTACTCTGATTTCGATTTTTGTAGTCGGTAAGCCATGCTACTAATTGTTCATACTGAGGATTTTCAGCGTATATCTGAATAAGACGGTATATCTCAATAATTGACAAGTACTCTAGCACCATGAAAACTATTTCGATTGATAGCAGGTCCATTTAAATAATAGTAAATCAAGTCCGGCGAATAATGGGGATTGGATGCGTTTGTAAAGAGCTAGAGTCGGGTGAGGTATCAGAGGCAATATATAATCAAAGCAAGGAGCTCATCACTTGTTTCTGCACTATCAAAATGTCTTGTGTTCAGGTTTCTGTACACTTGAAGTTCATTCTTGACCTAATTCGATTGATATTGCTAAGGTCCCCTGGCTATCTTACTTGCGTAGCCAATTGTGTGATAAAATACAATAAGGAACTAGCTTTCCCATCAATCCAATTTGTAAAGCAAGGAACCGGAAGAAGATCTCAAGAAGGTGTGTGAATAATAGCAATTGCAATCAACACTATCAAACTTAAGCTCCTCATAATTGGTAATTGCGGTCCAGGTATAACATTTATGGGCAACGTATTGGTTTTCATAGCGGGTTCCATGAAAGATGTCGATTTTAAGCCGCTGAAAGCTCGGAGAGTCTACAAACCTCTGCAGAGTACTTTCAACCATATAGCGGTTGATTTCTGGAGCGCTGAAACCTCTCGGCCCCAATGAACGAAATGTAAGCGCCCTAGATGCAGATATTTCGAGAGCTTGCAGCGACTCAGGGATTTGTAGGGTATCCTAATTGTATCATTAATCCGAGATTCTACAGAGCGCGCGATGATTTCGAACACATGATTTAACTCACCAAATTACAAACCGAAACGGGGCCGATACGGAGCAAACGCGTAATCCTGATGCTGGGGAAAATCTCCCAGATTTTATTAAGACAGGCAACGTAATCATCCCCAAATCCAGGACCGTCAATTTCTAGAGTATTAAGCCGGATCTGCGCCACCCCTAGGGCGTGGAGTCCGGCTATCAAATCTTCAGATCCATTTTTTACAAAGTTGCCGACCCTAAGATGTCTGAGGTATGGCATCCTTGGCGCCACCGAGAGGATCTCCAGTGGTGTATATCTGCAAAGCTGCAAGGTATGGATGCGAGGCAGTTCAATTCGAACTCTGAGTGTAGCAAAAAAGTCCCCTATCTCCAATTGGTTATGCTATTCAAGCTTTTCGGCGTGTATGTGGTAGATATGTGTCTTACGGTCAGTATAGTTACCTAGCTCTACTGTGGTGCCCCCGCTAGAGATTCTCAGAGGTGGTATATGGGCAAGATTATCATTTGCCATCGACAAAAAAGTCCGATCAACTATTTTGTGACAAATAAAGTTGTATTCATCGATGAAATTTGGTTCGTTTTCAAGACGAAGCGACCATAAAATTAGGTCTGGTAGCTGAAGTTTCGAAAACGTATTTTGAAGTATGTTTTTGCTGAGCTTTAGGATCTCCATATTTCGCAGGATACCAATGCTACGGTGAGCTGTTTTAGTATATATCAAGTCGTGGGTAGAATGTGCCTCTCTTTCTGACATCTAGGAACGATACCAGGCAGGATTTAGCAGATGGTTAGTTTATATATCCACTACCGGTGATAAAACGGCAAGTTGGAGATCCCCAGATAGTCTTAAACTATTAAAGTGTTGACTGTTGGAATATCAAAACAGGAGATTAAAACGCTAGTCCGTATCTGGGATCCCATCCGAATGGGTTTAATGCCAACGCCAACACAAGTCGGTGTCCGAAATCCAACGTTCAATCTGTGGAACATTAATATTAGAAGTAGTAATACGCTAAAGCGACAAGGGTAAAAATCACAAGACAGGATTTTTCCTCCCAGTTGGAATGAACCCAAAAAAGACACTTTCAAGCGAGAATGGGACTTCCTCCAGCCGGTCCGAATCAGCCCTCATGCAGGGGTGGCGCCAATGTCGGAAAACTTTTTGGTAACGAATGAAATTCCACGGCTTTTATGAGAAGTGGATGCTGAATATGGGATTATATGCGCTAGCCGTCGAAGGGGTCCATCTTTCGCACACAATCGCTGGTGGCAAAGATGCCGAGTGCAACGTTTTGCAAAAGAAACATTTCTGTCCGAGAAGTAATACGCTAAATTCAGCCGGATCGGGATATCTCAAAAGCAGGAAACTTAGCGCATTACTCCTCAAAGAAAAATTTGCAATAGAGGAGTAATGCGCTAAGTTTCTCGTCCAATGAGGAATCGTCCACGGGCTGCGCTTCCCGGACTGTGGAGACGCGCTAGGCTTTCAGGCAAATTCACTCGTTGCGGATAAGGGCTTTCATTGTTGTATATCAGCATGTCTCCACTACAAGATATCAAAAGATAGAGTCTTTCGCCGAAACATTCTGATCAGGACATTTTACTTCAAAGCCTTTTTCACTCTTGAATCCATGTGCTGAGAGCAATTCGTTATAACAGAATTCATTATATCTATGATCTAACCAATTCGAGTGAGCTGACGAGGTCCCCGCTTTCAGCCGTTTCTTCTTCTGCCGCAGGCAACCACCAGTAACTCGTGTCCGTAAGTATCTCCCACGACCGATGCCGAAATGCTAGGATGGTATCATCTTGGTTGTCACACCTTTTCCCACAAATTATATCACAACGTTCCAGTCCCTCGTTTGTCTCCTGCACGTACTGTAGCCATGTTTCCATGCCTTGAATCCTCCCAACATGTTGGGCAATGGCTCGCTCATGCTCCCGTTCCAAATGGAGGGCTAGAATACCGAATTTAACGTCTTCTGACATCATAGTGGACACCCATTCGCAATATTTTTTAGCGCTTGCTAGGGTTGTAAAAAGATAGAGCATATGTTCGCAATCGGAGAATATAGAGGGCGGTGGCGTGAGGCAATAACCGAAGTTATTTTCTTTGACAAATAGGGCGACAATGTTGATACCGCCCACATAGTATAGCCAAGCTCCGGGACTAACGGTTGTAGTCTTGTTGAACGTCGGAGTTATCGTCCGAGTCCCTGTCCGTTGCTGGAAGACAATCCTCGCATGATTTTCACTTCGATATAGTTAGTAAATGGTCATATCTAAATTCCGCCTGGCAGATGTCGTACCGCAGTCTAGTGATCGCGCATAAGAGTATAATCTCTATTGGCTGCCACATCACCGTATATTTTTTCCAGGGCTCGGAGAGCACCCTCTGAATGATAATTTCTGGAAGCCCAGCTTGCGCAAGGCTTTGGCCGTAGGTTGAGGAATCATGACTTTTGTGAGTTTGAGATACCACGATTGTTCTTACCACTCTCCACAAATCTTCAGTATCTTTGATAAGCTCTCTTTGTGTGTATATGACCTCTGGGTCAATGGAAAGACCCGTGATCTTAAGAAACATAAGGACTTCTTGCTTAGAAACATCTGAATTGCCGGTAACTGGGCTTTGTTTAAACATTCTTCTGATGGTTTGAGCGTAATGCTGAAGAGCCATATTGCAAGGTTTAATCAATATTGTATATCCGTTAGGAAACCCAAAGAAAAGTTGGGATCATCAACCAGCACTCCTCCGGACAGAGCTTTCGCTTTAAAAAGAGTAGCGGACCAAGGGGTGTGAATAACAAAACCGAGCACCTGAAAACAATCGACTAGCATAGCCGTAAAGGGAGAAAGGAAAAGAAAAAAGAGAAAAAAATAGAGGCACATGCTCTCAAAAACAATTAAGCTGACCAACGTAGTAGCTTCCACCCCACCACTCAAGGCTCATTCGCGGAATAAAGCTCATTCGCGGAATAAAGCTCATCGTCCGTAGCCGTAGACTCTTGGTTGTTTCGGTCGCCCTGCCCGAAACGGTGGTTAGCCATATGTCTAATTTTTGATAACAAACTCCCCTGTAGTATCCAACAGATATATTGTATTGTACCTTATTCTTGATGACATAATATCTATTGCGGACAGCAAAGAGGGTAAAGTTTGTATTGTATTCGCTGTTCAAGGTTGTTTGGATGGAGGTGAAATCATCCTGTCTCTCTCGAAGGACAAGTAGTCGTTTTTCCATATCCTCACTCCACCTGTATCTTTCACCGCTTGGGGCCATTTTTTTGCTTTTATTTTAATTTTTATTTTTATTTTATTTTTTGGAGGGGGTGGTGGAATATGGAGAGCTGGTAGAAAAGTAACGGTTGCTAACTTCTCTGTGTTTTCGACTGATTCAATGTTGACTTGACGTCGAAATCCTTGAAAGTTAAATACCATTTAAACGATGCAATACGGCAGCCCAAGGCCCTGCTGCGTGTTGTACGGGTCACCTGGTTGGCTTTTGGAGCATGGCTTATGTCTCGCCTTTAGGCGGATTGGCTGTATTGGAGGCTTGCTGTGCCCCTCACATACAGATCGGATGGACATAAATAGTCCCTCAGATCAGGTCACACCTCCAACTTCTATAGGACCGCGTCGTTCAATCAGACTCTTAGTTATTTTGCAAAAAAACGAAATGGACCCGAGCGATTTTGCTTCTCATCTATTAAATGATTACTCCGGTACCCTATCGCCAGGGTACCACGCTATCTGCGACACAGTTACGCCAAGCTTCGCGCAATATGTGCAACCACAGACTCCTCGGACACCTCGTAGGGGATCCACTGTGCACGGTGGTACCAGCGCCCATGCCACACCTAACTACGATGGAGCGTCAGGTTCAGAGCCCAACCAAGCCTTCCAAACACCTATGCAAACGGAAAACACAGGGCTTCTGGCCTATACCCTACCAGCTCAGACAATGATAGGTAGAATCAAAACCCTTGAAGCCCAGTAAGTTTCCTGAGAAATAGGCCCTCCCACCTACCAGACTATTGATTTCTTTACAGGGTTAAATCTATGACAGAAATGTACGTTGTTTGCATGTTTGGTATCCATTATCGCGCCCTAAATTCGAATTCAAAGGTCTGACTTCTAAAGGCTTACCCTCATGAGAAAAGCGATGGCCATGTGGGTAGCCCTAAAAATAAGCTGAACTTACATTTGGTTGCTCTCGCTGACACTGGAAAAAGAGACCCCTCCGAAAACCAATCGATTACGCAAAAGTGGGTATAATAACTTAGATCCCTGATGTTCGTATCTCGCTAATTAGAAATATGGCACATTGCCAGGTTTGCTGTTCATGAAGCAAGCATGTTGTAAGCTTTTTTCGTCCGGGACCCTTGGCCGCAGCTCGCTAATGGACTATCTCGCAGGGCCCTGGGAACAAATACAGAAAGAGTATACAAGGAACTGACAGATGTCAGAACAGAACAGAAGGCAGACCGAAGCATGTTGGAAGGACTTCGGGAGCAAATTGAGTCCCTACGGAGCGAACTGAGAATTTTCCAGTCAACGGTGGGAACAGAAGATATAGCCAAACCAGATCCTAATGGTTCTGTGAGGGCGTATGTTAAATAGAAAGCTAGCCCCAATCTAACTACCAGGCATCTTGCATTTTACTTCATTAATTTCGATTGGTTTTTTTCCCCCCAAACCTTCGTACTTTGAATTGTGTTGAATCCAACGAGATCAGCCGAATCCGAGTCCAGCGGGCTAGAAACATCAAGACCAGCGTCGGCCTGCCAAACCTTGCATCCAATGCCAGGACCACCATATAGCGACCAAGAGAACTTATACATTCTGTATTTGTTACCGAGCGTCGAGTGTCTGAGCCGTAACAGAGCGGAAAGTATGCGTACATTTCTTCTAAGAGGGTATCAGGTTGATCGCTCAATAGATGGACTAGTCAAGAAAATGCAGGGGCTCAAAGCGCGGTACCGACTCGTGAATGACCAAGGGAACTTAGACCAGGGTCAAATCCACGCCGCCATGGACGAAATTCTTGCGGAGAGCGTGGATACAAATATAATTGACCCTCGATAACCAAAAATGATCATATATAACTTGCCACCGAGCCTGCAGTGCACTATCACCTGAAACGACATTATCCTCCAACTTTTAATTTCATTTTTTTTTTTTCTAAATCTTCCTAGACAAGAACAAGCAGCAACATATTTTCGTGGGCGACAGCAGAAAACCCACCGAACCAGTCTCGTAACCAGTAACCAGAAGGACGAAAAAATGGCAACATCAACCTACACCCAGCAACACATGCACTTCGCTGGGAGGTGCCAGCAATGCGCGGAAACAGAAACGACCCGCACTCTCCTAGAGATGGAGCTACAGGCTCTCTCAACCGAAAACATCAAGCTTCGAGAGGAACTTGGCCGCGAACACAAAAGAATGATTGAATCCATAGATGCCCTGCACCAGCAATATGAGGAAAAAATTCAAAAACTCAATAAGGAACATCTAAAAAGCCAAAAGAAAACCCTGGAAGACATTTTCAACCTACATACCCGCAACCTAGACATCCGAAATAATCACACCGATACCATGCTCTCGAACGAGATCTCGATGTTGAAGGTCCGCGGTCGCACCAGACCGAACCGGTGTCTTTCTCAATCACGCGCGAGCCAAGGGCGACAAGAAGACACCGACTACTCTCCCAAAGTCTCTGAAATAGCGAGAACCCCCGAGGCCTCTATCGACAAACAGATTTCCCAATGCTAGATGAAGTCTGCTTTTTTCTCTTCTAAATTCTATCAAGGGGTCGAGGCCTTGTTGACATTGCCCGTACCCTTCGTAGAGACCATTCATTTTGGTCTCTTTCGAGATTATCCGCAACTTCCTTCATTTGGCATGTCCTACGATGTATTGTATTCAAGAATATCATAGTTTCTTCAATAAACTCGTTTCTGACTCGTACGTCATGTTCCAGACTTGAAACCCGGGTCCGTAAAGTAACGTTCTCATTTTTGAGTTGCTGATAGGTTGCGGGGCTCTTGCACTCGTTTGGCCTTTTGTTATCTTTGGCTGGAACTGGAGGAGGGCGATCTGATGTTTGCCTCTCCATAGCTTTTTACGCTGGTGGAGTGACCGACGACTTTGAAAGGGTAAGAAAAAGAGAAAATCAAAATAAATCAGCGAAAATGGATAGGACGACGTAGGATTAAAAATCCCCAACAGAGTGCATGGAGGCTTGATACTATTCGTAAATTCCTCCTTGTATTTCGACTAACTAGATGCCGCCAGGAGGAATTTGGACCCTTTTAAGTGGGTTTGGTTGGCCAGCCTGTTTACCCTATAAACCTGAGACCCTGCCCACTATCTCCAACACCCTATACCCTCCCGTACGGTATATATATCCCTCTCGCGTGCATCTGAGAACCACGAAAAATATCAAGCACTGCATTTCAACTGCCTTAAAAATGGATAACCACCGCGATCGCAACGTTAGCCGGCCGGTGACCACCTGGATGGCTAGTCCGTCCTCGTTGACTCAATCACAAAAAGCTAAGCCATTTGCTCCACTACCTGTGATCGCTGAGGCTACTACCTCGAGGCACAATACGGCCATAGATCGAAACCAGACTAATCGAAAACCGTACACAAACGTCGAAATCCACAATATACCTCCAATACAAGATCAGCCTAGTCAACCTTCAATCCCGGTTACCGTCTCAAGCATTTGGCAACATTATCTCAGAATCTGCATAATTCCGCATTGGAATAAATGGTATTTGGCCCTTCACAACCAAGAAATGAACCTGGTTTTAGTAAGAAAAATCACTGCCTCGAGTTTTCACGCTATTCAGGATCTTCCTGCAATCCGACACGAAAACATCGCTACTTTCGAGATTATTTTCGAGAGCCTAGTACCGTCATCTCGAGAGTATTATATAGCAGCCGAATATATGGAGCTAACACTACAACACTTAATCGACTCGGTATTTGACCTTGAGGAAAGTGAGATTGCTACTATCATACGTGAGGTAAGCGTAATGCACGCGTTTGTAGAGATATATTTCATAGCATTCAGGCTAACAATTTCAACGTCCAATGCAGATATTGGACGCCAGAAGCTTTCTCCAGATTAACGGTCTCGACCATTGCGATATCACCCCTTCTCGAGTTTTCATCTCTGCTTCGACCGGAAGTGTTAAGATCGGCGACCCATTCGCAATCAAAAAGATCGATACAAAAAATCGACAAGATGCTCAATCTGGAACTCGATTTACGACGCTCATCCTTGAAATGATGCAACACGGAAGCTCCAGCTTTGATAACCAGCAGCCAGTTATCAAAGAACAAGAGAGGTGGTCATCGGACCTCAAAAACTTTTTGTCCATTTCCTCAACTGCCTCTCCAGCAGAGATGCTCAAGGTTGGACCCGTAGTGCGTATCGGAACTACGATTATCTGTGGACTAACTCAGAACCGCATTATAGAGCCAATATATAACACGATACCGCCACATCAAAACTGGGACTCTGCTCCGTATTGCTCTTCTTGTGATGTATGCGACTTATCGACCATATGAGCTACTATCCTAATATTGCACTATTGGCTCTTCGGACTGAGAAACAGGGATTGCTTTCCCTATCGGCTAAGGAAGTGTTTCCACAGTTCAGATTAAGTGCAATTAATATGTACTTCTTTCAATTTATCTTTACCAAAAAACATGTTACATTCATTCTAGACGAGCGCTACACTCGAAACCTTATTCCTGGCAAATGATGCTATTCTGTCAAATTCGAGATATATTATAACTATGAGACTTGTTATCTGAATAGCAACGAATGCCTTGCAACCGAGCCACCAAAAGCACCTTACGGATAAACCAATTTCCGAAGCTTTAAAGCCTGGGTACCATTGAATGATGTATTTGAAGATTTTTGAAAGGTGAACCTCTGGAGGGGAGGACTGCAAGTACTTCAATCTAGCAATGTCCCCAGCCCTTGGCGAATGTATGGGGGCCGTGATTACCAAAAACGGACACCCGACGTCAACATCTGAGTGGCCTGGCACATCGAGATATGTCGGTGCCAAGTATACGGCCAGAAACTCTGATAGATAATCAAAAGTAACTCTGTAAAGTGCGAAGGGTTGTTCGTGCTGGAATTGGCCCAACTCCCCTTGGAGTAAACTTGTCTTTGCGACTGTGTTGAATTGGTGGGTTGGGATGTAACTCGAGCTTCTAACAATAAAGGGTGGGGTTTGTTGGTTGTGAACGTTATCTTCAGATTCGTTTACGATATGATGTCTACCGTTTTGTAAACGCTGGTATAGAGAAGCCCCGAGAATTAAGAAGCCCGCTCTCTTGGAAATGGTCCATGTTTTGTAGGGTAGGTCCGATCTGTGAATCCCTAGACACCGTCGTCTTTGGGTATCGCGTTTGTGTTGTCGAGTGAAGGGAATATCGATGTCGATATGGATGTATCGTGCTTCGACGCTCCCTACTTTGAATTAGCTTAGCATTTGTAGGCCGAACGAGCACTTCAAATAACCAACTCTCATTATCTTTTATTTTGATCGCTTCCCAATATCCTACTTCAGTTGACATTTTTGCGAAATGGAGTACTTATATCATTAGATGAACGATTACGAGAGGTTTCGAAGTTATTCTTCCTTCTTTATATACATTCAACCAACATGAACCTGCGCAACCGGCTCCATAAACCGGCTCCATAACTACGTTATGCAGACTTTATTTCAATTCCCTTAGGGCGGGCCCAATTAGGTTATAAGTGGTCTCATAGGCTTGCTCTACGAATGGAATCGCGCTTTCAGAACCTGTGTGCGCTTAATCTCAGTAGCGACACTGACTATAGATTGTGTTATGGCCCGTGTTCTCAAATTTTGCATGCCGAAGGAGTTTATTTGAAGCGTAACTACCTATATATACCTGACATCGCTTAGCTGACAGTTGCGAGCCTTATTTTCGGACCCAGCCTTTCTCCGCACCTATCATATGTGGATACAAGAATCATGTCACACACCGGAATTCCGTTCCCCCAGCGTATCGCGGACCGAGCGGGCAACAAACGTCTTGATTCACAGACGCAAGGCTACAGGGGGAAATGTAGAATCAGTACGAGATACTTAAGATTCAACAATGGGAGAGTGTTTAGCGAAGCCAAAGTACGCGAATGGCGCAATATCTTTAGTCTAGGGGGCTGTGATCGATACTCAAAAGATTTGGTTCTTGCCGCCATTGTTTCTCACGATCAACTGAGTGAGCTGGATTTTGACGGGAATATGATCCAACAAGCCAGCAGTAATATAGAATGCCTTTATGGGCGGGAAATGATAACGGCTGCACAGGATTACCTGCCTTTGAGGGATGATTGGTGGTACGTGGATATATATCACGGTATGAAGCAGAAAACAACTCTAGGTTACTTGACAGGACTTGTGCATTAACCCTCCAGCACGTTAGGACCAAATGAAACTGTTCAGGAATTTCTCAAAGCGGAGTTTCTAGAGCGATCCGTTCGAAAAGATGAGTTTACAGACGGCGAAATATTTAGAAAGATCAGACTATATGCACAAGAAGGCAATTTTGAGAGTAGTCGAAAGTGGTGGTCCCGGCTATCTCCGACAAAAGCGAACAATCTCAAACAGCTCTTAAAAAATAATTCCCTATCTTCGAAGTTCGATTCGCTCCTTAAATTCCCCGGCCTATGGCCAGATATCCAGTTGGGGATGTTTCATACTTTGCATGGCGCCAAGTGTCCAGAGGTTTGGCCCTTCCAGTACCAGGCCGGCTACGGGATTTCGGTTGATTAGTTTACTTTCAGGAAATCTGTACCTATTTAGATAATATCTACGACGTTTGGACGCAAATAATCGGTGAATATCGGCCTACACTCCTTGATCACAGCACTGTTCAAGAAATACAGCTTCTAGATCCCAGGTCGAAATCCGATCGACGGCAAATTGAGGATATGTTTCGTAACCGTAAGGTTTTTTTGCAATACGGCGGCGTTGTAGAATTATCTCGGCTCCAAGCAAACGTTATGCAGCTCCACCGACCAATAATCACGATTTTTACGCTACTCGAAGATTTGAAGTATCTTGAGAGCTGTTCCAAATCCCTTCGGCTAATTTTTAACCCAGCTAGCGGCCAGTCAATGAGAGTTTGCATGAAAGAGTGCTGGAAGTCCCCTAAGCGCATATTACAGATTCAGGAATTTGACGAGTTCCAACCCTTGTCCGAATTGATGAACCACGAAGAATTGTTTTCCGCCGTGTACCTGCAGATCTGGATTTATGCCATGCGCAATTTTCACATGTTATCAAACTCACCCCGAAAAGATCCAGGTTATCCAAAACCCCAATTCAAAGGTACCCATCCATTCTTTGCTTTCAGACTCGCTCTGCTAGCCCGAGAACTTGGGTTTGAAAACACTTTAGTCGACGAAATTTTGCATGAGAATGCATACCGGAATGTCGCAAGAGCTGTACTCTCAGACCTTTTGTCGGTAGATACTAGTATCAGTGAGCTAGAGCCTACTGCAATTTTAGACAGATTGGGGGACAGTATAAAGGATGCATTGGAAAGGATTCATGGACCGATTACAATCGAACATCCAAGCGTTCTAGAGTCTACAAATAATATAGTAAAACTGAAGCGCTGCGGCAGACCATATATGCAGTCACATCAAAATGACCGCAATCACCTTTATCTCCGCCAAATCGTGAATCTCGAGGAACCTTCATCATCTATTACTTCGATCCATGTGAAGAGGGCATTCATTTTTAATTTTTGGGGCGGCTTCCTGTCGGGGATTACTACCGTGAGTTTCACTTTGACCCAATCTTCGCGATGTTCTAACCCAAAATAGGGAGCACTGCTGGCTAGCAATAGGAACCCTGATCATGAGAGAGACACAGCCGAGCATAGCGCCGGAAACCAGCCTACAATTCGGGTAGAACAAATGGAGATTGACGGGTCACGATCGGATACTCAAGCAGGGCCCGAAAGGAGAAAAGGGACGAATAAACGAGATCATGCTAGTGCCCCAATGCAAAATGCGCTAGAGGTGGGTCCGAGGGAAACGAGGGCGAAAGCAGCTAAGAGGCTAGTTCAAGATAATGGCGTCTATAATATCTTTGCAATTACAAATAACGCTCTCATCGTCGGCGTTGATGATCACAATTACCAAGGAAGCATTTCATTTTCCGTATCCGGCTCCCGATACCAACTACATTTTCATAAAAATCTTGTCCAATCCCGCATAATAGATTTGTCAGGATCCTACAACCTTACCGATTGCATTTATCTGCGCAATGGCAAGTCTTACCAAAATAAACAAGCTTCCCAAGCTTTCGCTCTTTCAGAGGGAATCGCCAATATTGTGCTTGTTCCCAAGAATTTGGGCCCGGCAAACATAATACACCAAGTCATTCCCGAAGTACACTCACAACTAGGAGACGATTTGTTTAATATTCTTAGGAGGAAACTTGATCGACGCACAGAATAAATGAACTAGCGCATCAAATATGAAGTACATAGGTTCGAAACAAGACTTATGCCTTAGAAGGGCCGTATTCCTAGAATGGGTCACGACTCAAGACATTTAACGATGTAGATATCAAAATCAACATAATAACTATTATCGAGTAAAGCGCAATGCGAGTACCATCCGCTTAGCCGTTGTAAAAGGAAAACTGTTGCCGCTCTGCTTGCTTGCGAGCCTATAATCCCAACCTTTTAAAAAAAAGAAAGGAGAAAAGAACAAAGGGAAAGGAAAAAAGGATTGAACATAATTCCCGAAAAAAAGATGAATTTGAGAGCACAGATACTAAGAAAGATGTAAGCTTCGGAATACAAATTTGAAAAGAACCTAAGCCTTCATCGTGATTCAAGCCTCAAACGGGATAAGGTCTAGAACAATATGAGCGAGATGTGGGCCTCACACAGGGCTTGAGTCTTAGGCGTGAGGTTTCGAACATAAACCTCAATGGAATGCCCGATTACTTTTGCGCTTGGGGTGTTAGAAAGTTGGTGTGGGCCCAAACGGTCCAAAATGGTTCCCAAACAGGATGTAAGTCCCAAATAGGACGTAAGTCCCAAACAGAACGTAAGTCCAAAATAAGATCTACATCGTAAAACGACCCGAATCCACTCTTAAATCAGCCAGAACTGTTGATAAAACAACTTAAGTAGGTATATTCAAATTTCGGAACTTAGAACGCCGATTTCAAATAGCCCCAAATAGGACACAAATCGCAAACAGGGCGTAAGTCTCAAACAAAACATAAGTCCCATATAAGGCGTAAATCGTAAAAAAACATAGACTTGCCCCTAAGCAGTCGGAGCTATCAGTAAGTCGTTTAAATGGACATATTCGGCCCTCGGAACTTAGATCTAAAACGGTCCCGAATAAGACATAAGTCCCAAACAAGACATAAGTCCCAAACAAGACATAAGTCCCAAACAAGATACAAGCTACTCGAGATGATGTCTCGTACGGCAGATTTACTCAACTGCCGAATTAAGTTGCTTCCAACATTAACAATACTAGTGGCAGCACTAGTAACGGTAGTGGGAGAATCATTCGTTGCTATGTAGACATAACTCTGACCTGAAGCCTGGTACTAAGGATCCGGCCGCAATGAGAGCCCAAAAACACTGTTATCAGGGCGAGCTTTAGTTCTGTCCTATTTGTGACTCAATTGAGAGCTTAATTTTACCTCTTAAACAAGGCACAAACATTATACAGAGTACAAACTAATTAGAGTGAGAATTAACTAATTCTAGGATCTAGCTTGAGCCCGCAATGCAGGTCTTATCCCCACTACATGATTGCTTAGCTGCTCAGAGCTCTAGAGGCATTTTGTGTTGTCTCGTAGCTATACTAATGCATTACTGCTAACCCTATGTAATGTATACATGCACTCGCGCGCGAGGTTTTGCAAAACCTCGTTGGGGTATTTGTAAGATTGTGCTCTGTAAAGCTAGTATTCATCATAATTAAAACCATTTGCCTAGAATATTGCATACTTTTATTACACGCTACATGTTTCGTGAATATCCTAGCAGCAAATTATGGGTGAAATTGTACGAAATATGGAGTGCGATGTGCCTAATTCGACATTCAGGGAACTTGAAGCTTCTAGACGGAACACGAAAGGGGACGAAATAATTAAGCTGTTTTACATGGAGGTGCTTCGGATGCATGATCACATTCAATAGTGTCCACGTTATTGCCTTCCGAGTTTCTGAGGGGTGTATCGGCGCCTTTTCTAGCGCTGCCGATCCGTGGCCTCTTGGTGCCGACGTTATCTTTCCGGTCTAGGTCGTCCTGATTGTCGTGATTCGCGGTTGTTCCTTTCATCTGCTCAGTCATCCGCTTCTGTTTTGCAACCTGCGAGCGTGCTTCGCGGTATGCTATGTGGAGGCCCTCGCGATTCGTTTGCAGACTTTGCCACTGTCTAAGACTTGCATTCTCGGCTCGCAGGTGGTTATTCTCAGTAATAAGCTGAGCGTTCTCGCGAGCAAGTTTTGCCTTGTCCGCAACACAACCTTGGTGTTGCAATTCGATTTTTGAGAGGTGCTGGTGTTCCCGCTCGATGACTTCCTTGATTTGAGAAAGCTGTAGACAAAGTGTTCTGGTATATAGTTCCGTATGGGTGGAAGGTACTCTGGACCAAGTCGGAACTACGGGGGAATAGGTTGGTGGCACCCCAAGGCTTCTCGATGGAGGTAGAGGAGACCTCCGATATTGTGGTAAGTAGAAGGTAGAGTTTATTTGTGGGGGCGGCGGCATATTGGGCTGGTTTGACATTTTTGGTAAGAAGTGGGATATTGCTTTAGTTTATGTTAATGAAGTAGGCCTTTCAAGGTATAAGTTTAGTGTTCGTCAATAGTTGGGGTTAGAAATAGGGAGCCTTATGGGGGTTGCTTTTGATTGATATAGCATACTCCTATCTTATGAGTCTAGTTTAGACCTCATCTAGAATATATAAGGGAGGGGCGCTGAGCCACATTAGAGTATCCCATCTAGCGAAAAAAAAAACACTGAAGAGTTATTGGTTCCATAATACCTAGATACCTCTATTCTATCACCTATATAAAAAAAACCCCGGTAAAATGGAGCAAGGCCCCCAGCCTACCCAACAAACGACAAATCCTGCCTCCACGGAAGCGGATCCGCCTCTTCCGAAATGGGTCATCGACGAGGATGACTATACGAACGTCGAAGATTTTGTATCTAGTTATCAAGAGGATGGATTAAAGTTGGAACAACTCCCAAAACTCGTGTTTAAAAATCGTTGCCTTGAGACAACGTATAGGAGTTACGCAGAATTCCTAGGGCGCGTTCGAGAAAAGAAGAGTAACCCGGTCTGGCAGTGGGTCTGGCTAGCTTGGCTCCAAGAACCAAGTTTGGAGGTTACGTACGACATTCTCGACGAATGGCTTCGTTCTCTTCCTGAATGCCCTTCTATGTGTAATGCTGTCTCTAATTTCGTTACCGATATTTGTAAAGAGGTTAAACCAGTGGGATTCGAGGACCTTGGTTTGGATTTGAAAGTCAATTACCTCAAATGGGTGATCTCAAACTACGAATTACTTAGACAATATCGGAAGAGTAATCATACTTTGGGAATTGCTTATCTCGGGGCGATTAGCCAAAAGATTCCAATTTTGTTCAGCCAGTATGACTTAGACACTATCACGAAGCGGGCCCCACCTTCAGGTCAAATAGATTCTGATGGATTTGTCGGCACAGAGCTATGGGACTGGGCTACAGCGATTTTTAGAGCCTACCCCGCGAACCCTAATACTTCAACTGGCTCTCATAGTTTCGACGCAATAAGGGGGGCCTTGTCAACGTGGTTTGGTTTGTTGGGAAGCTGGCGTAAGGCTGAAGTGGGTTCCCGGGTGCTGAAAGAACCCAGGTCAAAAGATGAACTAAAGGCGATCGATACCGAAATGAAGAGACTAATTACAGCTATATCGGCGGAGGATAGAAATATTTTTTTAGAAAATAAGTTACCAAATGAAGCGCCTGGAATGGGGACAAACCAACCCTCCACGCCTGATATCGAAGAGTCTGAGGAATCGGATGAGGGCCAGGCCGAAACACCTGGAGGTGAGGGCGAAAGTACAGAGACCGAAACAGGCCTGAACCACAGCAGATACAAGGAGATTGGGGATATTTTAGAAAACAATGCTATACCTGGCCGGGAAAAGAGAATGATATCCCTCGAAGGCTTGAGCATTGATGTGTCTAGAGCTACTCTAGCAGAGAAGATTGTGAATGGTGAGGTAGTGTTTGAGGTGGAGACTGATATACAAGAAAAAGACGCAGGTTTTCTCCCTGTAGCATGGCGGAAACAGGGCTTTGGGATCCAAATCCTTATCGAGATCGGGCCCCCGCATAGCCGGATCTATCGCCTTTTTCCAAAAAGCCAGGTACCATTGGCGATAAACCTTAAAGAATATCCAGATCTAGGGGACAAAGGGGGCCGGAAGGCCGGTAGTGTGGAGGTACGAAATGGCTCGCTACAGGTTGGGTTTTTGATTGGGGTGGCCCACAGCAAAGAACTTGGAGAGATCGAGAGCAAACAACAGTTCTTTGTTCACGTTCTTTGGAACGATAACAGTAGGTCATGGGAATTAGCGACTGGTCTTTACGGGATTAGTTACAAAGGGAAAAAGGGTCGCATGTGGTGGCGGACTATTATTCACGACCTGGTACGGGCGGCAGAGCGCAGGCTTATAAAATACTCACGTGAGGGGATTTTTAAGGTAAAGGTTGAACCTAATGATGATAATAATATGGAAAATTGAATTCTATTCAGATTTACCGACATGTAACTAATCCCAAATACAAATTGATACATCTGGCTTTCGAAATGTTATCAGAGTTGACCTTCTCGTGTAGTGAAAAGTGTGCCAGATGGCCATCTGAGCGGCTCGAACACTGGCGACGATGATTCGGGTTTATGCTGGGAGGTGTGACCGTTGCCTCCCAGGACATCCTCCTCTAATATCTTGATGGGGAACGAAAAGCCCTCCTCCCCTTCTCCGTCGTAAGCTTGCCTTGAATGATTTAGTATGTCGCCTTCAAAACCGTCACTGTCTAGTTGGGCAGTCGCTTTTTGCGATAGGTTTCGGTGTCGTGGTAGTGTTACATCAACCGAAGTGAAGATTTTTGGACGTGGATATGAGCTCTACCACCAATATAATTAGCTTACGATTTGAGAGGCGTTGAAACCTATACGTACTGTACAGAGTTTGTCGAAATCGAGGGGCTTGGGTGGCCAGTCAGACGAGTGCTCTGTTGTGTAAACGTAAAGCTGACTGTTTTCTCTGAGTACAAGGGAGAATATCTTAGCCCCGCATCTTTCTTCTAGTTCTTTGAACTTGTGATGGAGCCCTGTATGGAGACGTTTTCTGAATGTCTGGTTTCGGGCGATCGCGGTCCGTTGTGAGGATCTTAACGGGTTCGGGGTTGACATTTCACCGGCTGTAAATAAGAGCTACACGGGATGTGTGTCAGTGGTTGCCCTTAATTGAAAGCATGCGAAAAGAGGCTCATACTTATATGCTAGATTCGCAGGTATATATTTGCCGAGAGCTCGCCACTCAGTGCTAAAGAGAAACTGCAAAGCTAGCTAAACTTCATCCTCATTACACCAACGATGGAAGCGGGAAGTGTCGACAAACTGGCAAATTTGGCCGCTGTCCCCCTCTGGTATGGGCTTGGGTTGGCTGCGTGCGCAGTTTTGCTTTTGCTGTACCAGGTCTCTAAGAGTTGCATCGCCGGAATCAAAAAAGGGATCGTTTACATGTATGGATGTGTTCACCTGCACTCGCCTCTTCGCCTGGGGATAATCGGCACAACAACGAGAGGCCGCTTTGTGGCGTGGGGCCTTTTCGTTATCGCAAATGGTGTGGGGATGTGCCTGGGACCAAACAACACAACCGCCTGGCTTGTTCGAAGTGCAAGGATGGCGTCCATGAACTTTTTCCTCGTCGCATGCGGCGGGAAACTGAACTATTTGGGATACGTTCTCGGCGCCCCATACTCCCTGGCCGAGGCATTACACAAATGGGCGGGTTACATCGGTATCGTACAAGCAACCGTACACGCTTCAATAGCCATCGCACTTAAGAAACCTCAAGATTTATGGACAGATGCAGGGTTTTTAACGGTAGCGGGCTTAGTAGCACTAGCCGTATTGCTGTCGCTAAAGAACAAGATGTACGAAACACATCGATTCATCCATATTGCCCTTGCGATTTTCATTTTCCGCGGGTTCTGGGTTCATTCATGGGAGCATCTGCGTCCACAATATCCTATTACTTGCATTTCTCTCTGGGGCTCTGGTTTCCTGCTCACTAAGGCGATGCAACTTTATCGAATGGCTGTCGGAACCGGCTACGCTCATATACACGTTACACACTTCCAAGGAGCCATACAGCTACGCGTCGAGACTCGTCGCCCTTCCGAATTTCTTCCCGGCCAGTTCTTCTACCTTTGTATGCCTCGTGCGCATCCTTTCGCCTTTCTACAGTCACACCCTTTCATCATAGCCTGGTGGGACGGTATTTCTGGGGAAGGAACCAAAACCGTCTACCTTCTCATACAACCTCGACGAGGGTTTACTTCTCGCCTTTTGATGTTGGGTCATGCAATTTCTTACAGGGGATTTTTAGAGGGACCCTACGGGAAACGGCTTCGTCTGGATGATTATGGAACCGTAATAATTTTGGCTTCCGGTATTGGTATTGCTGGCGTTCTTCCATACATTAAGGACCTGCTATTAGGATTTAACGCTTCTAAGGCCAAGATTAAAAGATTGCATCTTATTTGGATACTTAGTGCTGAAGGTGAGCTTGGTTGACTCCTTTCCAGATTTTCAAGAAACCATCTCATTTTACAAGCGGAAGAAACCTGGGTCAAACCTTGGATGGATGAATTACTAGGGGAGGATCGCGCATATGTAAGCTTTTAGTACTCCGCGAGTTTAGTGAGAGCTACTGTTACTCATAAAGTACTAGATATTGAAAGTGTCCATGTATGTCCCAAACGGCTGGTCTTCCCCTGACGCCATCGCGGGTCGGACTGTCAACATTGGCGAACACGCCCGAATCTCAAAGACCTACACGAACCCTGATACTACGGCCATCTTAGAGACAGAGTTAAATAATAAAAAAGGCAGGGCCATATTGATATGTAAGATCACGAATACTCGCGCGATAGATAGGCTGGCCCCTAATTAATCACCGATTCAAGGTTGTGCGAATGAAAGTCTTGAGATGGATGCAAGGTCTCTGATTTCGAAGCGGCAGCATTCCGATGTAATATTTCGAACAGTTGAGTTGAAGCCGTTTAGCACTAGAGCTCCGCTCCTAAAGACTTCGGATCAGCACGAATAATCGCTCAGATATCGAATTACGCCCATGATACGGGGGACGCAACACGACACGGTCTGATAACGTAAACTTCGTTAATTGATTGTTAATTGTTGTAAGGTCGAGTAAACATGTATTCATAATATGCGAGAGTCTTGCTCTCAACGGTTTTCTTTTAAAACAGGACCAATAGATTTTATTTTACATATTCAATTTATATAAATTCGTTTGGTATTTTAAGCGGCGACTCGGTGGAAATAAAAATTGGTTCACACATCCGCCCACTGGCCAATCGGTTGGCTCTTCACCAGCTGATTGAGGGAGGTCGTGCATGGGGGATTCGGGGGATTCGGGGGCGGGTTGGTCAACGTCAGGTGTACCGACAGCTGCCGCTTGTAGACATTCACATATTGTTTTTTGTTGAAGTAATTGCTCTTCAACCTTTTTATTTTGCCGGATCCGACGGGTTTTCGATGCATTCTGTGATCGGCGGTGTCGCTTGGCCGACTCATCGCTGCTTATGCCGAACCAAGCTGTGTTCCTTTTACTACGCATTTGAAGACAAGCATCTTGAATTTTCCCACATCCTAGCTCCTCTAACTCTGCTGCAATGTCGCACCACTTTACTTCTAGCCGGCGTCTTTGTCGTAGAAATGCATTTTCTGGAAAAAGATCGGGATATTCAGCCGCAACTGACATCATGACTTCCGGGTAGACAGTTTTTGTATCTATCGTAGGGGTGCTCATATTTGGAGATGTAGCTTCGTTTGTGCTAGTGTGGTGATTTACTGATGTAGGCGGCTGAGACTGTGGGCTGCTGGTGTAATCGAAAAGAGAAGGATCTACTTCGGGAAGCCCATCTGTATATGTAGTTGAGTACCTAGGGTTTTGGTTGGGTTCATGATACTCGGGCAGAAAGGTATAGTAATCCATAACGAAGATCTATCAAAGGCAGATAATTCGGTGGTACTTTATTCTTTAGGTACTGGTCTATTCCTAGTATGCGCGGAACTGGTTTGTTATATATACATATTTTGACGGATAAACAAATACCGATGACGAGGTCAGCTCAGAGAATAGCAAGGGAATATGAGCTCCATCTTGATACGTATAGAAATACTGTTAGACTGTGAATATGACTAGGGTTCCACTAGCGCTACAAGTTACTAAGCTATTGTAAATATCTATGCCCCAAGTTCACCTTCGCTCTCCTCTGTCGGCGCCGATGCCGCATACCCAATTGAGATATCCTCCTGTTCTTCAGCTAGAAGATCTGTGAGAGCTACTGTCAGCGATCCCTCAAGCTCGTCTAATCTCAACCGTTCCTTGTGGAGTGATTTCCTTTCCACCTCAATCTGACCAAATAGTTCAATATTTGCATCCACCCAATACTGCTGGGCTAAAGGGCTTCCTGGCGCAATCTCTTCGAGTTGTTGGATGCGCTGCGTAAGGACTTTATTGATTTCTGCCTCGAGATCCGCGGCCCGGGACATGATGTCTCTAATTTTCTGATCAGCTTCGACTGTATAATCGAAGTAGTCGAGCGTGAGTTTTCTCTTGGTGTCGAGTTCGCTGATGTCTCGGTGATGCAAGTCGATCAGGATTTTTTGATCACGGCAAATGCTCTTCAGACGCCTTATCTCTTGATCTTTAGCCCGAAGTTTTATACGAAGAGATTGTAGTTTCCCTTGTAAAAAGTTCATGTCGGAGGCCCCGATCGGATCGAGGCGATCTTTGAAATCGTCAAGGATCTGTAGGAGTGCTAGGAGTTTCTCTTTCCCAGGGTTTGAGATTTTTGCCAGCTGCGATACAACCGGGCTTATGGTCGCATATCCGGAGTCGCTGGCGATTTTATCTATGGTAGTTGTTTGGGGAAAGAAATTTGAGTCGGCGTTATCCAAGCCTAGGCCGTGGAATTTTGGGTCAATGGGCGATCCCTCAGCATCCATAATTTTATTAGGAAGTGAACAGTAATGCAATACACGATCGCACGGTAATATTTAGATTAGAAATGGGGGTGCCGCAATGAAGAATTTGGAGACGGCACTGTACTGGATCTTAAGCTTATATAACCATCAGGCTCGGAAACGAACCCCGTTGGATCTAACATCAGGATAGTAGGTGAATAGTCCAATAGGTATGTCCGGATTAGTACGGGATTTTCCCGTAGGATAATTATGCGTATGGTAGCTCCCATACGAGAAAAGTATTTACGTGAATATCCCACATGGAGTAGGTGCCTGATTTGGCATTTCCAGTCTCTTGGCCAATATTCCCGTACGCTAAATTATACCCGGGAAGCCCCGTGCGCCGGAGTACCTTGCGGAACATTCTCGTAAGAGGACTACATCCCATTCGGGCCACCACAAAACGAGCCCCATAAGGTAGCCGAAAGGGCCTGTTTTTGAAATCTATATGAATGTGACGTACTCCAAGGACAGTGCACTCTACAAGTCACAAATATCCAGTCCACAAAATGATGAATCGCTCCAAAAGATATCGAAAGGTGGTAGACAACATCACTGTTGGAGACAAACGTTATTTTCACGTAAAACAAACAAAATTTATCTGGTTAGAGGAGAGTAAGGTGAAAGGCTCTCTTATAAAAAGTTACACAACTGCGGAATCCTCCGAGGAATATGAAGTGGAAAAAATTCTGGCCTGGGATACTGTCTTTGATCGATACCTAATCGAGTGGGCCGGATATGACCTAGCAAGCTCGACTTGGGAGCCAGTCTCCAATATCCGAAATGATGCGCCACAATGCATCAAAATCTTTCATCGGCAACTACAGCATGGTTATAAGACTGCACAGTCCGAAGTGGGATGCACAATTTGGGTGCCACAGGAGTTTGATCGTTGGGGCCAGGGAGACTTAGATCAAGAGCCTATCAAAAATGTAAGCAGCAGCTACTATATAAGCTTGTCCGAAAGACAAAAATAGCTAATTTTACCCCCTCAAGAGCGATAATGGTATTAAGGTCGAATCTGGCGAACCAACTGGCGATGAGGAGGGCGAATCCACGATTCCGTTATCAACGTAAGCTAAATTCCATCTTGATAGCGGAATGAGAGGGCTTTCCGTGCATAGCAAAACGGCTAGAGCTATCCTCAAGCGAACATGGGCTCCTCGTGCATATAAAACACTTCGGCGGTTTCTTTCTGGCGGGGCAGCGCACAGTATTCTCTAACAGACTCTTTATCTATCTCTGTTCATTTCGACGTACTAGTATGCTAGTCACAGCTACAAAAGGTCGATTCTTATCGGTTGATGCTACTTGACAATTGTTTGTGCAAATGCAGGTGCAAATATGTACGTACATGTATATGCATATTAGAGAACTAGCTATTCAATCACCATCTACGAGAGAAAAACGGGTTAAAATTACGGGTTTAAGGAACCAAGAACCCCAAACTGTTTGCTTACACGACTCTTTAAACGAGGCTTTGAAACAAAACCTGATGATCATAAATTTAAACAGTATAAAATACGAAGGAATTTGGAAAAGACCAATATAAGTTAGACATACCTACTTTAAAGAGAACGCACCGAACCTTCCGTATTTTAGCTCTAGAACCAGCCCAAAATACTTAGGGAAAATGTGGAGGATGAGGAAATATCAGCTCCGAATTTAGTTGATCTTACCTTGGGTAACTAAGAGCATCTGATAGAAATATATGCATTTGTAGAGCTAGAAAGGCGGCGTAGTCGCCCTAGAAAATAAACTAAATTTAGTACTTATACCCAACCAACCTGGTTTACGATATCTTCAAAAACACACTACCGGCGCCATCCAGAAAGGCATTTTCGCAAAGAGAAAAGGAAGATGTATTTCTTCTCTATCTCCTTCGGATATTAGAACTTTCGTTCTAAAATGAGCTGATCCGGAGGTAGGCTTGCCTGATCCTTGCCCGGCTCTGCTCCGGCCGCGGGCCGCAATCGAGAGTTATTGACACGAGGGCTATCGAAAAGACATAAGTAAAACTGCAATTCACGATAAAGGGTAGTGAATTGTTGATTGCGAATGCCAAAACGGACCATGATAAAATAAACCCATCATAAGAACTCTAGATACTCAAGGAATTAGCTAGAAATACGAATCCGATATAGGAATATAGAGAGCCTTCAAGTTCCGTGCTGAAACAAAACTGACACGCGCCGCCGAATCTCCTAGAAGATAGTACAAAGGGCATTGCGTTGGCGATTCAGCAACCTTGTCCTGAGAGTTAAAGTCTTCTTAATTTCATTCATCCCATGGCTTGGAAAGCATGATTCATGAGTTTTGAGGGGACATCGCTGTTCAGGGTTGGCCGCGAGATGCAACGTTCGGGATGTGTTGTTTCTCCAGCACACGACGTATTTGTAACAAATGGAGCAAAATCCTTTTTAGGGTCTTGTGTGGCCCCGACAATTTCGAGATATGATTTCATTTAAGGCCTGTCGTTTTGTTTGATGCTTATGTAGGACTTAATACTTTTTGTGTAGCGCTGCATATACTCCTCGGCGAGGTTTGGATGATCGACCACGAGCTTTTCATGTGGAAAGTGCCGTGATTCCATTCCACCTGATAGACCTGCTTATCGTCATTTAATCGATTATTGCTGCTTTCTAACGTACTTCCCAGTGAAGCTAATAGCTCTCGACGGAACTGGTAAAGATGTTATCGACATTTCAATGCGGTATCTCTTCGCGGACACAACGCTCATGGGTGATCATATCCACATCGGTTTCGAAGCCAGCATCGGAGTTATCGCCTCCGACAAAGGTATCGTTTTCATTTGAATCTAGTCTAGCACCTGGACAATCGTGAATGTTTACGATTTTGATTTATTCATACAAAGATTGTCCCGAAGAATTTGAACGAGTCCGTTCCAAATCACTACGAAGGTTAGCCATATCCATCAAATCTCACCAGGATTGAGCCGTAACCAATAACCTGTCCGGATCAACCACCCAAAATATTAGAGTCTTATCTGTTAAAATGTGACTCCTATAATCAGGGCCCAAACAGGTAGCATAAAGCATAATAAAAAAAGGGGGGTATGGGAAGCGAAGATATCGATAGTGTTAAAGCCTCTAGTGCCTAGGAGCTCTGATACCACTATTTCGCATATTTGTCCATTAGACCAATGAGTTGCTCGACCTTTGTGCTCTTGCGCTGCCCCTCTATAAAAACTCCTCCCTCCGTAACGTATCCCGGGACCACCATACGCAAGTCTGGGATACGGTAGCAGGACACCTTGGAATAAAACTAGGAAACCTTTAATTTGCTAAACTTCAGCGCCTGGTAGTCCAAAAAGAGTCCTAGAGGGGGACAATCTCAGGTTTATGCCCGTGGGAATCACCAATCTTCCAATAATGGTGTAGGGATCAAATACTAGAGGATCAAGCGGAGTTTTAGCGTAAATATTTGCGGCCGGGAGTAGCCACCTCCGGAGGCACTCCTCCGACAGCTGATACTTCACAAAGCCTTGCATAAAGCCTGCGGAGCGCCTGCAACGGGTGATGCAGCCATCGTGGGCTGGGTTTCGAATCGAAGTTTATGCGCAACCCTTGAAATGGTATGCATTCGTGATAGGACCGCCTCCGCCGACACCTCTATGCACCGAGAGTAGGATTTAAAAAGGGTCGAAAAACTTTATTTGATTAGATTCTCCTTTGCAATTCATCGAAGGATGCCGACGACAGAGCCGTATCACACACCATTCAAGTCGTTATACCAATCATCGCCATTCCATGCCGCCGTCTGTGCCAGCTGCCTATCTCGGGTTTATGCACGAAAAAGCTAGATGCGACCCCCCTGTAGGTGTAGCAAGCTGTAAATGCGCAGCTGAGCGATCAATTGTGTTATGGCCTTCTCGAGGCGACCGGCCATTGGGTACCCACCGCTCTCGATCCACCCTTAGGCCCTAAGAATGGAAATTGCATGATTAGTCGCTGTATATCCCCGTACATTGTGAAACGCTGAAGGGGCGAAGAATACGGCTGTGCATCTTTGTACGGCATGAGCCCCGAGGTATTTCATTTCTTCAATTCATGGGGGGGGTGGATGTCTATATAAGTATCATCCATCTTCCTACCTTTTCGGAGGTCTACTCTATTCCCTGAAAAACCAAACCAAGCAACCACTCTCTGATATTAGGATTATAAAACCTAACTTTGGCTCAGTCCATATCCTTCAGTCCCTAAGTCTTCTTCTTCTTTTTTTCATGATGGCCGATCCAATTACAGATTTAAGACAAGCCGGTGAAGCTTGGTCCCCACAATTTATTGACCATTATAGTCAGGAATGCTCTGTATCTTCGGAACCTAATCAGCTTTATGATCTTCTGTTTGAAGGGGTCGGTCCGTCGAGCGCGGGGCACGTCGAGGGGCTGCTGGACAGTAACCTAGCCTGGTCCGAAGAAAGAACTCCTACCCTGAATTCGGAACCAGCGGGCGGTTGCAATTCCCCTGCAGCTAAGCTCGCGGCACCCTTTCTGCCGTGGATGTTGGCGCCATATGAAGAGTTCCAAACCGATTGGAGCTCAGTTCCTGGGAGTTTAACGACTTTCGATATGCCGACACCAAAGCATCAAGAAACCACCACGGCGGTGGGATTATCCTCTTATAAGCCAGATCTAGCGCCTCCAGAACCTCGAAGCCCCGCTCAAAGCATTGGAATAGAAACTGGTAGTCATACTTTGAACTGGACGTCGCACAATCCCTCCTACGACGCCAATATCAAAATTCCCAAGCTCATTGCCGCACAGGTGAAGGATTTTGAAGCGCCAGTTCAACTTCCACCACTGAAAGATCTACTAAAAAATGCGACAACCCCAGTCGATACTGGTGTGAGCTCGGACTCGGGGATGACATTTACTGTAAAAAATAAAATGTTGCTGCAGTCTGTTCTCGAACCGAAAGACCATCAATTATACGTTCACGATGCACACGATGGTACCGCGGCGGGGTCCCATTTGTCACCTCGTGCCGAGATTAGTATACTTGATGGTCCCGAAAATTCTGATTCAAAGATTATTCCCGATCCTGAGGTCAGCGAGCTCCAGTCAGAAGTAGAGCGTGCCAGTACACCAACGCCAGATAGTAATGAACGCGCCGATCTACCGAAAGAAATTAAACCTGAAATTGTACCTTATGAAGGGCAACCTCCGACAAGTGGATTGGAACTTGCAACGATAGATAGCAACGGTGAAGAGAATACGTTAGAAATCAGCACAGTTGCCGGCACTGAACGGGAGGCAACACCTATACCCCAGATCTCTACCGAGGTTATAGATTTAACTGATACGAAGTCGGAAATCGGCGATCCCGATGATATAAAAGAGGAAACAAGCAGGCGGTGTGATGCCTCCAATAAGATGGTAGATCCGATCAAAGTTAATAAGAACAAAAGAAAACGAAGCAATAGGTCCAACCTAGCCTCCAGTTCTGGAGCTGGTAGCTCGCCTCGGGAAACTAGACCTCTCAAAAGAAGGAAGAGGGTAGATTCGGTGCAGGACCTCCACCACACGCCCGTGGCAGGAACAGAATTTGTTGTTATGGAATTTCCAGAAGGGCCCGTGTACATGAAACGCATCCGATTAGCTGACGGATCTACCTCAATGAAAATGGCGAGTGAGAAGGAGATAGAAGCTTTCACCAACGGAACACCAGCACCTTTAGCCACGGTACAATGCGGGAAAATTTTAAACCACTCTCAGGGCGAAGGGGGTCTCAAGTCCAGCTGCGTATTGACATACACTTGGCGGTGGCAAGATGGAAGCGAAATCGAGATAGAGGAGAATGGATTGGATGCTGGGCTACTCAAAAAATATTGGAAAAAGAAGGGCCCGAATGATAGCCGATTTTACTACTGTTTTGTGCCAAATCCATGTCAAATTTGCGATCCCATTTTGGAGATACTCAGATAGTTAGACTCATATTTTGTTTTTTAAAACCGTACCACAAATCTGTATTTCAGTATTACTAAGTTACCTTCACTGCTGGCCCTACCTCGTTTCTTTTTTCGGCGTACAAGTGCTCAAGTGTAAGTGCGATGAAGCATTTCGGACTTCTTAGTACATGACTTTCGACATCGCATAGGGACTTCAAGTCCTAGAAGCATACAAGCGACTAGCCGCCAGATGAGTAATACAACAGAAACAACACATTTCAGTCCACAGTGCGCCCGCTGCAACGAGCAATGTTATATAAGACGACCGTGTCGCTCGATCTCGCAACCAGCATCGACCAAGCCAACCAATAAAAATTAGTAGGATGCCGGCGACAGAAACTTTATCACCCTATACTCCGGAAAGTCTGTTAGGACGATTGCTATCTTTACCACTAGAGATAATTCAGCTTATCTTACTATTCTTATCTCTGAACGACCTGCAAATCTTTCTTGTACTGTGCGAGAACTATCTGAAGCTATGTAGAAAAACAGAAATATTCGAGTTCCTAGACAGAGGAGCGGAGTTCCCTTGGAAAACACTCAAAAGGAGAAGCTTGTCACCTAGGTCTCTCACATCCGAGTTCCCAAAACTATATTCCCCTACACACTGTCAGATACGCTTATTTCCTAAGAGGAGGCAGCTCGTGATCAGCAACCTCATATCTTGTTTGGATTCGGGAGCGGGGTTCTCCCCCGCATTGGGGAGAGCGTTAGCTTGGTCAAAGATCTGTTTCGGCAACGGTACGTACAAACCATCCATATTAGAGCCCTGCACACATCATCATTCACTATAACCCCCATAGGCAAATACGATATAAAGATACCCGAGCTCTGCCAGATTAGACCTGAGTTTGATCGAATAAGACCGGAGACAGTTCAGATTCCCTGGTCTTGTCTAAGTCGGATGTCTAGCGAACCAGCCCACAGTTCACTAGCAGCACGCAATCAATCCCTGTTTAACTGTATGAAGTTAATTACGGAACTTAGAATAGTTCTGAACTGTGAAGTCTCTGGGATGTCAGCTGCCCTCGAACAACTACCGCAGTTGAAGATTTTACGTCTCATATACCCCTCCTACGAGCGGAAGATATTCTGGGTGGGGCGTTATCTCCCTTGCTTCCGGTCCCTGCAAGTGCTCCAGATTGTGAATTCCCCTCCTATCAGGTTAACAGAACTTGTAGACTTCGTGGTATGCAAATTCTTTCCTCGCTCCAATGGACCTCTGTGACAGTTGGCTATTCTAACTAGAATTGGGAAGTAGGAAGTCGCGGTTGAATGTCACAGCTTAGGGAAATTGGCTCTTACATTGCACAAAACCACAGCGGGTGCGATTTCATTCATACGTCAGTACGATTACTACAAAGGCCATTGTAATAGCGCATCAAGCACGGATTCAGCTGCGAATGACCTAAGCAATATACTCTCAGGCTTTTCGAGAAGGAGATCCTTTAGATACGGCTATATCGAGGCGGTGGATTATGCTCAAGAGCCTGGGCAGGCTCATTCTATCACAAGGCATCTCTGGGATACCGCAGGTGACCGGTTCAGGATGAGATATCAGAGGAAGGACCTTCTAACAGGCCTGGAGTACCAAAGAGATCTATAAAATATCTCTTTGGCCATTACCTGCGTGTCTCAACTTAGCTTTCCAGATACCCTTATGGCTTCGCTGTGGCCCTCTAGGGTCTTCTCTTTGTCGCTTGCATATTTAGGGGCTCAAAAGCCTCAGAAATATCAGCACGTACGATTAACGCTCTAGAGCGGCTGTAAACAATGGAGGACTGGTGTATGGCTTAGGTATATAATCCAAGGTCCCCACCCTGTGGTAGCGCATACAAATATACCTCACACCTAAATTAGATGCTATTTAATCTTGATTCCCTTGTATGTTCTAGATATATCAACTGTACTATCGGCAATAAGTTCTACATTATTGGAGCCCCCATCTCGCGGCGCTCTGGCGTATCATGTCTGCAAGGGAAACGTTGCCGGTTAGCTATGAGTGTCACCGTAGATGCATTACTGTAATAGCGCCAACGTGGCCTCGTGGGTCTTTGCTTCTGTGTGGACCTTCGAAGATCTGCGCTTCATCACACCAATGCTCCCGCAGCCGGATACTGGCGATGAGCCCGGCATCTCGGCGTCGTGCAGCGGCTACCAAAATCTGCTATTTTGAGGTATAGAGGAGTGCAAAGGTATCCTGGTGGAGCTAGGCTACTACAGACATGTATCTTGGTTTCACATTCATTATCACTACATGAAGTTTATGAGAGTAGCGTGCTCGTATAGTTTCGAATGTATAGTACATGAGCGAGGGTGGGCGATATAGGGTGCACGGGTGTGTACAGGTCATTTGCGGGAAAAGGAAAAAAGGAACGTTAATTCGCCTTGAATAAGGATCGGGGTATTTCACCAGAATGAAACGGACAGCAGGTGAGGTTAGTCGAAGCCCAACGTAGGAAGGTATTACGCAAGGCGAGTTACCGGAAATAAAAGAGTGGTTTTGGTACTGCAGACGTGTCAACCCTTTCGTAGACGCCGATTTACAACACTAGATCGACTGACTGCGTGCGTTGCGCATCGATCTAGGATTGATACCATTATAACAGGCACCAGCCTCAAATCTACGAAAACCACAAATCTCTATGGCCTAATATGTGATAAGTTTCAGTAGCGAATTTCAACAAAATGACTATGGGCTCCTGCAACTGGGGCTGTCAGTTTCATAGCACTTTCCCTTGCAGAGCGGCTTGTAGTGCTGGAAACGGTGTGCAATGTTCGACAGTGGCGACATTGAGCCAAGACCAACACCGCCATTCTGATCGGCGCCAAGACCACTTCGTGTGGTGTGGCAACAGTGCACATGACCATCCGCATGTAAAAACGCAGTATAGCATCGATAATCAAGAACATACCACCAGATCTCAACCTTGATACTCAATATGCTCGGAGGTCATTCAAATAACAGAGCGAATGAAGTTAAAGAGCTGGGTAGCTTGCTCGTGGGACTCGCGAGTAAGTCTGGCATCGTCTATGCACCATTACGTTACCACTGATTGCTAGCTAACATGGCGGGGATATAGACGATGCGCAGCACCAGGGATTGGATATCTCTGGGATCTTCAGACAGAAAGTCTGCCACTTTACCGGACATCCAGCATTAAGTTCTAGAGCTAATCTATGGAAAATGACGAGCACCGAAAGACGAGATATCATTTCACTCGCCAAGAACGGAGGTATCGAAGTTAAAGATGGCCCACGCCCGACAGCGGAAGATACAACAAGTCGCCCGGACCAGACATGGGATGTTCTAGAACAGATATCCTATGAACCCTCAAGCGCTCGCACTCTACAGCACACTGAACCCGCTCTACGTCCTCCACATATTCTTGTTGAAGACGCAGCGTCGGAGTTGGAAAACATGAGGCGAGCTAGGGATAACGCATTAATAGAAGTAGAGGAGCTTAAGCAGCGGGTCGGGTTGCTCGAGCGAGAACGAGATGACGCAATAAAGGCTTGTAATAATCTCAAGAGCGCCAATCATCGTCTTGAAGGCAAGATTGAGGGAATGAAAGATGTAGTCACCACTATCGCCCAAAAATATCGATAACGGAAAATGAGCCTTGAATTCAACTGTTCGCATGAAAAGCTGTTTCGAAATCGTAGGCTGGGCAAGTTTGATAGAAAGGTCGAATTTAAACGTAGGGATGCATCAGGCTATCAGAAAGTCGGAGCAATAAACTCCCCGAGCACGCCAAAGTAATTCGGCGTCGCTGGATTCAACATGGACCCAAGAGGTTCATAAATGCTGCCACCTCCTTGATAGGTTCTGGAAGGAACATAAAATTCTCATCCACTATCCCTCACATCTAACAAGATCAGTTTCAAACTTCTTCGATAATCGCGGCGTGCCCCAAGATGACAGCAATTCGGTCCCCCATTCTTAAACAAACCTGCGGCTTTAAACCTCAGAAGCCCTCTCGAATTCCTCAGAGAGTAAATCGCTCAAGCAATCCCGCGTCTCGATATAAGACTCGGGACTACGAAGTTTCTTCGCCTCTTCCCGCTGAGGTTACCCGTTGTATTCTCATTCGAACCCAAACCAACACTCTGGGGCGTGTAACCGCCAACGAATATATATCAAACCAAATACATTCTCTGAACGGGGAGAAAGAAGATCTCCAGCGGAGATTGGTAGTCATCGAAGCGAAGATACTAGCTCTCAATCAGGCCGCCAGTGCTCAAACATCGGATACCGCAAAAGGGGGGATTCAGACCCTTAGTCCTTCCTTCGAAGATGATTTGTGGGATAAGGAATGTTTTGGGATGGGTGGGGTCCAGGACGGAAATGATGAAGTTGGCCCTGCTCTACGGGCACTGGGTCAGGCAATCAAAAATTATCAATCCCAAATATGTCTTGATGCCACCCCAATCTATACGCCGTTTATATAGCTCCTTGTCGTCGTTTTGCCTATTTCTCATCTTACCCATAGCTCGCTTCCTGCCATTTGTTGATTTACTTAGTTCATTCGCCGGAGCTAGATCATCTCCACATATCAGCTAAAGCGCTACCGCAGGCACCAATCGAATATAAGGGATTCCTGAAATCTCGTCGTCACGGAATGTTTGAGGCATTCATAAATCCCAGTCTATTCAGTAAAAGATGATATCCATATACTCGGATCCACCTGTTGTAGCTTCCAGCGGGGAGAAGGGCCGGGTCAGTCTCGGGGCGGAATATCAAAACATGACTATTGCTCCGAGATTCAACGGTCTGAATAATAAAGGAAACGAAGCTCAATCCCCAGATTGTATTCCGGTCAAAGTCTTTAAGATTGAACGGGAATCGTAAGGCAGCGTTTAACTATATGAAAGAAATGCGGCTTAAAGGAGCGATAGTAAAGAATTTCGTCGAAAAGTCCGCATTATAATACCGCATATGCATCTGTTTAAACGGTTGCTAGGAAGGGGGTGGAGCTATCAATATGAGCCGGGTGGTATTGAAAGGTGATTCCTAACGAATGAAGGTAATGATTCAAGACGATTTTCGTTCAAAAATAGCTATTCGGAGGAAAGGACGAACCTTTTCACCTTTCTGAAGGCGAAATGGGCGTCTTTGAAATCTTACGACAATATTTTTGCTTTCGATATACATCAGATCCCTTAAAACGAATATTAACAATACCGATTTGATCAAAATTGCTTGGAAAAAAGTCTCAGGTTGACGACTCGGCTTAGCCGTAACTATACCAATTCAATTGATAAACCAAAGGATCCCGGTACGGTAAATTCATAGCGCTAGTACGCTAGCCGAACGGCGAAAATCATGGATATAGAGCCGCTCGAGTATGCTCAATATCTAGTGTTCATATCGTCATACTTGCACTAGTAGTCTTAGAAACCAGAGTTGACCTGGGTGCATAGACAGACTATTCTCCTCTAAATCAGGTCTCAAGTTAAGTTCTAGACAATGTGACAGTGTCAGTTCAGGAGGTAATATCAAGCCAGCAAAGTCCACTATTAGTTGATTCCTCAGCTACACTGAGCGAGCACCGAGCACCTGTGTCATGCATTATGAAATGTTACTGGTGCCTTTGGGGGGGCCGGTGCCGTGGCATAGCGTTGTTCGATCTTAATCTGTTCCATTTTAATTGTGTAGGGGATTTGCCATCATGTAGAATGAAATTGTTGATCGCCTTTTGGGCCATGACGAGGTGGACGATATTGACTAAATAAAGGGGCATTGTAACTCCTAGCTATTTTATCGATTGGGGGTATGTTGCAAGATATTGAAGATAGACTTGTTGAAGGTTATAGCGTCGGTCTATGGATGTGTTTCGGCTCGGATATTTGCCTAAGGGCTGGGGATGACGTTGATTGCATATAATGAGACCTTATTTGGCATCATATTTGAGATATAAAAGCCTCGTTATTTCCAGTTTTTTGTACTGCGAATTTTCGCTACGCAGAACACCCAAACCCTCAGCTTCTTTGACTAGACATCAATATACACCGGAAAACATAGACAAGCCTCCACTATGCATAAGATAACTTTTTCTCTTGGACCTTTTTTTCAGATAATCATTTTCACGGTTTCATTTGTACTAGTGAACTCTCAGAATGCAACTGTTCCCCGGAATCTACCAAATAATTTGGCCCAAACCAGCATAGATGGGTGGTGTTTAGCTGATAATCAACTTGAAAGCTCCCGCTTTCCAAGTAACACAGCGCTCGGGTTCAATCCCTGTGATTTCCTTAAATTTCTTGGCACTCCCGGCCGTTACCCGAGCTTCCAGTGGGCCTCTAAAGGTACCTGGATATCTGAGAATACGACGTCTGTTTATTGGGAGGGTAATATCGCGAACCGCCATACCAAAAAGTGTTTAAAATACGAATTTGGAAATGGGGGATCAGTTATCGGAGTTCCAATACCACCACGAGGTTCTCAAGCTATTGTTGGAAATCTCTCGACGACCACCTGTTCCTTCGCCAGCGGAAAACCAACAATCGCACAAGCATTTCGGTTCTATAATTGGACTACGAAATATCTTATTACTACGGCGGATACTACCCAGGCTTGCCAAAACAAGGCTGCATCCCTTGAAACTTCTTTTGGCCGAGTATGGCTGGGATGCTCGAATAGTATCTCGGGTTCCGCGATGTGGGATATTGGGCCGACTCTTCTAAGGGTAGCTTTTAAGATCTAAACACCTATAGCAGGATAGAAAATGCGTATAGTGTAGCAAAAATCATAGTTTATATTGTTTAAGTAGATATCACGGTGTAACGATACAATTTACCAAAATGATTGTGAGGACGGAGGTCAATCCTGATTGGTAGCACATTGTTGAGTGCTGGTGTGTGGACGCTTACCCCCGCTCTGGTAGAATGGGCCAGCACTTCTTCACTTTTAAATTTAACATTGCGATTGAATAAAGATACAGGGTTTCTGGCTATCTAGCTACAGTAGCAGGCTAATCTAGTCATACCGCATTCTGATATCGTGCGATAGCTTCGACCAAGCGGTATCTTGCGTACTATGTTCCTAGATTCGTTAACACGCTAACTTCGGACGCTGTTCATTTTGGTTGTGATGGGGGCTCACGCCCTTGCGACAGCTTGAAATCTCGAGGTTGTCGGAAATAGTGAATGTCCGTTGAATCCAATTCATCTATTTCTTTACAACTTCAGATTCAATATGCTTGCCTGAGTATCAATTTCCACAAGAAATACCCAGCGTGGTAAATCTTGGTCCTGCGATAACAGCGCGCCCCGTAGAGTAATCAGCTGTCTTAGCAACAGATCATTCGTTTTCTGTGACTGTCTTGGTGACATCCTTGCTAGGCCGGATAACGGTCTGCGTAACGGTTTCGACCTCCGGTGTATCCTTGCCGGTAATATATATACTGCTGACACCCGACACCTTTCGTTTTGGTGAGCTCAAGACCTGCCTTGATATTATCTACATTACTCTCCTCTGATCTCCTGCAAATTCAGAATTTTGTTCCAGATTAACTTTCTCTTCATTATCGCAACATGTCCTGCGAAGATGCGAAAGCCACTGCCTCGTTTGCCTCGGGATACCAGCCCACCCCCCCAACTTCCTCGTGGGAACTCAAGATACCCTCTGAGATCCGTGTGAAGGTGTGGAGAATCTACCTCGATGCCTATTTCAATACGTCTGGTTTTTGCAAAACAAATTTCAACCTAAATCACAACCAGGAAGGATATCGTCCTCTTTCTGAATATTGGAAAATCAGCAAAACCACATCGTCGGACATCCTATTCTGCCTAAATTTGCCATTAAAAAATACCCCTGCGCAGAGCTTCCAATCGGTACTCGGGTACATACGTGCACTCTCCCAGATACCCAACGGAAAATTTATCCCGTATATCCCTGGGATACTCGACATAGATTCTTTAACATCATACCGCGGCCCAATAAGCTTTTTTGAAATACTCAAAGAAATAAAAGTTACTGGGGTATTAGGCATGCCAGCTATGAGAAGACTCTTCGAAATTTCCCAAAGCCACCAGCTAAAGAGCTTTAATATTCATGGACCTGCCATAGGGCATGCGGATAACACCGAGTCATCTTGTGACTTTTGTTCTATTTGCATTCTCGAAATGCTGGGAAAGCATTCGCCGGGTATAGAATCGATCCGCATTCGGACTACCGGAGATCCATACTCTCAATATATGGGATACTGCAAAGCTGATTTGACCATCATGAAATCGGTCAAACTTCAAAGTTTAGAAATGACATTTGTTCCAAGACTCTTTAATCGGGGAAGTGATTTGCTTTACATACTCAAAGCCCCTCATTTAAGGGAGGCTACTTTCTATAAGGATGGCCTTAAGTTCAGTGATACGAATGTCAGCAGTTAAACCACTCCGGATCAAATGCGCATCTCCCTGGCTAAAGTTCAGGCTAAGTTTCCATACTGACGACCCATACCATGTTCGAATCGAAAGACTATCTGAATAGTATTCACGCATACACAATGTAACTAGTTTTCTCACGTTCCTTCTATTAGCTAGCACCGTATTAATCATATGTTTTTGTGCAAGCAAGTTTTCTTTGCCCCAAATCAAAGAGTCGGACTTAAGCTTTCGAACATTGTTGCAAAGATTTGAATATACGGCTCCCATCATGCGGGTAACATTCAGTGCAGGCATTCAAGACCGCCTACCCCCTGTCTCTTCGCTCCTCGAGGAACCCACCGATTAAACCGATCTTCAGACTAGGCAAGGCTTTTAGCGAGCTTGTTGCGTTGCTTATCTTGCGTACGTAGATATTCAAATCCGGCTCTCTAGCTCTTAACATTAGATCATTTGCTCTCCGTCTTAGTTGTAAGCTTTGTATCTTCGTAGATGCCCCGATTGTCATTAAATAAGCTATTGGCGAAGCTTCGCCATCACTGAAATCCCCGACTCACAGGTACGGGTCACCATCGGCGACCTTTCAGAATAGCCTCCCCACAGCCGAACACGACTCGATAACTCGGCTCGGAAATTAATCATCGAATCCGAATTTCATCCCAATCACCCCGAAATATCAAATTCCTCCCATAAAACCACAACCTATGTCAGAGAAGATGCGGCACCATTCCTCTAACACATCTTCAATCTTCCTAATTACTATCGTAGGGTCATTTAGAAAGCGCAGAGCTAGTGATACTAACAATGAATTCGAACTTAAGTCCACCTAGCCTCATTCCCAGATATCACAAAGAGAGGCATGGCCCACCCTTTCACAACCCAATCTTGATGGATTAGCTTTCCCATTTCATGTATAAATATATAGGTAAATAAGTGTAGTCATGTTGATATACAAGAGTGCGCAAGTGGCAACGAAACGTAGATACAAGCCTGTGTATTAAGCCAAGGGTTGGCCGATCAAATGTAGAAATACCACGTTGGCGCAATATAGCTATGCGATGCAATCATTCGTCTCTTAGCTCCAGTAGTACTCATGAGCCTATGGTGGCCAAACCAAACCGTTATATCAGCAGTTGTAACTCAAGCATTGCGCATCGAGCCCAGCCCACGGACGCCTTTTCCCCCTCCGTTTGTTCTAACTGACCTCTTAAATCATTGCACCTGCGAGTCACCGAACTCTAGTCATCGTTTTCTTTAGCTCTAATTACAGATGGAGGGGCTATCCCGTCAATTCGAAATGGAACTCAATGTATAAAGGCCGGCAAAGGGTACGATTGCTTGCTCCTGCAGCCGATACCATAGACTAACGCGCAGGTTTCATATATAAGTGAATGTGTGGTTACGACGCCGCCTTTCGAGACTTCAAAAATAATTTCGAACTATCTACTCTCCGGCCTTTGGCCTGCTGTACTCAAGGTTAGTCTTGAACCGCCCCTATATTTGATCTAATCGACGATTCGGACCGTTTTAGTATCTAACACCTGTCAACCCCGTAAGCGCGCGAGGAAGGCCCTAGTCTTTTGTTCTTTGAACAGCCGGCCCCTTCCTGCTGAACTCTAGTCTAGTTTCGTCCTACAAACTTATTTACTTTTGAAGTGATATCATTCTTCTTTTAAGAGTCAAGCTGAAAATTCAATTATCTGCATAACATAGAACTAGGTACATTCGCACTGGATGAATCACCCAAGTGCCTATCAAGATTGCATTAAATTCATAATACTGAGAATTACCAATGTTGCCTGGCCATTGATACCGTAATACGCTTTATAGAATGCTATAAACATAGGCGTAAGTCTTACTAGACTTACTCACACTTGAACCATGCTCGGAAAGAAGCTCGGAACCCCTTAGGACATGAGTCTCTGGTAATAGGTCCCGGGAACGCGAATGGTGCGTTAATCGGGTTTGGCATTGTGACAGTTGTCACATGAGATAGCGATGGGTGTTGAGATTGTCGTCTGATATCTGCAGCCCTTGAATGACTTGCGTACGCTTGAGTCTGTATTGGGGGGGGGGGGGGGGGGGGAGGAGTACTGCATCGGGTATTTTGAAGGATTTGGAGCGTGATTGAGAGTTGTAGGATAGTTCAAGGGGGGGTTACTGTATTGCTGGGTAGCTAGGCGGCCCCGCTCGCGCGGGTTAGTGGATGGATCGTATGATGTCGCTGGGGGCGGACTCTGCGGTCGTTTTGGATTTAGCTTGGATTTTCGACGAAGATATAGTGCGGAAGAACCGATATTTAAGGAAATTGGCAGCCTAGGGACTTGAGATGGAGATGGAGGCGGAGGCGGAGGCGGAGGCGGAGACGAAGACGGAGGCCGAGGCTGAATACAAGGGCGGATCATCGAGAAATAGGGATGATTTTGTATGAACCGATGAACGGGCTGATATATCTGCCCCTCTAGAATCCCTTTAGGATTGTGGAGGGAGACTTGGGCAAGGTATTCATTGAAGCTTGGATTATTCTATTTTGACACGAGATTGGTCTGGTCAGTGACGGCATTCCATGGAAAAAGAAATATGAGTGTGTTAGTATAAAATACTTACCGCGTTCTTGTATGGTATCAAGAACTCCTTTGGTATAGGTTGCCAAATGCCGTTACTATTTTGATCGTGAGACTCGATTTCGGGGTAAGCAAGTCGCGTTGGTTCCCCGTCATCCCCAGTGACAGTTGCGATCTCTAATCTACAGGAGTTTTCTAAGAGCTGAATTAGCTGCAGATCCTCACTCCGGTTCATATTGTATAATTGTAGGTCAAAATCGCAAACGTATGGTGTGTCGATAGTAAAGTGTATTGAGCTGGAAGAGAAGTAGCGATATATAGTTCCGTTGAAGGGTATTCCTCTAGGTTGCGGGGAGAATCATCAGCCCTTATATCTTCGCAAGTTACAAATTCATTAACGATTCGTCTAGTTGAAAAGAAATGAGCGGGACGCAAATCTGTGGCCCAGCCACAGTAATTAGGACCCCTCTTCAATGCATCTCCAAGCGCCAGTCCGTGCTGCATCCATTCATACTACTAGGTACATTATGGTAGGTAATTTAATTACAAAACATCTATTAAAAACCCCTTTCCAGATAGGCCCCGTTTGTCTCGCAAGCCAGACCCTGACCTTCAGGCTCCGCGTCCTGTTCATAGAATCCTTGTTTCAATCTTTGACGATTCCCTGGAAATCCGAGCGAGAACTCAATCGATGTACGGTTGCTTATGGTCATTCAATGGCTATTTTGAGAGACGTAGGCAGTTGATGGGTGCCACCAATGTACCTCTGGAAGTATGGCAGACTCTGGGCGAATGTTTTTTGAAACTGCATCATCATAATCGGCCCGGACAGACACTTCTGACCCTGTGATGAAACATGGTTTTCTAGTGGCGGTTTGGGGTAAATTTAGGTTCCAGGTCTCTGCAGTTCCTCCCACAGTTTGTAGAGGCTCGCCCACGAGTTCTCCAGCCTTTACTGTATGCCTTCCGTTGTCGATTTCTTTTAAACAAGGCTCGTTCCAGGAATCCAACGGATCTGCGGGCGTCTGGCAACGAAAGTCAAGATCTTGTTTAGCAGGTTTAATGGGTTTAATGCTATCCAAAAATCGCCCGAGCTTTCGTCGTAGGACCGACAGAGAGAACCTCGGTGAAAGCATAATATTAATCTTCCTCATATATCGTGGCTCGGAATGTACGGATTGTGTTGACATGTTGGATCTTGGATTGATCGGGAAGTGGGTATATATATATAATGCAATGCAATGAGGTCAGAATCAATTAGAGCGCGTGAGAAATGCCCTGCCTTAACATCATCATCGTGTCTAGTCTTGCTACGTATTCATGTTCTTATAGACGCATTTGCGGTAGATCTTATGATAATACCTCATAATCTTTTACTTCGTGATCCCGACTGCCATGGCTGTGTATCAATAGGCCGGCTGCCTGTTCCTGGGCCTGGTACACACGGCTCGGATATTTTGCCCCCTTTCTACTCCTTTCTACTCCTTTCGATTTCTCCCTACTCCTCCCTACTCCTCCCTACTCCTCCCTACTTTTCCTTGCTCCTCTCTGCTTCTCTCCACTCCTCCCAGCTTCTTCGCCGATCGCCTCACTAATCGATCCCGCATGAACCTGCTCGACAGCCGAACTTTGCCGCCATTGATACTCCGTTGAACGGCTCAGCCCACCTACCGTTTCAAACTCTCCACTTATCGAATTCTGACAAATCGTCGTTGCAGGTGTGCGTTGTGCCTCCGGCTTGCAGTTCAAATCCTGCATTTTCTTCTTCTAGATCCCCGGCGTCGGGTGACTCCAGCGCCTCAATCTAGGCGCTTGGACAAAGGGCGTCGCTGACAGTTGCTGTAGCTTACAACCCTAACTCATAACTTTCAACCTCCTATGAGGACCGGGGACCGAGGTCTATCACTAATTCGATCGGCCGACAACTCTTTTTAAAATTTCCCCCGACGATGTCTACCCGAGAACGACGCAAGGAGCTACTCTCCCCCAACCTCGAATATCTCCAAACAAACGTCTTTCGTCAGCCGCTCGATGATGAAATGAAACGGACGGTGGCGGATGGCCTCGAATATTATGTGAAAAATCTGAACCTAAAGTCAAGAGTAAAGAAATGCAAAGACGTTTCAGTTGATAGTATCAAAGAATCATTCGGTGTAAGGGACACAACAACTTGGAAACGGATAAGGGTATGTACCGCTGAACCATATCTTCATCGATAATCCTTATCTAACTTTTTGCAGTGTATCGTGCAATCTATCCACGAAGAATACGTCGACTTTCACGATAAGTCCCGCTTCACGAACCTTACATTAATATTACCGGAACATTTATTTCGAATGTGCCATGCTATTATCCTACAAGATTCCATTAAGCAACTACCTCAGCACCCAAACCCAATCATGGCTCATGCCATATGGCTACTCTGTAACCACATTGAAGGAACACGCAAAACTAGACCCACCAAAAAGCAGGTAAATCCACTCCGTTATTTCCACCCTAAGCATTATCTCCGATAGTTATTTAACTATTTTCGATACTATTAGTCGAGTAGACTAGCCGCGATTCCCGCCCAAAGCCTTGAATCTTCTAGCGAACTCTAATCCCACTACCTTCTGACTGCATCCCAACCAGATCTCTCTCCCCATTTCAATCCGATCGATAGTTTGAACCTTGGATATATGACGGCTATATACATTCAGGCATGTTAGATTATCGATACAACGGAACTAGTGTTGTTTCTTCCAGCTTTTAAAGGTTTTTACCGCTTCGGTTTGCGTATATGCACCTAGCTTTCCATGACCCTCCAAGTCATTGCATAGGACTCCTTTCTCTGTCAGTTCTGTATCGATTTATATCCTATATTTGGCCAATACACGCCGGATAGCTCAGTTATGATATTAGTCTCTTCATAATTTCTCCATTTACATTGAAGTACCTTAGGATTCGAATTTTTTACAATTGGCCACCGCCAACCTTAGCTATCACTAGGGCCGAGACCGCCCCCGACCCTCGGACGAAACACTTCAAGAAATCTAACATCCATCTTCATCACGCCAAAAGTCCAATGGGCTCTCGTGTCGCTTAGGCTCCCCATTGCGTCGTGTTCGGTACACATGGCCATAGTCATCTTGTTTAAAGAACCCTAAACTTCCTAACCAAATCTAGGAATAATGTATTGGTTTAACTCTACCGCTACCCATCATACTACAATGAAGCTCACCAGCATCTTACTAGTTCTACCTGCGGCTGCGATACTCATGTTCCTTTCGTCGTCTCATGATTACAACAGGTCCCCATTATGTATCGCAAACACCCTACGGTAGTTAGCGGGATGTTTGGCCGAGGCGGGCGTTGCGATATGACGTCATATAGAAATCACAACAAAGGTGCTTGCCGCCACAATCTTACCATCGAATTTTGCCGCGCATAGCCTGGAAGCCCGAACGAAAGTTATCAGCGTTTCGGCGTTGTTTTCGTACTAATGTTAATTTATCTATCGGCGCTCAATGCCGGAGGCAGGCTCCCGTTACGCATCGGTAATCGGTGTCCCAGAGGCAAAAGAGAAACAATTGACGATTCGACGGCGACTGCCGCCATAGGAAAAATCATAACTCATACCGGGTCAGCGTCTTCCAATCGTTGTACCGGAGCAATGGTATCACAAGAATTCTTCTTCGTAGATCACCCAAGGTTGTCCACATAATACGTATGCGCTGAATAGAGCCCATAGTTTTACCCCGGTCGTAGATACGGTCGGCTCGAGACCTGGAGGATTTAGACGTGTTGCAGTTGATGATGAAGGATATGAAAGTGGATAGGGAGATGCACATATCTACTATTCGGCATGCCGTTGGCGAGTCTTAATTGCTTTAACTAAGTACCTAGATACCACGTGGGACTTTCACAGAATTTTTAAGGGTTTTGGTTGAGTAATTGCATTACGATATAGTCTCGAGGCCCAGAGCTGCCCCATTATGATATATATAACAGTCTTCTAAATAGCGCCTCTCGAAAACAAATCTGTAAGTCCTGGTTCTTTCATTTCCAAACAATTACATTTGTCTCCAAAATAATTAAAGAGCTTCTGCTGCTCCATTGCAGAACTAGGGTCCCGGGGAAAGCCTCTGTGATCGTACAGGTGATTCTTCAAATATTCCTCTTCGATGGGATTCAACTCAATTTGATATTTGTCTTTCTCGCTGTGCGACGATTTATATAGGTTTGAATACGCCCTTAAGATAGGGACCCTCTGGAGAAACATCGAATCACCTTCCTCCACCTTCTCCATGCCCACAACATACTCGAATTGTTTTTTCTTTTGTGGATTCTTTGGAGGGCCTCGGACTCGGTTAGAAATCCGGATCTTGGAGATTTGGCGTCGACCGTACAGCTGCGTACAGGCGGTTCGTTGGCTAAGTGATCTCGCACTCTTTTCTTCTTCCTTACGTTTTCTTTTTTCGTTTTTTTCGCTGAAGCAAGGAACCAGCCGCCAACTGCTGGAAACAAGGTGAGCGTTAGCCCAAAAGCGAAATCCGGCCCTATATTCGGATTTTGCCAACCTGAAAGGACGACATGCACAAGTCAGTATCTGAAAAGATACCGATGACCTTAAGAACGAGGCGTAATAAGCTATAAGCGAGGGTAAACAAAGGTCTACTGGGATGGTCTTCCTCAGCCCGAACGTGACGCAGAAAATGCACGGGCTGCTTTCTTCCTGTCGGCTCCATCAGAAAGGAGGAGCAGAATAATTGGATACCAGCCGACCGTCAAATAATCAATAATTTGCCAAGTTGTTCCAACGATAGAGCTAGGCAGGGAGGTATAAATGTTTTATATATTTCGCTGAATATCAGAAGAGGCTTTACCTTGGAGGTAGAACTGTACTATATACAATATACTATTATGTAACTATTGTGTGTCCAAGTGACTTTCTAATAACGCGTCGGTGTCCAAGTACTGACATAAATCTAATACTACTAAGACTTGATTTTTTTGAGCCGTGGTGTGGTCCTCTTCGCCTTCATATATATATCTCGTATTAATTAACATGAATCCCGAAGAGTTTCTTTGTTCTAGTAGTAAAGGTATTAAATGTCAGTTTCAGATAGGCCTACTCCCATGTTGTAAGAGTTTTGTTGAAGCCGTAAAATACTAGCAGAAGATAGTTAAACCAACGATTAGAATTAACGGCTATAATAGGGTAAGCCTAGTTTAATTGATAAGAAGGGGAGCTCGAGCGTAGTTGTTAGGGTTTCGAGAGTAGGTATTATCGGGAAGATCGTTGCAGCCGCAATTAGACACCACGGCAACGTTAGCGTAAGCTTTGCCCAAGGTAGAAACAAACTGCTTCTGGTTCTAGAATCGGGATTGGGATGAGTTCTGGCTCACGCTTCTTGTTCTATTAGGCAATAGAACAAGAAGCGTGAGCCAGAACTCATCCCAATCCAAATTTCGAAGCCAGGACTGCTGCCACACTACCATGCTTTGGGAGGTAGAAATGAAATATAGAATTGTGGAAGCTTACATTGCTATCTTTCTTCAGCACAAGGGGATGATGTTGCTTGCTTACTCGCGGAGTCGACTAATATCATTGAATGGATGTGGGATGGACCAGAAGAGATTGAGGCTTTGTATGATCTCGTGGTTTATATGAAACTTTTTGCTCTAAATTGTTATATCTGTTCGTTAGATTTTCTTCGCCATGTCATCCACCGCTTCCTAGGTTTCAATGCTTTGATTTTCCACCCTACATCATGTCGCGGAGGTCACATTTGCGGAGGCCAATTCGCGGAGATCACAGTGTCATGCATTTCCAGTCACAATTGTGCCAGCTGGAGTGGAAACGCTTAATTTGGGGATACGAAGCCGGTTACTTGCAAATGTGATATGCGATATATAACCGGTCAGCAATCCCATGATATAGGTACCCCCGTACAATGGCTTTACGGAGGTAGAGCTTCTGCATGGTATTACCAGGGACGGCACAGGATCAGCAAGGGTATTGCGATATTCAGAAAAGAAGAAGGGAAAATGCGGGAAAATGCCACCCCCTCATAACAGATATGTTGCAGTCTACTGTAAACGAGAATCGGTGGCTTTTCACCTGGCTTGCGTCTGTAGTTCTGAAGAATAGACCAAAAAGGATTAAAAACAGCCCTGCATATGTAGCCGGCCTGAGTGAAAGCGCTCCAAAGAGCAGCGTCCCCCAAAAAAGAGAAGTGCTGGGTTAATAATCAAAGAATGTGAGTTATGATATATCACAGCCGAGAACCCCACAAGAGGTCGAGCAAACGGGTAGGGATCCCCGAGCATTTTTTTCAGCTGCATAAGGTGTGAGACAGACGGGTAGGATCAAAAGCTAACGAACCATCTGACCATCTGAACCACCGGACGCCTGGACCGACGAGACCATTCAGCAAAAATCCCTCATGTAACCCGTGATATGCATGGCTCGCCTTACCACAAATTTCTTTTGGAGATAAACGTTGCGATTCGTACGTACAAGGTAAGATCCATGTTCACGTTGGGCCTTAACTAACTACCCTTTCCGTCAACAGTTACTTTTCTTACCCCAGACTAACTTTTCTTTGGTCACAGGTTGCAACTCCAGACCAACTTTTTTTTATCACGTCTTATAGAGCAATTCAATAACCCCTGTTGTAGGCTTCATCCCGTGCTTCAAGAGGGCACTGATCTTTTTTCTTTCTTTTTCTTTTCCGGCATTCCAATGAAGATCTGCAATGAAGGTTTTGTGGGGCAGCCCTGAGTGTTCTATTGGCTAGTTGGCGGAGGCACCTGGAAGTGCTCGCGTTTATGATACATATCCCGTGTTTCGTCAAACCTGCAGAGCTGAGCTTTCTTTCTTTCTTTCTTTCTTTAGAGGGTATCTTTTGAGGGATACTTCGTTAAAACACTATGAATATCTATCATTCCCTTGCTATGAGTCAGCTCGATTCCTAAGGCTTTTGAGAATCCGTTCTTATATAAATAAGAAGCGCCTCATCCTGTTTTGTGAATTATCAGAATTCAAAATATCGCCTTCCCAATATCTTAATTAATAGGCACCTTTTTCACCTGCACCGAACAGTTCGATGGCAGATACGAACTACCAAAACTATTTTTTCGGTCCAGTCCGGTTCTCTTTGGCCGCCGGAGAGGGCCTGAAGGTTCCTATTCTTACGCCAGATTCGCTTAGGCAACTGACTAGGGTTCAAAAAATCACCCACGAGGGCTGCTCCATGTTGAGCATCTCAAGCGAGGCGGCCCTTGTGGTATGGAAGTAAGTTCCCAATATTGCAACGTGCAGACCTACTGAACTTTTGCATTGTAACCTGCTAACGGTATAACGTATGTTTATACAGTGGTCATTCTTAGTTGGGGACCAAAATATTCCCAACGCTGAGGAAGTCAAACAAAAAAATGAATTAGATTTCTTAACATGGGTTATAAGAGAAGCAAAGGAGAAGGGGGAAGTCGTTTCTGAAAACCCTGATGGAAGTTGGAGGGCATACAAGTTTCCGGTCCAGTGGCAGTCTGGTACTCCTCGTGAAACTACTCAGGATTGTTATGTTCTATTGGGCGATTACTCAAGTCATGACATCCCGAGTCTTCACGAGGCTATTGGGCATGAAAGATTGCTCGCATGTACAGAGCGGTATGTAACTTAAACCACATATGGACCGCCCAATACTAACGAAAACTCTTCCATTTGTGCAGGGCGATTGAAGTGATGAGCGGGTGTGATCAACGCCGTCGCTGAGGGAACGAAAGGACAGGTTGAGTTAAGAGGCCAAAGAATAGTTTGCTAAAGTTTCTCTGAATTTGGGTATTATGGGGAGGATTCAAATTGAGGTCATGCGAGTCAAATTTTCTATGTATCTAGGTTGGACGGTCTCAGAGCCTCTAGCACATAGTTAGCAGTACGGTCAATTGATAAGCAGTCCTTCACTCAAAAAAACCCGACTCCGATGTATAGGGGTTAGTCAGCCGTGTCGGTACCAAGTCAGGCAATTTAGACGGTATCTAACACGATGGGAGTGCAGTAATCAAGACTCTACGAAAAAAAGAATGGAACATACGCCAAGTAAAAAGCCATGATTACCCAGCACCACGAGCTGCCCTACTTTCTCGTCGCTTATGTGCCCTTGCTCTTGTATTCAGTAGATACTCCAATGCCCAGTCATCTTTACAGCGTTCCAACCGTTTTACCACGAATTCAATAGGGGTTTTTGAATATAAGGCGTCGTATGCGGCTTTAACCACAGCCACCTGAACGTCGGATGCCTGGAGGTCATAGGAATAACCTTTGCTAAAATCCCAATATCGCATCTTTCCGTTGATCATGACACCGTTGGCAAATTCGTCCACGACGTCTTTTAAAAGGGTCTGTAGAAACAAGAGAGTTAGGAACCGTACCAAGTCTTCAAACTTATTACTTACCAAGACATCCTTCCAAGCCCCCTTAGCGGATACATCGGCAGGCCACTCCGGATATTGTATTTGAATCTGCTCGCGTTTTAAACTGTCTTCCGGAATCCTTAGGATTTCCCGAACCCGCGCCATATCAGGGTTGGCGATTTTATTAATTGCGAGATATTGGGCATCGCCGTCGTCCTGCCGAGAGATCGGGGCTGGAAACAAAGATTCCGAAGTTGACGTAGACGCATCAGCGTCCGTTAGCAGAATTGTTTGTCTCCAGTCGAACCCATCGGCCATCGCGAGAATTTGAAGATGTTCTTGGAGCTAGGGGTCTGGAGCTGGAGAAGGAGAAGGTTCTGATCGTGACTCCCCACTTGTGGGGCATATTTAGACCAAAGTTCTTGGCGAGGAATTATAACACAACAACGCATGGATGCGCAAATTCGAATACCCTACGTCATTGCATTGACAGGGACTGGCGCACAAGACATCATCGTTTTCGGATGCTTGGGGGCCGGAATTATCGATGTGCAAGTCACTGGGTAGCTACTTCGCAGAAATAGGGCCGCTCCAACATTAAATGATGAAGGGGTCTACTGGCTTCAGTCCAATCTCCAGCTACGCTATTATCTCAACAATAACATCATGACCACTAAAAGACTCTTCATCGAAGTCGTCCTAAAGATTCTTCGCTACTTGAGCTGCCACGAGCTCCTAGCGTTTTCCTACTTTCGGTTGCCTGAAACTACCTAGAAGTCTGTAGTATCCTCAATGCTCGACAATGCCTCATTCCCTTTGCAATATCCTGCCTATTGCTTTTGGCCCGATTGAGAATCATGTCACGAGGGAATGCCCCTCCCATATCTTCCTTTTTCATTACTAGGGAGATATGCTTTATACCTAGGTACTTAAGGCCGAGGTGCCCTCCATGCGGATGGACGTCAAATACAACAAATTACCAACCCGTTGCATTGCACCATACGGAGCCCAACCCCTGCCATCCTACGCAGCTTTCAAGCTCCATTTAAACGAAACTATCCAAAGTCTCCAAATGTGGTCGCCACTTCAGCGTCTTAAGACGTACATGACCAAACCGTCTCGCATAATTAATCGTTGTCCCACCCGATCTCTAAAGGGCAACTTCAAATCGGCAGTATCCCACCTAGTTTGCTGTGGGCTAACAAGCCTAGAACCAGAACCCCACCATGAGCCTACCAGATCAACTTCCACCACGTATGCCATCGTGTTTGGCTACCGTGGAGACATGTTTTCGGAGTTGGTTTGGGAAGGCGGTTGGTTGGCGATGCGCTTTACAGCCAACCCTGGAGCGCCATTGGCCTTCCACCATTTCACATCGCACTTCTCCCGGTTTTATCGAACTCCGAGCGAATCCTCGATACCATTCAAAAATACCCCAAACAATACTGGGACATACGTTCTAGGGCCTGTGCTTCAAATTCCGAAATTCGTAATACACGTCATGACCACCCTATACGGTTATCGACTTTGTCTCCCCATATACATATGTCTGAAAGAAATGTAGATCAAGGCTAAGTATCAACATTGTTTGAAAGTCTGTGCTAGTGATAGTTTGACAATTGAGGTGTAAAGAGAAGACAACGGGCTGACCGGCAAAGCATATTTAGCCAGATGTAATGATACTAGCCTTTAACTCCTTGAGCTTTTCTGACTCTATCTTGTGAAGTTTGAGGTTAATGAGTCCTGCAAGTTCACTTAAGCAACGATAACGGTTACTTTGAACATCCGTGGGGGTGTATTCAACAGTAGTATGCTGCGTTGTATCGGAGAGTCCGGGCAGTTGTCGTAGCGGCTTCACAACCCGAATCGTATAGAAATCAAGAAGATATATGATCTGTTCGGCTAATTTAAATAGTCTTGTAAGTTGGTAATCGACGCATTTATTTCAATTAGCAATTGGCATACCATTCATTGTGAGAAAATCTCGGATTGTTTCGGGGAAGTATGTAGGGTATTCGTAGACAATGCCTTGATCGCTTGATCGGGCTCTGGTAATTGCCTGAATCGTGGCCGACTCCAACTTCGCGTTCCCATTGCGCCTGACGCTGTTGGCGTTGTCATAGTGGTTCTCAAGAGCCGCGACTGGTGCAAGATGGCTGTAACACGTCCATCAGATATTTTCTAAACAAAAACTCGCTTTTGGACTTACTTTTCAAGCCTGTTTGTGCGCCGTTCAAGAACTATCTGCCCAACTTTTAACTTGCCTGCTGTCTGGTAGAGTTCGGTTACTTTCTTGATTGCGGAGCTCAGAGCGGTATCAAGATCTGGATGTGTTGTTTGGAGAGGCGTAAACCCTTCATTCGAGCCATGTTCCCGAATCAAGCCGCCGATGGCATGCTCCAGGCCAAAAAGGGCTGCTGACGATTTTGGATAACTTGAAGGAAAATCCATGATGCCCTAGTATTTACTGGTATTCTGTTGGAGCAGTTCAAGGAGCCTGCGGATGAATTGGAAGGAGATGGTGGATGAGACAAAGGAGCGAAAACCTGCCACGGCTGTTAAAAGCACCACCCTTCTTGGCGCCTAGGCTACACTCCATCTGGCACTTGTGCATGTGATCTTGGGGGAACGCCGCGACAGACTAGGTCATGGCGTCTTGAGAGAAGTGATGTGTGATGCAACACGACGTCGACGTCGGAATATTGTGATGTGTAAAGACGTTAAGACCTTATTCACCTCTGACCAATTGCAAAGATATGCAGCAGATGTTTCTGCGCCTGAATTGTTCAACATTAATACGTCGCTGGAGCTTTGATTCTAAATAATACTTCAGGCTAATTTTACATCAATTAACAGTTCATTTATCGATGCCACGGCATGCTAGCTAGTCAGGTAACTCGGTATATATCTCTGGGCGTATCACCAGTTGATTCTCGGGATATCACCTCGCATCAATAAAGAAAGTCCACCTCTACGCCTTTGTATTAAAACTAAGCTAAATATGGGCAACCAAAAAGCTACCATCACTGCAGTACTTTTGAGATGCGAGCGAATTTATCGATGCGTCAAGATATCCCGTATTGGCGGCAAAACCGGGGCTGAATCCGAAGATGTGTTCCCTTTCAGGGTAGAAATTCGACTTTCCCACAGCCAGCCAGTAAGGTATTTTGGATGTAGCTTATCATTGTGGAAATAGTCTTTGTACTCGGGGATATCGTAAATCGCATTCGATACTCGTAAGGCTATTTCCGGTTGGGTGATGTTGACAAACGTCATTTTCGAGAGGTCGTTCCGTGAAAGCTCGTCTGCCTTAACGCCATAATAGAATTTGGCGAAGGAGTCCGCGATATCCCTAATGGCGGCCTAAATATCGTTAGCTACAGTAAACCAAAATCTCGCTACACTACATACTCTCAATCGCCTCAGCCGTAAATCGATGGTTTGCTTATCCGTGCCGGCCCCGTATAGCAGTTCAGCCATAGCTGGGTTGGACAGCACGAGGGACCTCTTTCTTCCCCCGGAGCTTCGGGGAAATGCGGCATAAGCTTGTTCAAAATCCATGACGGCTTCAGGCGCGATCTCTTCCGTCCAGTAGTGCTGATAATCTGTGGCCTTCAACGCCATGTCGCTAGGTGGGGGTTATGCAAGATATCCCGATTCGGGGGAAGCTGAAAGGGACCATGCTCAGATGACTTATAAATGTACGAGCTCATAGAAGTTGGTTATGCCAATTGTAATCGCAATTTTTTCTTTCAAGAGGCAAGGGGGGTCTACGAGGTGTCACCTGGCTTTAACTTGGATCTCAGGTGTACGGCCCTAATAATTGATACAAGGCGCCGCCCGGACGGCCACTGTTTCGATCATTCGATCCTATGGCCGCTTATATGCACTGGCATACTGGATTGTAGAGAAATATGAGTTATTTTCGATTATTTCCTAGCAACAAATTCGATGAAGGTACAATTTCAGAAAGAAGTAATGCATGTACATGGCTTCCCGTTCTAACAGCGCGAACTTCCTTGCTTCTGCGAGACTATTTGATTTCCCGGATACTGGCAGTAGTCCTCCTTGATGTCTTAGCCTCTCCCACGCGCGCACTTATTTTTCCTTGCGACTCCCAAAGCCCCGACGATATTTAACCCCCCTTTTATATATCAAGCGGTACTGTTCAGGCCTCGAGTGGAGATATTCCTCAAGGATGGCTTGGACTTCTTCGTAGGATATTGGCTGAGATCGTGCGCAGTTCCGAAAATGGAAGGCTATCGCTCTTCTATGGGGTTGGTGGGAATACTTTTCCCCAACCGTCATATCATTAGACTAAAACGGACTTAAGGCGTTCGATAGTTCGACAGGTGTAATATATTGATTGCAAATATTGAGAGTACAACAGGTAATGGTGAATTGTTGACCAATTTGAGCTGCTCGTGGGCGATTGTAGGGGTGCTGGAATTCTTCCGTATAAGGTTTGGGCGTGTTCTCGAACATTTTAAAAACTTTGATCCAGGACTTTGCTTGCGCTTGCAGTCCTGCGTTCGGCATGTAGTCTAGGTTGTGTAGTTGCATCTTTCCCGTAGGTTCGTTTGGTGTGTCCATGCTGGGCTGTAATGGTTGCTAGCTAGTCTTGTGGAGTATTTGGGTAGGTAGCTTTCAGATTTTGTCTGAAGCAAGCTGTCGTATCGAATGGTTTATATATGTATGAACCCCTCCCGTCGGAGAGGACCGAGAGTTAGAGAGGTATTGAATGTTTCACATCATTTGGTAGTGTGTGACGGCTTTCTTCCTAGCCGAAGAGATGTTGCTATCGTTGCTCTTGAATAGATTTAGAGGGTTGGGACGGTTGTTTCTAGATGGCTCCGAAACTGTGAATATGGCGCTTGTGCCCGGAACCGCAAGGGTGAGTGACGTAGAGGTTGGCTCTATATGAGGTGTTGAGTTTGCAAAGGATGACAGCTTGGATACTAGTTGTAGTGTTACTGTTCTTGTTGTTGACATATCGCTCCCGAAAGATGCGGTAGTTATCGGGTTAGAGGTTAAGCGCAAAATCAGCGACGATTATATGAGCGAGATACCAACCGGCGGTGGCCTAGACGTTGGTTATTGGAGTCCTATAGGGGTTCGACCGATTTTTTCGACCATTAATGATGCGGTAAATGCGGCCTACTACATTAACGGGGAGGCTTGTTAAAGAAACATTGCCATTCTCAATATTTTATAGGCAACTTAAACATATGTATCTTGTGCGTGTTTATATGCTTTGTATGTAGTTCGACGTAGTTCCTGAATATTATTTATTTACTGCTGCTTAGCATCAAATTCCGCTCGTTAGAATACGATACTTTCGCCGGCATGTACGCAGTAGAAGTATTACGCCCAACAATCGTTGTAATACTTGACGCCGTGTTGCGAAGTGTGGTAGTTTTGAAAAGGTGCATACCGTTTCGGAGCCAGGTAGCATACCCCAGAACTCCGAGGTAATCAACAAGCTGTTGGTACCTCAGGGATATATATATCAGCACAGCCTGCCCCTCCTATCAAGGTCTCTAACGCAATAGATGCATTCACATACTGACTCTTATGTTCCTCCACCTGACACTTAAATATCAGGTATATAAGGTATGCAACTGCGACCTTTCACTTCAGGTTTACTAGCCTAGAACAACTTCTATTTCAATCAACGTAACTGGCGTCGCTACGTCACAATCGACAGCTCAAATAAACGTTAACGCGTTATCAGCCTCGCTCATGGACGCCGAAAACTCCTCGAACACGAACGGTCCGGCTAGCGGCACCAAATGTTGGCTCCACTCTACTCAAGACGGCCTTGTTAAGCAGATCAGCTTGTTACAGAAAAGAAAGGGCGATTTCGATGTGGTCGTTATCAATATCAAGGAAGGAGTAGAGAAGTTGAATAAAATGGAGCCTGGAGACGAGATGTGTCAACGTCTCGAAAAATTGGCTGAAATGGCAAAAAGATATATTAGCATGCTAGCCGCTGCTGCTCCATTTCTGATGTGCGACTGCAATAACAGTCAAGACAAAGCTGTGGCAAGACTTTACTTCGGTCAACGAAGTGAATTAAACCAGATAGTCAACGATGCCTACGACGCCTTCTTGCTCCGTTTGAGAAAGATGGATGACATTCCAGATCCATCTATGGAAATAGAGCTTCATCATAGCGATGATGATCGCGAGAGCTTTTCGACTTGTACGGATCTGTTTAGGGGATTGGTATATGAGGTTACCGGAATCTCCCCTGCTAGCTAAACTTCTAGAGCCGTCAAGTCGGCTCTTTCGAAGACAGAAAAGACATCGAGGGCTATATCCCATCAACGAGAAGGAAAGTGCGCGGTCTAAGAACTCGAAAGGGGATATTGCAGCTTCGAATTTGCCAGAAATCAACTGGAACTACTACTAGGGAGGCAGGGAAGGCGCCATGTTTTCGTTAAGCTGCCCGTGGCTAGTTGCAGCTCCCTTGGCACGATTTCGTTTTCCTCGCCGATTAATTAAGCATATTCATTACATTATGAGCATAAAATTGTATCATACGTTCCATAACACCTAATACCAACATTTCATAGTTGTAATACCACAGTGCTGTATCACATCAGTGAATTCAGAAACAAATCCCTAATAAGCATGGGCGCACCTTTTTTGGGGCGAGAAGAGCGAGAGTAAATACTGACAGCCTGCATATCCATGCGCTCTTGTAACTCGAAGCCTAGAACGTCCTACAGGCCATCTGTCGCTTAAGATAGCCAATATCTGTTGACTTGCTTTATTCGATCGCATCATATTAGCTATAGTCTTTGGTATATGCCGCCGAAATATCAAATTTTACATCATGTTCATGGCTGAAAAGTTCGAAAAATGCGGAAACGCCACCTTGGATGCAAGGTGATAATGAGTGTGCATATGCACGCACGTTCATATAGGACGATCTCACGTTCGCCGCGCCTCTCACAGGAGGCATTCCCTTTTTCTTGCTCTGGGCCTCCTTTATGAGGTAATATCACAAAATATATCGATAATGTCTGGGAATACAATACCCTACTATAAGTTAAGTCATTCCATTCATGAAATGGATCAACCAGACCTCCACAGTCACTACAATCTGCAACCTTAGTCTGCGAACTTTCCATTCCACTATTAAGCCTACTCTAAGTACTCCTCCCGGCAAAACGGACGGTTACCTCTGTCAGAAGTTTAAGCCCGCCACCTCTCCCGAGCGATGCCGAATTTCGCAAAGTTGGTTCGTACACCCTATAATTATCGATCCTTCACGCAATTATATAGCCTATTAACTTAGAGTTAACGTTAATATCATATCAATAGTTTCGTTGGGCCCCTCGGAAGGCGGTTAAGCCGCAACTTAGAATCCCTGATCGATCAGATAAAGGCAAGAACGATACGAAGCGATCGTCTACAGCGAATGACGGCAGAGGGTTGATGCATGCCCCCAAGAAGAAGAAAAACAAACAAAAGAAGGACCCCGAGACAAATGCAAGCGAGATATGCGAAGATTGTGGTGGCGACCTATCCGACTGTGACTGCAGCCTGTATGGTTAATTCAATACTCCAAATAAAGTATTCGGATCTAGAGCACTAGCACAAGCGCTTTGGTCGAAACTGTGTTACGGGTGTTGCAGTTTCACTTGCTAGTTCGTTCTGGATAATATTGTATCAGTACAGCAACGAAATAGTTCTGGTTGCAATGGTGTCAAGCGTGTGCGTATTCTCTATACTTATAGAAAGTCCAAATGGTCCGTTATATCCTAAGGCGCAAGACTGGAGAATTTGATATGTATTTATTTGAAAATCCGTTACTCTAATATAGAATTCGAACCCTATCGAAATTGGCCGATTATCACTTGCAGCGAGGAACTGAAGAATTTTGTCTTATCGGATATGGCTATGCTACTGCAATTAATACAATAATATTATGACATACTAGGCGTATGTATACAGGAAAGATAAGTACTCGAAACCGCAGACGAGATATGAGTAATATCTATATGAAATTTCGGACAGGAATTGACAGTTGTGGCCCACCCGGCTGTGCCGGGGACGAGTTGTGGCCATATAACCGGCCATAATTTTTCGACGACCTAAAACGAAAGTGCCGCAGACCCGGTACATAACAGTTCTAAGTCCGACTTAAATGATGAAATTTGACTCGCGGTCATCCACGTAACTTTGGGCGAGCGTTTGGACCGGCGGCATTTGCTCAGTAGCAAATTGTCCTCGAAACCGTCGATATCCCTCATAGCATGCTCGACATTGCGACCTGTTCCGGTGGAGCTTTGGAGCGATATAACCCAAAATCCTTCTGCCAACGGATATATTGCGACCGAAACCCCGAATTTCTGAGCCTATATGCGTGTAACTATGTTAATCGGGAGTTTGCGCTTGGTTGGAAATCTAAGTTCTTACATTTGCTTTGGTGCGGTCAATCCAACCAGGGTACACTTCGTCGAGCTTCGTGTCCGGTAATGTTCCAGCAAATACACCGCGATGGATAATGGGATTATTGACTGGCGACGGAGGTGGCGGCAAATATGAAGTTGTAGTCAAAAGTATTTCATGATGAATAGTCAAATAACTTGATGCAGGCACCTTTTTCATACCACCTAGATCTTTGGTGTTTGTTGCAGCCGAGAGCCATCTTTTTCGTGGGCTGGGTTGAGGTTCCACTGGCATCTTAAGCACAGGCTTAACATCTTTGATAGAGGAAGTACTATTGACGAGGATTCCTTTGGGGCTTTTCGCAGGCTTGCCTAAGCGGGGTCGTTTCGGGAACATGGTGAATACGATTGTATAATGCTGGGTATCCGCGATCAGGTAGGAGGGCCGATGACTTTGAGTAGCATGAACGAGTGTTGGTGCGTGCATATGCAAGAACGCGAGACCGTGAACGAGGACGAGGGTAGTAATTTTCCAGGGGCTGAAAAGTCGGAGAGATGGAAACACTGTATCTCATAATTACTTAGTCTTGGCATATAGCCGTTGGCATTTACGAGTATATCTATTAATTCGGTAATGGGCCAGCTTAATTTCCGCTCGAACTAGCCTCGTATCATTAGTACTGTCTACTATGTTGCACATATCGGCAAGTTTGGCCGTCCGGCGTGAGCGGTATATCACATCGACATATAATCAATTTAGCTCAACTGCAAGATCCCAAATATGACGATATCCGAGAATTTACTCAATTCATGGGGTGCTAGTACTATAGTTTTCATCAAGTTATGAAAAGGACCGAGCACCTGCGAAGAAGTACGCCAGAATGGTAGGAGCCATGATAGTATGCTAGTATGCTAGTGAAGAGTGGAAAAGAGAGTCTAGAATCAATCTAATGATGTAATCGGAATGCCGATGAAACCACTTGGATGCCTTGTTGTATTTCCTTTTTTTTTTTCCTTGTACAGTATGCATATGTACCTATATTTCCAATTTAATTCTAATTCCTAACATCCATTAGAGTCTTCGCCGAGTTGATAACATGAGGCAAGATAAAATTAAAAGAAAATATATGGAGTGAAGAAAGGGGGCTCTCAGGGTAGGCTTAAGCATATGTGCGGTGCGTGTTGCGCTGCAGCAGTTTATATATCGATCATTTACATTCGCTGATGAAGACTGGGTATAAAGGAAAAGTCCTTATACTTTAACCTAAGTTTATCTCGCTCCGTCAATCGTACACATCACCTGCAAATACTTGTCTCGTACCCAGACCTGGTCGTGCAAATACTTGCATATCGAACTTTTTCTTGTCACTAAAAGAAACAATGGCCCAGCAATCGATGCAATCTTGCGAGCAGCCAGCGCTTAAACTGTGGAAGCAGCACGGGCCCTTCCAACTGCACATAAAACTCACTGGGCCGGCTTTATCCATCATGCAGGTTAGCTTGTTCTCTTATACTTTAACCAATAGCGTTGTTCGCCAGTTAACAGAAATAGCATTTCCCTTTCGACAGCGAAGATTTCACTTGGAAGTGGGCCTTATGCCAGTTAGAATGCCTCAGGATGCCCACCCGAATCTGCAGCGATAGCCCGGTTGAGGACGACACCATCAATATTGCCAACTGCTGGCAACCTTTTACGTCTTACAACTGGATCTTCACAATTCACCAGAAGATCGACTTTCCCGACGGAACCCAGGACAGCGGGGAGCTCAGCGGTATTGGTGAATTTTCTTTCTTACCGATAAGCCAATTGTAGCCAATTTTTGATCCAGTTTCTCGGAGAGTCGATGTCGGCATAAACTCATCAGCCTATAGTAGGCTAATTTACCCAAGGCCGAGCGGGTCAAGCACTCGTACATGTATATAGTCTTCCTCTAATAAACTCGAAATATCTATCTATTTACAATATGAATTCAAAGCGCAAACCCCCATCTAAAATCAATAGCATACCATGCTACTAACTGTAATGCTAGTAGAGCCCGAATATTTCATCGGGTTTAAACGGTGGAATGAGCGAAATATTACATATAATGTAGATACTAATATATTAAAGCGGTTGCGGGCTCGGTAAGAAGGCCATGGCCGTGGATAGTCTTGCTTAACGGGGGTTCAAAAAAAAACATAGGAAAATTAGAAATGGGCTTGAGCTTAGGCTCGAGAGAGATATCGACTGGCATCGGGAATCGAGACGCACATGTGCCACCGTGCATCCGAAATTTTCGCAAAACCTAAGCATGAGGCGATCCTGCGTTGTTGCCACCACACGCTTGCGTCCACCGAGAAAAGTCCAGCCTCTCAACAAATTCGCAGGCAGACTTTTGGGTGTACGCATACTCCTCTAATATCTCGGACTCCCCAAACTCCGAGGATCCCTCACAACCAACGAAGCTATGGTTTTTTTTATTGATCTGGATCTTAGACCACATAGTAACTGTAGCCGGTGGATTTCGCTTTCGAGATATATCATCTTGCAATCGGTCAACCGCGGTGCGAGTATCTGAGAATGGCAGTTGCCCTGACGAATTTGTTGTAATGTGGGAGGTATTGCCAGGGACAAGCGGACGGTTTGATCCTTTGATCGATGTATATCGTGGGTTCGGTTGAGATTTAATCAGAATCAGCATTTCATCGTCAGGGAGAGTACTGGAGTCTACTCTTTTGTGGCTTTTTACGATGTTTGTAGGAGTATTCGGTCCCATCATAATCTAAAGTATAATAATAGTAATCAAAATAGCAGAGATGAAAGAATTTGGGTTTGAGCTGTGATGCGGATTGTATAGACCGGACGGCCATCTAGGACTCGGTCCGCCCTCTTTAAATACCTTCGTTATTTATCAAGCATTAAAATGTTCTCTAAAGAGTTTCAGGGTTTCGTTTTGCATTTTATCATTATGCACTACGCAGCGTTGGATGAAGTGTCTTTCGGTGTCCCTTATGGGTCACGGTCCAGACATCTTGATAGCAGAACTATACAGGCGGGGATACACACGTGCACCCACCTTCCAAATATGCTCATGCTTCTATTGAGTACCCATCATCCAGCGCGCACGTGTGGGTTACCTTCGTGCTCCAAAATAAAGTAAAAGCGCATAATCAAGAAGTTTCCGTAAGCGCCGATGCGGTAGATCTGTAACAGCTATGGTATAGTATAATATATGAGAAATAGAAGCATATTACATTGTCTACACCGTGTAGACTGGACCCGTTTTGCTTTAGCTCAATCAAGTTCGAAGCTACGATTTTGTGTTGTGGTGTTGGAAGCTGCTATGTCGTACAAAATGATTTGTGGAATCGAATCAAGGTGTCAATAAGACAGGAATTCAGGAAAAATATCTCTCAGCGGGGAATGGGGGCGTTGTGCACGTTGCCTAGTATGTGAACCCCAATCGAATATTGAAACGTCCGAAACCGGTGGCGTAAATTTATCTCAACTTAGGAAACTTGTGATACCCCAACCATCTTTTTTTGGGTGCCGCACATACATAGTACTCCTACTATCCTCATACGAGGTTACTGGAGTTCTCCACGCTTTGAAACACTTTCGAAAGCTCATTGGTAGTATGCGCAAATTTAAACAAGGATTCCTCAATTTCAAGAATTGGATGGTACCAGATTGAGAAAACACAAGCGAGTTTAATAGGTGTATCTCTTCTCCCCCTCTCGGCCATGCAAGGTATATACTGGAGAACCAAATTGCCGTTGAGATAATAGCTGTAACATTGCGGTGTGTAATGGTTTCCTGACCGTATGGATGCATGAGACGAAAAGTAGAGTTAATACTTACGTAAGAGTATGAAGTAATAGGGGAGCGCTACACCATTTTTGATATTACAGTGGGATATATCCTATAGACTAACCAAGTATTCTCAAAACAAAATATTGTGCAGTTGGGTTTGATCCGAATGATAGACAGCGCTGCAGCTATCAAAGCAGGAGCTCGGGCTTTATCGAAAGCCGATATTGGGACTTCAAAGAAACAGAATCTGCATGGATGTAGTGTCATTTGAATAAAACACGCGATGGTATGCATATGCATGTCGGCGTTGGCAACCTGTGGCATCATCTCTCTCGCCGGCAGCAATCGATCTTCAGGGATAGGTACCTAGTCGCCGGTCCTTGCGGCATCTGGGTACGAGGCCAGTACCCAGCTAGTTTGATAGATCTTATCAACAATACCACACAAGGCATTTTCAAAATGAATGTGTACAGAAACTCCTCCTTTGCTCGTCGTAATCGATCTTTAACAACATCACGGGCACATATTCGCCATCGTAGCCAGGGAAGCCTATGGGCCTAGCTCAGCCGCAGAGTCGACATCACCATTGCTATAGAGTTCTCTATGTCTTTTTCCGCCACCAGTAAACTGGGTGAAAGGGTAGCCCAAGACCAATATACCCAAATGACCGATGATCAAACGTATGAACAAGAAGAAACTGCTGCGAAAATTCTATCAACTATACGACATAGAGCCCCCTCTTATGTTTCTCCAACCGCCTGTCTCGCCCCTTCGACATACGAGGAAGAGCTTTACGCATACTACCCAAAAATAGATAAACAGATCAGCATCCCAGAACTCCAGGAAAAATTGGGAATATCCACAGATCCAGATGACCGGAAGAAAGCGAAATGGAAAAACCTTCGTGTATGTACCCCAATATTTGGCAGGAATGATAATATTCGAATATTGATCAACCTTTCATCAGGATCTTGTGGAGCGCCTATCATTGAAATTTGATTTCGAAGACAAAGGCGTAACCAATAGGGCCAAAATTACCCAGGCTATTGCAGAATCACCTGCCTGGAATGATTGTAACCCGATATCACTAACGGCAGCCTTCACGGAAGTTCTCATCTACAAATACCAGCGGAACGAACGTAGGAAGAATACTCCACGAGAATAGGAGCTTGGGTAGCCCAAGGCTTCTGCCTAGACACTCAAGTATGCAAGAGTGGTTTCATCGGCGGTGTAAGGGGTGCTGGGGGCGCTGGGGGCGCTGGGAAATCCGGGAAAGCTGGGAAGGCCGGGAAATCCGGGAAAGCTGGGAAAGTTGGGAGGGCCTGGGAGTGTAATTGGAAAGGTAGCGGAATGATCCATTTGAATATTAAAAGCCCATATATGTCAACTATTTCTCATTAATCCAGTCAAATTTCCATACTTACACATATCTACCCCTCCACGATTGCTCCCGCTGTTGGTCTGTATCTTATCAGCAGTATCTATCAATTTGATCGCTACCATATACCTTTTGTATAAGTCCTAAAATGGGGCGTCCAGCGCTTACCACCGAGTTTGTAGCTGCTGCAGCTACGATCCTTCGCCACTCTCGCATCCGTCGCTTTGCTAGAGATGCGTTCGCTTTCCTACAGAGGGTCCCCAGAGCTCTTAGCCCGCAAACTATTGAAAAAATACAGACTCACGAGACCATGAGCCCAGCAAGCTTCGACCGACAGGAGATAAAAAGTATTCTGAAGCCTCTCACAGAATGTCAGCAATGCAACCCTCTTTCCATGGATGAAAAAGGCCTTCTCGCTCGAATACGGCACGACTACGTACCGAACTCGCTCGAAAATTCCCTTGCAGAAGCGCTTAGAGTGCGCAGTCGAAGGCACCAAGAGTCCAAATTGAGCGTTAAGCTGTCTCCCCACTTTTTCACAGTTACGGATCCGGTGATACACTTCGAGTTTATGGCTGTTGTTATCACAGAATTCCCCGACCTGTTTAACTGCCAAAAGCACCGTCATTGTGGGCTAAATTACTTTCGCAAAATTGGCTGGAGACCGAGTGCGCCTGAGGAAATAATATTAGAAATGTTTGCGAATGCGGCCATGGAGTATGTTCAACGATATAACTATTGCGGGCAACAGCTTGTCGACACAGAAGAGCCTGAACTACACAGGGAAAGAGTTAAGTTTATCGTATTTTAGTGTTTTCTCAGTCGCATTGAAACGGTATCAAATCGAATTTTTGTATATTATTCTCCAATATTTGTGTAAATTTACAACTTAAATACTTATTTAATCTCGGCGTCATTCCTTTGCTCTATCTGCGTCCAAAATCCAGCCCTTAATCCAAAGTGCTATGGCGCCAATCGCGGAGAGACTTAGCCTCGGACCCTGTGGTCCATCGATCAATCGCAACGGAACGTCAGAAATGAAGTTGGAAGGCCTTGAGGCAGTTGATGGCCGACTGGATTGGACTTACCCGCTACACCCAATCACAGGATTCAGTTGAGAACTTCTCAAGCCGGTCAGCTGTGTCTATACATGTACGTCCATACAAATGTACAAAAGGCTCACTTACGTTCGTCAATACCAAGATGGCTCTTTTTTTCAGCTCGTTCCCGCTTTAAATTAATTGATTCGGCACCCTCACTACTGGCGGACTGAGCTGATGGCGCTGAAGAAAGGGAAAGTGAGCTGGAACCTCGTGACCAGGGTGAGCTATCTAATGGATGCGGTGCAGGATCTTCGGACCAGTCTGGCAGCTTCTCCCAGCTTCTCATAACTAAGCCCCCAAGCCATACAAATAACCACTTATCTTCACTTGCGGACTCAAGCATATCAAACAGAACCTGACGAAAACCTTGACTAATATTAATATAACGAAGATTGTTAACAAATTTATTATAAATTTTATTTTTTAAAACTTCGCTCTGGTGATTAAATCCTTTTACAACAGGCTCAAACTCGGATCTGTGTTCTAGGAGCGGGCCCTCGCAACAGGTCTGCTATCTTAGTTAGCACAAGAGAGTTCGGAAGGAATGTAACTACTACGAACCCTGAAAATTTTCACAACGGCTGACATTTTGATATGCTTCCAGTTACCCGTCCTGGATAGATAATAGTCCACTTCAAATGCTTCTTGGATTACGGGTTGTGAGAGGCTATGTTTTAACGTTTTCGGTTTTGGGATATAAGGCGGCTTCTGCCGCTGGGCTCTTGACGGCCCAGGTTCCGATCCGTGCTGCGCGGGCCCAGGAGTGGTGGACATTGCTCGATTCGATCGCGGGTCGAGTCTCGCGATCTCGAAGCAGTCTGGTATTTCTTGTGCCCAACCAACCCCACTTGATTATGATCAAAGCTGATTTTATGTGGTGGTTGCATTAGTCTTGGCGTGAAAAAACACACTTCATACATGCTACTTATTTCATCCCTCCGCTCTACATGTACGTGTAGCTGAAGTATATGTACTTCATGCATGAATGCATATCCCTGTCGGCTTCAAATCCACAGCTCCCTCGTTATACCCCTGTCAGGTACCTCTCTATTCACTCTCACAACTGGGGTGGTCGCTAGCCAAAGAAACATTGCAATTTGTAGCCAATTACGTATCACGGCAATTGCAAGGCGAACGGGGAAAAAGAAAAATCGTCACCTAGCTCGTCCAGTCCAGGCAACCGAATTTCTAATTTACATTAACAATATACCAGGTCATCCGCACTTTTCTAACATTTGAGCGTCCAGTTTGGAGCTGACCGCAAGGGCCACTCGGCGACTGTTCTCGCTATGCATGGCCGTGTGGAGTCGACCTCCAACACGTTGGCCTCCTGGCCATGGCTATACCGCAAACCGCACCACCGCTTCAAATGATAATTTATAGGCGAGGTAGCATGTCCCATCCACTTGAATTTGCGTATTTGAGTATTCATTATTTATCCAACCAACCAGATATTCATATAGATTATCATCTTCATCTTCATCTTCATCGTTATATTATCATTATGGGTCTGTCAATATGGCTCAGAAACTTGGTCCAAGGATTCTGCACCATCTTGAAACGTCCAGAAACTAAATTTGAAGCTCCTCTATCTGGTTGTGGACCTTCAACGCAAACACAAACGCAAACGCAAATGCAAACGCAAAAGCGAGCACATATGCAAGCGAATGCATCTGCAGTCCCACCCTTGCAATTGCTATCTTCACCAGCCCGAGCAGTATCTATTCCTGCCTCACCAAAGCGTCTGACCAAACCCAATGACTGGCTCCCTCAGCTGTCAGTCAACCCCAAGGAACGGCTACTGTATCCACTGCCAGACACTTCACCAAAGCCTCCCCCAAACACACCAACCGAGAACAGCAAGTTCAACTTGGGGGTCTTCGACTTATTCCCACGCCCACCAACCCAGAAGGTTGTACATAAACAGGCAGTGAACCCGCACGCTGCACTTCAAGAAACCCTTCAATGCCTACAAGTACGGGATCCGCCCTTCACCAGTATTCAATACACCTCAGTACGACGAGGACGAAGTCAACATACTATCGAAGCAAGCCAACCCCAGGTCATCTCGGACATGGCGAAGCAATCGCAGGCCTCCAAAGTCCGGAGAGGGTTGAATAAGATACCCAGGATGGCGGATCAGAAACATCAGGGTTGTATGCTGCGTTAACTTTCCGATCGTTGCGACTTCGAGCAAGTGCTAATTGAATTATAATAGCCATTAGTTGTGAAGGAGACCATAGGTCGCGATCCCCTATTGATAATAGAGCTGCAAGACCTGAATCCGGTACCATCCCGGTTGACCAACTTCCGAAACTAATCACGAAACACTGGGAGTGTGAAAAGGGAGGCCGTGTAGAGGAGCTTCGTCGTGTGAGCGAAGGACAGCGGGCTCCGAACTCAACAATGAATGCTGCTTTGCCTTCACCCGAAGTCTATCGCCTAAGCCCTCGCATTCGAAAATCATCGTTCGAGACTCTGTCTACTTCCTCATCGTTGAAAACCCAGAATGTTCCCGAGGAAACCCAGATCGAGTCGTCATATACGATGGATGGCGTGGTTGACAACACTTGCGACAGTATTCACCCAAGGACACCGAGAACTGTCATTGCCCCGACGTTTGCCGCAGCGATGTTCACTGATATTCATACTTGATCTTATCGTGTACCTTCTATTCAATTTTCTCTGTATATAGCCTTCTAAATCTAAATAAATTTATCAATACCTACACTTCTTGCCTCAACGCAGCGCCGCCCTCGTGGGCATAAATATTACCACAAAGTAGTAAGCGACCGTCCGGACTATTCCCGTGGCCACACTACATGGACCGAAAAGCCCGTTTCAATCGACTATTCTAACTAGGACCCCAACTCTAGCATTTCCGTTAGATAACTGGAATAGCCTGAGCTTACGGCAATGCCGATGTTAAGCACACTCTTGGCATATGGGATCTCGACAGCCTAGTTTAAGATGAGGTGTGTGCATCGCCGATATCGTAATTGAAATCTCGAAATAGACCGACTCGATCACTCGCCGTATATCACTTGAATTTCCATATAGGCCGGTAAATCTTATTTATTGCCCTAGCCGGGGAAGCTAGTCGGATATACGCCTCGGTACTTCTGGTTCGCTTTCGTGGCGGTTCGGATCATCTATTGCCAATGTTTCCCGGGCTGCAGGGCTGCCGAATATATATTAATACCAGCCTTGAAGAGGTGGAGGCCGCCCTCTATCCACCTGGCACCCAAAACCTCAAACCCAGCTATCTTTAACACCCCCAGTCCCATTTACGACGGCCCTCTTACAAAGCCCTCTCAGTGCCCAAGCTAGAACAGCGACTTACACAATGTCCAAAGCACCGTCACCCGCCCGCATATATGGTCACGCAGAATTCGATGGCAGGACGCACAAGGTGACAACCGAAATTAGTGGAGTTAGCCTTGACAAAATCCTTAAGTGCCTTGTACAGGTATGGCCCAACATGCAGCGGGTTCCTAAAGTCACGCCAGAAGCTTGAACGTAGCTAACGATATCGTAGCCCTTTTTGGGGACGCAAAACCTTACAGCATGGTCGTTCATTCGTGCAAAAGAAATCGGTACTCGATGGGAGTCGAATGATGCAGAAACCTTTACGTGGCGCTTTATTCCATTGTCCCACGGTGGAATGCTATCAGTCATCGAATACTATATCATCACGGAGATCGAACCGACTAGCGCCGACGATATTGGGGACAAGGATTGGAAAATATCCAGCGAATATTTACAGGGAGGAGGTGATGCTTTTGATCAACGCCTGTATGAGCTGCTGAATGGACAAAAATAAAAACAGGACGCTAGATAGGGTCCAGATAATAGTACATGGATAACTTGATAGTTCTAGACCTTGGCCTATTAAACTGGCTGTGTAGTTACAAATGTATTTCTTGCCCATACTCTGTGGAGTTGGGCTGGCACCGCGATCAAGACAAGTTCATACTGCCCCTTACTCCTTGATGTAATACGCCATACATATCTGTGACGTCTAGATTCCTCGCGGGCCACGATCATCGTACGGACCTAGACGTATAAGACAGCGGCTGGATGCGAGGGACACTTTGCCGTCTCAGCTGACCTTGATCTTTCAGAGAGCCCGTCTCGCCCAATCTTGTAACTAGCTGCGTAAAATTAAATGGGAGGCTTGAAAGCTTTTGAGAGTGAGCCAAATCCGGGCGTGGTTAGAACACCTAGACCCTAGTCGCCCGCTCATTATCAAAAAATCTACTTCGAGACGTTACACCCATAACTTATTAAATCGGATGCATAGCCCAGATCCCTTCAAGTTGGTTAACCCAAGAGGACTAAGATACTAGTGAATCTACTAAAGTTACCGAAACCGCACCTTCTTGTCAGGACAAATCCAATACAGAGAACCATAATGCTAGCACCGACGAGCCTAGGGAGAAAGAAACGGAACTCAACCTGCAGCCTAGAAAACGAGCCTAAGCGCCAGAGAATACGGAAAAATGAATCTGATGTTTCCAAGTTATTACACACTACTTGTGAGTATCCAGCCAAACCGATCTGCTGTACCCCAAATGATTCTTAGTCCTCGACTTAATTTTCTCGAAATTGTAGATAATAGTACTGTTAATTTGAGCCTACCAAAAATATCTATCGAGCCCGAGCTCACGATCCAAGGAGGTACTACGGGCCACAAAACGACGATTTGGCCCTCTGACGGGAATTTCTTGATATCTGCCAAGAGTAGCGAGGAGTTGGAGATGCATCGGGAGAACCACACGAAGGAGCAAGTAGCGTCGATCTCTATTGTGGCACTTGGAGGCTTTGTTGAGGAACAAGACCCCCTCGACTTTGAGATTCCGGTCTCTAATGGACTTAGCCACCACTTAGTTTCGTCTTTTCAATCAATGGTGATAGAAGTAGGAGACATAGACTCACTGTTAAGTCTAGGGGTTTTTTTTGCCACTATTGAACGTAGGAACAAGCAGGGCTGTCGCCATATTTAGGTTAACATGATAGAAATGTACTCTTAAAAATCAGGGCCTTTCCTGGCCGGCTATCATGCGTATTTAGGCAAATTTGAATGTTTATCTAGCGGGACCAACCGCGGAGCGATGCAACTAGCCGACCGGCGCAAATGGAAAATATATGAAATAGTATTAACTACATAGCATCTTGAGCTCCTCCCTTACATGAGGAGTGATGAAAACGCAAGCTGGAATTATTTTTAAAAACCATATTACACTTCCAACATGATATGAAGCCGAAAATTGGCGCGTACAGTGGCCCAAGCATTCTGCAGCTACCCATATGAGCAAATATTATATCCAATCTACCTTCAACATCCTCAATTTCAGAACTCACGGTCCTGTTTAGAATCTGATTGCGACAATGCCTGCAACGGCCGGTTTTTTGTAACCTTTCCAGCAACTTCCTACCCCTACAATTAGCTACAAGTTCCCCAGGCTGGAATTTGTGAAAGGTTCGTTCATGATCCTCAAGTGTAGCAGACTTTACAAACGACCTAAAGCAACTCCGACATACCCATGATTTAGTGGTTCCCACGGGTGAACTTCTGTGTGGGTTTGGCACTGCGAGACCAGTGGTTCCCAGCTCCAACTGTGGTTTAAGGTTCCTGTCTTGGGCCCCGCCTTGGGCCCCGCCTTGGGCCCCGGCTAGGAAAAAACCTTGACACAATAACATGTAACACGTGACCACATATTGCGAAAACCAAACTTTGCCGTGAAGGGGTAGTATCCGTTTCTGAGCAACCAAACTCCCAACTAGCTCTGGCAGGGTGCTCCACGTCTCGAAGGGCTCCTTCGGGGAGCAAGTGTCGATTGTCGGTTCATCCGGGTAAAATTCGCACATATACGCGTCAATAATTCTATGAACATTGTCATAGATGTATGTCTCACGGCTTTGGCCGGTACACATCCGCCGGAAAAAAACAGAGGCCTGAAGGATATCTCGCCTATTAGGAGCCGGTTGTGCGTCTTTTCCTCGAATTATATATCTGATAGTATCAGATAATCCGTCGACTAAATCCCATTTCCATTTCATGCAACTGCCCAACAGTTCGTAAAACAACCAGCGATACTGAGAATAAACTTGCGAGTTGATATTCCCCAACCCATGTACCCCGAAGCAAATCTCGGAGTGCCGCTCTCTGGGAACACCAAATGGTAAAAGGCCATGGCAAGCGCTACACATTTCTGGCCAGTATCGATAAAAATGAGCGTCTTGATCATGAGACTGCTTCCAGTGCTGTCTTAGCGAATGTTCTGAGAGCGTCTGGTTATTGCAAAGGGCGCAAATAAAACGTTTTAGTCGGTTTCGGTTGAGAAACTGGCTGCTGTGACTAGATAGGCTGGAATGGGATACTGAAATAGCATCTGAGAGGTTGTTTTCCATTCTTAAATCAGTATAACCGGGACTTCGTGTACGTGTAGTGACGTTAGGTATGTTTCCGATGAGACTTCGCTCGGATAACCTACAACACCACTGAAGATACTCTTGTGTCCAGTTCAAAATATTTTGCGACAGGACCCCTCCCATGTCGTAAACTTGGATGGTAGCGTCAGCTATGTTGACCAGGAGGTACATATCTGTCGCCGACAAAGGTTCCTTGATGCCACCCCGCAAGCGAATGTCGTCGAACAGAACTGGCTCTTCTACTTGGAACTTCTTTTTGATATATGCGCAAATTTCCTGGGCAATTTGCCCATAAATTGGTGTCTCAGGGTTGCTGCTGAGTATGATTGAGAAATGGAGTTTGAAGAGCATATGGCATTGTTGGATTCCAATCGGTACGTAAGAAGGATTAGAAGGAGAATCTTCCAAAATCTTCCAGAGCGCTGCTAAGGGCTCCCCTTCTCGAATTAAAATTGACGATGCGGAACAAAAAGCGTTAAAGAATGCCTGCCGTTCTATGGGGTCCATCTTAGACTGGGGAGTGGGAGCCGCAAATGTACTTGCTCGAGGGTCTATGGAGCCTGACAGAGCGAATCATAACAGAAAATATTAATATCAACGGAATAGACTTTCAACACGTTTGCAGTGCGGTGCTGTTTTGCACAGTTTCTCACCATCTCAGCCTACGCCCTCATCAAATATATATACATAGTGCTATATATAATTGAAGGGGTCTGCCTACCTGATTCACGAAACAGATACCCATGTGTTATGCGTATACCACCATTTAATTTAAGGATGGCAAGGCGCGAAGAATAGGTTTCGCGACCCTGAAGCCGCGGCTAGATTGGAGGCAGGCGTCACCACAGACGACAGCAATTAGAAAATGCGATCAGGAACGATATATGATAGTCGGCTGGGCCGGAGCTGAGTAGCTGGTGGTATGATTATTTTCTACACGATATTCGACCATGGCTAAGAATAGAATACGCGACATAAGAACCCCCCTTCCACTCTACGCTTTAATACCGGCTGTTTTCTTCAAGAGTAATCTACAATTGTGATCATGTGAGAGCACGTTGAAATTGTCTCGGAATCCGGGACGAGAACGGTATTACTCGATTTAATTTACTGGCTATCATGATGCATGATAAGTGTGTTTGTCAAATAATCTTGAGGTAGTTTTGTCTCGCACCCAGACGTCGCAAGAGCTGGTGAAGGTAGCCTCATGGTATGATCACTTCCCTAGGCCCGCGTTTGACGAGGTAAAATTAGCCGGAGATGACTGAAGCCGTGAAATATTAAATATATTAATATCGAAGTTGGGCCTATAGTTAAGCTAAGCTAAGGATCTCAGCCTCAAATTCACATATCGAGGCGAGATGCCGAAGGCGAGTATGTGGATCAATTCCATCTGGTGGCCTAACCATATTGATACATCTCCTGGACGCCGATTCGTAGTTTTAGCTTCTGGGCCGCCCCATTACAACCAATCCGGCTGCAGGCGCATGATATGCTGCAGCGATGCATGCAGTCGATCGAATCGATATTATATCGATGTACATGTACATGTAACGTCCGTCGAGCGCGAGCCGTCTCTCGACCTCGACTCTCCAGCCAATCACACTGCAATTTTGTGTTGCAGCTGATCTACCCCACTCGACTCCAAAACTTGCACAGCGCACCATTCCCCGCTGAGAGGTATTTTTCCTGATTTCCTGTCTTATCGACACCTTGATTCCACAACGGCACAACGTGTACAACTCAGTTTCGAACACCGTGAATTAATCCCCCGCCGAGACATCTCCCCCATCCAGACTCGTCCCACCCCCGGATATGTCCTCATCGGCTGGACCTTCTAGTAGTCTTACTCGGCCTAGCGTCCCACGGCCAACTCTAGAGAGGGGGCAAAATTTGACTAACACTGTTGTCAAAGATGCTTTTGGTAGTGAAGATTGGCTTGAGCGCACAGGAAATTGGGCCAAAAAGCTCACCATTGATAACACCATGAGGCTCATACAGGTATCTTTGACCGGAAATAAACCCTACGGCGCAAAATTACGCTGGCTAAGTTCAACATGGGGCAAATAGAAAATATGCGACGAGGTCTACAATCAGCATGAAGGACAAATGTCCCCTAGCTTTACTTTTCAAAAACAGAATACTGATATCAAGGATGCTATGTACAATAAATTTCTTTTTTTGCTTCAGACTTATGAAATGGAAGAAGACTACCGATCTCTCATTTTGGACATGCTTGATGCGACAGACCCAAACGAAGAGGGGTTTCGAGGGCCCCGGTGGCTGTTTGAAGTTTGCATGCGTCGTACATGGGACAATCGAAGTTCGAGAGCAAAGGGAAAGGATCCTAAAGCAAAAAAACGCACTCGGGGATCGGCTCACTTTCAACCAGAGAGGTAGTTTTCTCTATTTGGATAATTCCTTGGAAATAAAACAGTTTCATTGACTCCATGATCGCTATAGTAGCGGCTAGAAAGACGGGATAATGGATCAAATGCACGACAGGATGCTATTTGTCTCCCTGCGCTCGGGCTTCAAGGTAGGAAGTTGTCTCACGATGTTGGGCAAACATATGCATATGCATATTGGTTTCTTGAGACGGACGCTTTCAGATTCTGAGTCGGGCTGGAATGCTACCCAATGACAATACAGGTTTTTCTTTTCTTCTACCATGAATTGCCCACTCATGAGCAAGCTTGCAATCGTGATAGCCGAATAAGGGTGGAATGAATCTTGTTTCCACAACCCACACAGCTCATGAAATTATCTCAAAGCCAACGACCCGGCACATGGTATGGCCCTTCTTTTTTGGGGGTTTTCTTGATGCCCCGAACAATTCTTCTAAATGCTTTTTCAAGACGAACTTGTGTAATCGAGTTTTCGCCAAACGTCCAAACATAACCAGATACACAAGTAGACCGTGAAAAGCGTTGCCTGCAAGGTCCAGAAATCCTCCGAAATTTCGTTCATCTGGTTTTCCATCTTCATTGCAATAAGTAGATAGTCCCAGTGAACTATACTACCCTCATCTTGTCTGAACCTGCAAACTCGGTCAGGATCTCGTTCCTACCCAGCGGTCACTTCGATTTTACGCTGCGACCTCAGCTTTTAAAGACGGTGTTTTTTTCGCTAGATAGTAAAGACGAAAAATAAACCTACGTCATTTCGTGGGAACCGAGCACCTGTCTTTTCTAGCCCCAGGCTTCGGCGTTGCGGGTTGCATTTGCACGCTACGACTATTAAAGCTCGAGGTCTGGTTTTAGTTTGTAAAACGAGAAGACACGCTTCTTAATCTCAATGCAGTGGCACAAGTGAATATGTTGGTCAAGTGACGATTGCTCATTTAAACGTTTATTTGATGAATGGTAAATTCCAAATTCTTGGAATAAAGAGGTGCTTTGATATTAAGAAACAGGATCGTCAAATTTTAGAAGGGCTATAAAATATAGTTGGTAGTTATTTGTATTTGTATCACAATCTTCTGAATTTGAGATTAAGGTGTCGAGTTTTTTAGGCTGTTTATTTAAATTTTTATATAGATTTTTGTTTAAAGCAATATATATATATTTTTTGGATTTTGGTATGAAGTAGAAGATTTTCTTAAGCCTAAGCTTAAAATCAAGGGTTGATCAGAAAGCGCTGTCTGCAGGTTCGGATCTAATACAACGGGCTGGCTAGAATTTGGTTTTGGCGGCAAGCCTCGTGAGACATATCAATCTCAGCTGCCCATGAATGATCACGGCTCTGAGAGATGCCTGTACGGTCTCGTTCCCAACCCCCACGACCGCCATAAAGTTCCAAACAAGGAAACATGCAAAATTTGGTTGAAGATTCTCGGGATGTGTTATTCCGGCACGAACCTATAAGCCACAAGGGAAACAGCGCATAGCTATGAAAAAAGAAATTCCCTACAATACCTAAACTTGGTGATTCTGGCCCAAACCGCAAGGCTATAAAGACCTTCTTTCCAGACCCAACTGATATATGGGACAGCACAAATCTAACTCAAACTTACCACCACCGCCCTAGTACTACGTACTTTGTTTCCGACACAGGCCCTTAAAGTCAAGACCAACAGACCCTACTACCAAATTATGCCGTCTACGGACCCTTTTTCAGAAGTCGCCAAAACCGTCAGCCAGTATAGGAATTCCATACACAATTCTAAGCAGAGTGCACATCTCAGCGAAGTAGTTGCACCAACCTGCGCCCGAGTTAAAGCTAGCTCTAACTCTAATCAAATCACCCTACGCTATTTTTGTCTCTTCCTTCAGCTCAACAAGGAGATAGAAGCCACTTGCTGGCTCAATTCGCTCAGTCCTTATGACTCGGATAATTACAGGAGAGCGTTTCCAAAATTGCTAGAGTTTTGCAACGGAAGGATGTTGAAAACACCGGACCTAGAAGTTAAGATGGATCTCTCACGTCTGCCACCTCTAAGTGAGAGCCCGCGCGATGTCCACGACTTGATCCATCTGATAGGATGTTTTTTGAGTGCTCATCCTACTATGGCCCACGGGGCTTTACTCATCTTGGAGAAATTAATTGGGTTTTGTGGCGAGCAGAGTGAAGGTACGCCATCGGAACCCGCTCAGAACAGTCAGACGGGGAGAAAAAGGAAAGCCCCTGGCAGAACTGCGCTACGGATGAAAAAGTCCAAATCTAGCAACAAAACGACTCAGCGCGGCGGTGATCTTCCTGCAAATAGAAATCTCGAAGGCAACATATACGAATCATCGGAGTTGAAGCCTATATATAACCGCAGACTAACAAGAAGCCAGGGGAAACGTAATCCCCCCGCAAGCGTCGGAACTGGACGCTCCAAGATCGAAGAGATTATCGACAGTGATAACAGCCACGATGAAACTGAACCTCCCGAGATCGAAGACATAACCGACGACGATAGCAACTACGGTGAAGCCGAACCTCCTAAGATCGAAGAGATAACCGACGGCGATAGTAGCTATGACGAAACTCAACCTCTCGAGATCGAAGAGATAACCGACGGCGATAGTAGCTATGACGAAACTCAACCTCTCAAGATCGAAGAGATAACCGACGGCGATAGTAACTATGATGAAACGCAATTCAAGACCGAGGAGGGAGATACCAACGAACTGGAGGCTGGCACACTTAAATACGAAAATTGTTTGATTTGCAAGCGTCATATCTCGTCTCGTCAGGCCATATCCAGGCGCTTCCGGGCTTACCTTAATCACGCCAGTCGGGAACATTCAGGCGATCCCCATCTCGAAACGCTAACCAAATATAAGTGTCATGTTTGCAGTCGCTTCTTTGTCAGCGAGCTAGCTTTAAATGTACATGCGGGCAATCCGCCTCATTGCATGTTGGATCCTAATACAAGCGGGTGGGAGGTGTATGAGTCGGTTGAGTCCCACTCCGCACCCACTGTATGGGATTGCAAGAAATGCAGGGTTAGGATACCTCTGAGAGAAGCGAATGATTATACGAGTTTGCTTCAGAAAGCGATTTGTCATTTGAACAGAAAACATGGCCTCTGGATGACTATGAAATGTTCAGTTTGTATGAAGACCTTCATGTCGATTCAAGATATGGTTCGTCACCGAGAAAGATTCGGAACCATGAACTACCGCGCGGTGGGAAAGACCTGGACTGTCCCCCTTTACAGAACTCCGAAGAACTAGCAGGGTTTAAAGGAAGTTACAAGAACATGTAGAAGATACTGCATTTGCATTAGGCTGATCATCAATGGGATATTATCCAAGCTACTAGTCCATAATCCTGACAACATTTAAAACCTATAGTTCAATTTTGAGAACCATCAATTGTCCATAAACTAATATAATAAGATATATTACTTCGACAACACCCTCCTTATCAGTCGGACACTTATCACTAGCTTTCACAGATACCTAGGCCATTATACTTACGACTAGTTGAACGAAACCACATCGAGAATCACAACGATTTTATGAGCGAAGTAAGCAATGCGAAAATTGTGAGAGACGAGCCGCCATATATAAAACCCTTCATTTCATTGATGTCTATTCTGCGCATCTTCTGTTATATATGCATAACCAGGCTTTGCTGAACAGGATAGAATTCAAATTTATGGCAACGGAAAATGCTAGCGTTTTGAAGTCCTGGGTGAATATTGACTAATTCAATGCCTCGATACTTTATTACGGTTCGGCTTTCGCCTTATCCGTCACATCTAATCCTACCCGGTGAAGCCCCATTCTTCAAAGGGCGAGGCCCACCCCGCTGTAGGAATTTGGATCTTAATTCTTCAAAGTAGACAAATAAGGAGATATCTGCCTCGCTTAGAACTTGTTCGCGGGAAAGATGTGGTGACAGCCACTATTCTTCGAAATCACGAGGAGCAGAAATATCGTTGCGAGATTCTTCCCTCTCAAGCCTTCCTATGTTTGGTTTGGAAGGCGAAGGATGCTTTATGTATTGGATACTGAGGCTCTCACTGAGGGCAAGTGCGTGAATCTCTTCGATAGCGAGATTGTGATTAGGACCTTTAGTGATGGTTAGCAAAGTACTTCTGAAGGCCCTACCAGACCAAGTGGTGCCCTCAAGTATCTGAGCCTTTCTTGGTTCCTCTAAACGAGCCACCGATGGATGCTATACCAGGACCGAGATATGGAATTTAGCATACCTAAACCATTAGATCTTATGTTTCTTAGTCTGGCCACGACGACCGCAACTTTGGGAGACGATTCTGTATCCACGTCTTTCTTGGTTTCGTATCGGTGGTAAACTCGGTCGCGGAGACGTAGCTTCCCTTATAATTCGAGCCACGTCTTTGCGGGGCCGCGATGCGCTTGGTCAGTGCATTCAAAACTTTTCGCATTGTGGTGCGATAGATACTCAAGGACATGGTGAATCATCTCAGTTGGAAATATTAGCATCTTTTGAGGAGGTATAGAAGGCTGAATCGTTGCAGTATTAGCGGTGTCAGAGAGGGTTGGGAGACGAGGAGAGTGTGCGAACTATGTGGAGCTATCTGGTGCCCGCCTAATATTAAGACGGGTGCCGGCTCGACATACACAGATGACCCTGACTGCTTGCATCGAGGTCTAGCCCACCTGCAGATTAGTGGATAAGTCGCCCATAGCGTTCGCCCAAAAGTTATTTGGTTGCCTCCTTACATGGATGCAAGCTAGCCTCAGATCAACTAGGGGCAGATGACAATCGAGATGGGACGATGGCCGGCTTCGAAGTGGTGTGTGTAATAAACAGGGGGCTGAACTTTCATGGGTCAGCTTGTGGCAGTGGCAAGGAGATGAAATTGAGAATGGACCAACCGAGCGGGAATACTCTAGGGAGGATTAAATTTGGGCCGCCTAGGATGATATAAAGGAAAGGTTTCCTCTTTCTACAAGGCCTTGCATAAATTTTCAATTTTCATAGGCATATTATCACTCTCAGAGGAGCTTATATCCCATGATGCCTGACTACAAGCCCATGTCTAGCAGTCGCTGCGACAAATATAAACCTAATTCCGGCCATAAGAAGAGGCGTGGCGACAAAGAACCCAAAGCAGCTCGAGCCAAAATTCTCCGGGCCAAACAGAGAGGTACGTCTTCATGTTAAGTTAAAATAAAAAATGTATGTAGCTAAAATACTCAACAGAACATGTTATTAGCCCCGAAATCGAGACAACCCGCCCATGGGGAATGCCCAACGCCTCTAGCATCGAAACCGAACGCCTAGTGAACCTCGTTCAAATGCCCTTACTTTTATCCCAATCGGTGTCTATCGCTGGCCAAGTCGCCCCCCCCCTTCCCCCCCCCACAACCGCTACACCCACCACTGCCGGTGACTTTACAGCTTCAGGAGAAGAAGAAACTGTTGGTCCAGACTACCAGTTACCCGAACTCTCAGCACATTCGCATCCTCGAACAATAGAGGAGCTTGACGCCTGTGCTACCAAAATCATCGAGAGCAGCGCTCAGTTTATATATATATATCTGGAAAACCCCGATTCCCCCGCACCGGAATATATAAAGCTTATTTGGGATTGCATAGCAAGCTACCGCCGCTATACATTAGGGCAAGGTAGCTTCTACGTAGCAGTACAGCAAGGTAACTTAAATAATGCGCTATTAAACTTAGCAATGTGTTTTTTTGATATCGTATCTGCGGACAACCTAATGGGGACACGATGGATATTTGATAATATTATGACGGAGGTTGAGATTTTCGGATTTTCGAGCCAGGTCGAAGAAGAGGTAAAGAAGATGTGTTCCGAGGGGGCAAGAGTTCATGAACTTCTCACTGACATGCAGGGCGATCCCTGTCCGAGCGTGGGGAGTATACTGGACTGTAAATATCTCCCAAAACAGTGCTTGGTGGAAGTTGGTAAGGTATTTGCGGGATCCTTTCTAGATAGATACCACAAGCGCACAAGCGGGGTAGCACCGCATCAAAATGAGAACGGAAATTTGTACCTTTAATGTATCACCTCGCATCAATAAAGAAAGTCCACCTATACGTCTTTGTATTTAAAACTAAGAGATCCCAAATATGGACAACCAAAAAGCTACCATCACCGCAGAACTTTTGAGATGCGAGCGAATTTATCGATGCGTCAAGATATCCCGTATTGACGGCAAAACCAAAGCTGAATCCGAAGATTTATATGCTTTGTATGTAGTTTGACGTAGTTCCTGAATATTGTTTATTTACTGCTGCTTAACATTAAATTCCGCTCGTTAGAATTCAATACTTTCGCCGGCATGTACGCAGTAGATTATATCAAAAGAAAACGGTTGGGGTTATGAGATATGAAGCTTAGAACAAGAACCTATTACAGCATATATAAGGAGCGTGGTACGAATTGATGAAACCGGCCCTCATGCAGCTTTGTTCTACGATAATACCCAAGAATTTTGAAGCCATTTACAAGGAATGGACTGGCAGTTAGATCTTACCCCATGGTGGCGAGCAAGTCACTATGCGGAGTCGGAATATTGTGATAGATGACTACCGGAGCCGTCCCAAATATCTACTTACTGCCGATCACAAGCGCAAGACCTACTCTGCCCCTCTATTGGGAAGCCACGACTCGATGAAAAGGATGAAGCCATCGATCATCCCGCCTCAACGACTGTAATGCCGTTCACAGAAGCTATATTTGTACTTCGAGATGAATTTTCTAGTACTACAAAAAAGAGATTGAGTTATGGGGCCTTAAAGAACCATACCCATATATTTCATGTGAACTATCCCAAAAGCAGCACGGCCCACTCATCTCCAACCGCATTGAGGAGGGCGAAAAGGCACTTTTTGGACTCGCGGTCAAGACGCATCGCTACAGCAAGCACAGGGGCTCAGGCGCATCGCTACTATTATTACATTTTCCTAATTGAAATCTCCCGCCCGTAATCGAAGAGAAGTGATATCATTTCTAAGAAAGCCAGCTCCTACCCTCAATCATTGATAGTAAGAGGGGTGTTAATAGACGAACCAGGCTGCCCATCCCTTTCAGCTACAAACTCCAGTGTCAGCGAGTACAATGTTATACAACGAAATACGGGTAGTGTGATCTATATACCTCTGATAAAAGGAAATTCCCGTTTAACTTTGATTACTTGTTTCCGCGGCTGTTTTCGACGACTGCTGTTTGCGGCCAGTCTTTTCGATTGTCTTCTCTTGGAACTTTCTAGTGGCTGTGCACGTTTCTCAAGGTCGTGGTCCTTCCCTACTCTGACGCCCTGGGGAGTTTTAGCAGTGCTAATAAGTGAAATTCCGGGCTCGCTAGAAACTTTGGGCTGAGACCCCCCAGTTCCTGTAATGCTTTGTATCGGCGAATTTCCGTTTGAAATGGGACTCTTATCGCGGCCTTCCACACCAATGTTTTCAGAAGCCGTGTCAATGAATACCGACCCATCGTGTGATGTCTGGTCCTTAGATATGGTGTCCGCCGGTTGATGCCCAGTTCCTTGATGGACAATTTGAGTAGTTGCAGTTGTCGACGCGACGAATGGAGTTTGATTCTGTGGTAGGGCGTCCATTTCACTGTTTTGTCCCATTCTCGCCGGGTCATACCAAGCCGATATCCCCGGTAGTCGTTGAGGGGCTGGGCTTTCCCTTCCTTCGATACATATCGGCCATGTTTCGGGTAAACTAGCCAGGGAATGAGAAAGGGCTATCTCCCCTTGGGGCCGTCGTTCCATCCACATCCAATGCTGGAAAAAAACCCACTGCCGAGCTTGGAGTATTGAAATTGCACGCTTTTGCCACAACTTTTCGACTATGGTTGCGGTTGTCGCAAGGCAGGATTGGTACCGGCCTTCATTTGAGCTTCCCATATCCTCACTTGCAAATGTGCCCTTCAAGATACTCGATAGGAGATATTTGGCATATTCTTTGTCCATAAGCGCCTCTTGGTCGATTATTTGTAAAAATGTATCGATAATAGGTTGAGTGTCGTCGCGAATTATCCAGCCAACATGATCACGTATGAACTTGGCGGTATGGAATTGGAAATGAAGTAAACCATCGGCACTAGACTCTCCAGAATTTTTCCACGTGTTGAATACCTTTGCCAAATATGCCTTATCTTCCATTGCATCGGCGACAGCATCCAAGAGAGTGAATTCTACCGCCGTCGGCCCTTGGTGGGATTCTAACTCGAACATACTAGTTCGATATGGTGTTTTGAGGTGAAGACAAAACAAAAAGGGAGGGAAAAGAAGATTGGATTAACAAGACGGAAAGAAAGATTAAACGAACGAAAGAGTAGGGAAGCAACGAAAGAAATAGAGATGGGTTGAGCATGGAATTTAGGAACGGGACGGGAAAGGGGACCGAGCTGAACGCCCAAATATCATCCGCAGAAACCTGACTGCCCTAGGCTGAGCGTAAGCATGGGCCTTGTGATAATCAGCAAAGGCTACCTGATAGTGCTCATGAAAAATCCGCATCATATTGCTTGCATGCGCGGTCTCAGCCCCTTTACTCATCAATCGTCAATTTTTAGCAATGAAGGGGGTTCTGTGTGACCAGGAGGCCCAGGCCCGACCTATATCCCTCATTGATGCTACTTCCGGAGTCCCAAATAACGTACAGACACTTACCCGCGAAAAAAACCATATCAATGATTTACACGACAGGATTCACGCCCTTAAAAACTCCACCTTTGATGCACGAGCATCCTATATAAGGCCTTTATTTGACGACCTCAGAAAATCAGCTCTGACGCAAACTCCAGTCACTTCGAACCCGGTGTCTTATCGTCCGCCAAATGGCTGGGACGGCGATGAAATTTATTTGTCCGAGTGCAAAACGACCGTTTCATTAACGCCGCGCCAGGGCTTCGAGCACAGCCAGCTTACCGATTTAGCAGAGCACCCAGTAACTACTATTTACCTGACACTGGAGCCATGTGACTTTGCAGCCATTTCAAATATCGGGGCTTGGAACGTCACGCGATTGTATATATCCGTCGAAAGGCTCGAGAAAGGGCTCGGAACTCTCAACAACATCTTCGCCGGTTTCCCACATCTTGAGGTATGTCACTGGCCTGACTGTGGACCTATAGAGATTGAAGAGTTCGGATTGGAAAGGATTTCGCTTCCGAGCAGTCTCAGAGTTTTGGAACTGAGCAATACCGACTTCACCCCAACCGACTCTTTTGAACCACACGGGATCCCCACGAGTCTATATCAACGGGTGCCAATTGATAAAGAAGCCGTCACTCTAACGCTCAAAAAGTGGGGGAAACAGCTCGAAATCTGCGTCATCTGCGTCTACTTAGGTCAATATATCGACGATACATATTGTAAGGGCGACGTCAGTGCAGATGGCCATAACGACCCCGACGGTGACGGCGATGAAAGTTGTGAGGATGTTCGAGGATACTCCGCCGATTATACCGTTACCTTTTTCTCTGGAGATGAGTGCCCAAATTTTCAAGAAGTTCTCTTGCTACAATGTACATAACTCTGCAGACATTGGTTGGACATTGCCATTTCCAAGTTTTCCGTCTTTTACGTTTTTGATAATATGCTACGGTATTGTAATATGGAACAGTTATACCGCGTACCTTAGATTCTATATTCGGGATAAGCAGTTCAACCGTAGGAATTTCAAGGTTATAACAAAACCGTCCTATCAATTCCATGCCGGTCATGGAGCAGGAACCCGTCCATACTAAGGAGTAAGCAAACTATATAAATCCCTTGGGTTACCCCTGACAATAACAGGAGCCCTTGTGAGCTTACTTACACCTCTATCCGTTTGACGAAGCGAAATGTCTCGACAAGCAGAACCACCCTCGCTCGATCGTTTTGCTCGTGATTTAGTGAGCGAACAGTCTCAGGGAACAAGCCCCGAAGCAAACCAAGCCCCGAAGAAATGCACTCTAGAGTTCATTTGTCATCCCCCACCGAAGAAAACCGCTAAATGTCGATGGGATCCGACCAAATGCAATTTTGAAACGGTAGAGCATAGTTTGGAGGCGGCTCGAAAAGAGTTGGATGCCCACACCGTGACGGTGCACCTTAGCAAGCTCCGCATCAGCGCCGATCTTAATCTTTTGAGCGAGGGAGGGAAGGAACCATTTCTATACCATCCACTGCAAGATTGACGACTGCAGGGAAATGTTCTTGAATGAAGATGCCAGAGAAAGGCATCGAATAAGCCACCCACCACATTCAATCACCTATCGGCACTATTAAAACTGACAGATGGAACCGCGATCGGAGAGCTACCGCCACCTAAAATTTCAATTGGCAGCCAGTTACTCGGTATTCAAGATGAAGATGTCTAGTCGGTCGCTGGTATATCTCGCAGGTCCACTGGGGTATAGATACACGGAACATATCTTCCCGTTTTGACCCTTAGAAACCCTCCCCAGCGCCGGTCCCACAATTGGCGAGTATCCTTAGCCATCTTGGGGGTGCCATATACCAACAACTTTTGTCCGTTAGCAGATAGTTCCTTCCCTACAATAGCTCTATCGATATCTCTTACCGGTATACCTTCCCCACATTCTTGCGAACGACCCTAGGCCTTCACATGGTTGCCCAATGGCATACTATCTGTGGTGTCACACTTCGATCTTTCGTTATATTCCTGTCAATCTATATTCCGCAACAGGCGTTCCAAACAAATAGTCAAGATTGAGCGAAGCACAGCAGAAATTCTAGCCGTTTTCTTATATCACCATCACAAACCTGCGACTATTTATAATAGATCTAACGTTTTAGTAACATAAGATTTGGCTAGAAGGGAATGTTATTATTCACGTTCAAGTGGCATAGGGAGTAGTTATAATTGAAATATATAGATTAAATCTAGCTTGAAAATAAAGGAACTTGCATTATGCTTTATCGCCTTTACCCCCGGTCATCATAGCTTTAAGATTTGACTGACAGTATTCGTACCTTGCGCCTCGTTCCGCCTCGGGCCGAAGCGGTCTTCTTTTCCTGGGCTGGCTTCTTGGTCCATCCCGTCTACGTTTTCTTGAGAGATGCCGGTGCTCATAATCATCGATAGCCAGTTGCGAATTTGTTAGGTTGCCAATAGGCTCCCATGTATAATCCCCATATCCCACCCAGTTTACTAGATATTCTCTCTGCCCTCGCCGCACTCTGGAGCCCCCTATACTTTCGACTTCGTATTCTGTTTCTACATTGTCGAGTTTTCCCCAACCCAAATAAGGCACACAAGAGCTACTGATGCCGCTTATCTTGTCGTAGGTAAGGGAGCATCCAATCCCGTTCAACTTAGTTTGGCCCGATGGTATCTTCGCATTTACCCGATCTTCTCCTATTTTACTATTGAGGATATGCGCTAGTGAGATCGGCCCGTTCGAGGATCCCCCTATCTTGATTCTGCATTGGGGCTGCTCCTCATCCTCCGTATTTGACGGCTCTTTGTCTCGCTCAGATTTGGGGTGCCTTCCCTCTGGAGAAATATGTGCCGCTAGAGTATTCTTCGTGCCCAGGACTAGCTCGACAGAGGATACCCCGTTTGAACCGCGATTTTTTGCTTGATACCTATCTTCATCGAGATGACCTGCGGATTTTCGATTTTCATCTTTAAATTCGCCTTCATTTACGCCAGGGCGGGCCATCTGAAATTGCTAATCTTTATCGCACTCGGGTGTGCATTTGCGGTCCGAAGGGGGGGGTAGAGCGGCGTGCTCCTCATTTGAGAAGGCTGAATCGCTATAAACGGGGTTGGAGGAATTTGGAGTCGCATTCCCAGCCAGAGTAACGTAGTAGCTCTTTTCGCTCCTCGTGGAGGTGTGACCACCACCGCCTATAGGCGGAGCGGGATACAGAGAAGGGTCATCACAACTTGTAGGGATCAAACTGTTCGAATTTGCGTTATCCAGTCCCTCATCAAGAATAGTAGAGGAATCCGGGTCGTTCGATGGGCCATCGCAGGCAGCTAGGACCCTCTTTTCAGACTTAGGGTTCGTAGTGGATGGAAGGGGATTCGGTTCCATTCCAGCTTCCTGCGCTGCATTAGGACATAGTAATGGTTCCATGTCTAGGTACGGATTAGTCGCCCAAGAAAGTTAAGCTAGTAAAGACCTAAAAGGTAAAAGATTTCGTAGGATTTAGGCAGTCAAGGTAGAGACGAATCATTATCGAAATGTTGAGGAAGATATTGAGGGGAACGGCCTCTTTATACCTGTAAGCATGTGGCTTCCGTCCTAAGGATCGAGTTAATCTGCCTTGATGATTATAGATTACGTGTAGGATCCTCCCCGGAGCTCGGGATCATATTCATCCATATATGGCAATTACGTATATGTACGGCTGAGCTCAGTCTCGATGCCGGGGTTGGTGTTACTAATCTCGCCGGAGCCAGGGCCTCCGCGGCTCAAGAAACTCCTGAGGTCAGAAACCCCTCACCCAAAGTCATGTTGTTAGTTGGGCGCTAAATAAATACTTGTAATTAAAATTTGCACCCCGATAGAAGTAGGCATAATTGTGATTAAGTACGCTTCATCTCGTAAAAAGTATGTGATTAACTGTGACGCCGTGTTGCGAAGTGTGGTAATTTTGAAAGGGTGCATACCGTGGAACCGGGTAGCATACCCCAGAACTCTGAAGTGATCAACAAGCTGTTGGTACCTCAGGGATATATATATCAGCACGGTTTGCCCCTCCTATCAAGGTCTCTAACGCAATAGATGCATTCACATACCAGCTTCCCACAATATCTACCTAACGCTGTTCTAAAATGAAGCTCGCCAATATCTCATTTTTCTTGATTTCGATGTTTAGTTGCCCTTCACTATCCGATGCTGGCATCGGCCTCCCACTTTGTGTCACCAATCGGTGCCCCAAATATAGGATCACCAGTACGGTTATAAATTTCACTACGTTGACTTATTCCATCCCGTATGTGATCACATTACCGAGGCATACCGTAACTGTTGTCCAAACTGTTACGAACGATCTAGCAGACGCCGAAGCGACCATCAGAACCACAACTCGGCCCGACGAGGGCGTCGCCACGGAATCCGTCACTAATAATGAAACAACCATCACTAAGACAGCTAATAAATATCCAAAAACCTCTATTATTCCTGAGTCAAGTCCCACTACTGTAGGCATTGATTGCGGACATTGAAAGTCAGGCGAGCCCCTTAAGCCCCAAATTGCAAATATACCGTACAGTTTAGCTAAATTCTACATCTATATCAGCACAAATGGATGTAATCGATTGGAAGTGCATGGTCAATGCAAAGTAGGCTGCAGATATTATGTCCGATGAGTCCGCAGTCGTAACTACCCGTAACCAGTTCTTAGTTGATTCGAAGACATCCGAAAGGGGAGAAAGTCTGAAATACAGCTACTTGTGTATCTAGAAGTTGATGTTTGGAGTCAGTTTGTAATTCAATCGATGCAATTTGATACCTCTACAACCGATACCCTCATTACAATACTAGCAAATCATAAGAACAATACTAGCGGGTCTCAGCACTCCTTCTCGAGCAAGGGGAGTTATTGGTGTTAAAGTACTATAACCACAATCTCCGCAAGCTAGCGGAATATGTATACTGATTCTGACGCATACACTTTTCTTCGGGAAGACTAAAATAATTTCCAATATAAATTACACAATTTGGTTTGTTGGGTGTCCTCCGTACAAAATATAGATGCAAGAACTGCGGTGATAAGTGTCTTTTGGTAACCTTGACTTATTCGCTAAAACTTGGTTCAACGGTATCATCATACTCGGCAGCACTGATAGGAACTTTCTAGATATCGGCCTTAATTTTAATAGTTCCCGAATAGTGCATTCGAATTAACCATAAGAAGAAACTTTTTAATATCCCACACCGCGGAACTGTAGACATCGCGGGAACAACCTAACCATAATCGGCCAAAGGAGGTTTCAAGAGATGCTGTCCTATTTTCGCAAGCCTCGGCTGCATCTGCAGTATATATAAGGGCTTTCTTCTTCCAACTACTCACTCGGAACCTCTGGGAAAGTATCGGTCTTGCACTGATGCCAGAGCAGGCTGTTGTCGATAGATTCCCAACCACTTTTGACCTTTGTAGTGGAATTGGGACCCCGATGACTACCCCTTTGTCTCCAAAGTTGTACGTCAAACATTGTTTAGTTTTGCGATTTCGAATAGAGCCCTCCCATGCCCCATCTTCTTGGAGTATTCGGCCCCAGAGGTCCCATTGAAGGCTTGGATAAAGACCGGAATTATCCAGAACTTTTCCGAGATCGCAGGGTTTGAAGCTGAGGGCCGTGTTATCCGCAGAAGGGGAACTTCCCTTAAATTGACGATCAGCTAGGCACCATCCATCTAGATGGGTTCGAGCTAACGTGCTAGGTAGTTTTCGAAGACTGGTTATGTTCTCGAATTTCGCTTGGGCAAACGGTGCCATGGTAAGAAAGATATAGACAGGGAGCCAAGCAACGATATACGAAGTCTTGGACTGCATGATTGAAGTATTTTCTGCGTCTGGAATATAGATTAATGTTCGTTGTAAGTATTATTGTTCCGAGGAGAACGCAACATGTTTGATGGAAAGGTTGAGGCTTTTATATAGCAAGTATCATACGCGGTAAAGCCAACGTTCATGTTCGATTACGTCAAATTCCCAGTAATCGTTTCATCTCAATCCGGAAAGTCGTAAATTAAAAATTTTAACTCTAAATTAAGCAACGCTGGTTGAAACAGCCAGATGTTATTGGCTATAACTGTACATGTGCACCTGTTTCTTGGTGACGTCAGTCTTTAGTATTATTTAAGTATATCTCACGATATACGACGTCATAGTACTAAGATTGGAATCTGTTATAGAACGAAGGGCTCCTAAATCCGAAGAAGATTTGGTTGTGTTCCTCCGCCTGACGCTTAAATATCAGGTATATAAGGCAAGCAACCGCGACCTTTCGTCTCAGTTTTACTAACCTAGAACAAGCTCTATTCCATTCAACGTGACTTGCGTCGCTACATCACAATCGATAGCCCAAGTAAACGTTAACACGTTATTAGCCTCGCTCATGGATGCCGAGAACTCCTCGAACACGAACAGTCCGGCTAACGGCACCAAATGTTGGCTTCACTCTATTCAAGACGGCCTCGTTAAGCAGATCAGCTTGTTACACAAAAGAAAGAGCGATTTCGATGCGGTCGTTATCAATATCAAGGAAGGAGTAGGAAAGCTGAATAAAATGGAGCCTGGAGACGAGATGTGTCGAGATCTCGAAGGATTGGCCGAAACGGCGAAAATATATATTAGCATGCTAGCCGCTGCTGCTCCATTTCTCATGTGCGACTGCAATAACAGTCAAGACAAAGCTGTGGCAAGACTTTACTTCGGTCAACGAAGTGAATTAAACCAGATAGTCAACGATGCATATCACGCCTTCTGGCTCCGTTTCAGAAAGACGGATGACATTTCGGATCCATCTATGGAAATGGAGCTTCATCATAGCGATGGTGATCTTGAGAGCTTTTCGGCTTGTACGGTCCTGTTCAAGGGGTTGATATATGAGATTACCGGAGTCTACCCTTCTCACTAAACTTCTAGAGCTATCAAGTCCACTCTTAGGGGGGGCCAATCATGTATCTCTTAGCAGTCGGGAGCCCCAGAGCTACAACCCCTTTTTAGTAATATATCGTTCTCGCAATATCCTAATCCCTTTCCGATTCCCATATATTTAGAGGCCAACAGATTTGGCTACCAAGCCTGCTGAAGTGACTGACAGACTGCGGTATTGACTTGGCGGATTTAAAGAATAAACGGAAGCCGGCTGCTTTGAGGGCGGTGATACTCACGTAAGCCACCGCGTGCATTATTACTATCGGCTTCGTGAATTCGGGCTAGCCGGATTTGATTTTTTCTGCTTCAAGCGCTTGATACGCAAGCTCGCATATCTACGTCCAATTTACGGTTCCAGGGTCAAAAAGCAGGGTATTAGTTATTTGCATCATGCTATCGAGGGCCAAGGCCATACTTAAACTATATCTTGACAGTTATGCACTATGGCGCGGAGATAACACATGGTTTACCCAAAAGGGTCTTGCTCTCAACGCGAAGTATGCGGCTCTGGCCTTGAATCACACAATATGGGGAAAGAATTTAATTCTAGGATCTTGTGGTTCCACGAGGATGTGATCTCCGCCGCAAGATGCAGCTTTGGCGCCATATATGGAAAATTGGACACAGTTGCCCCAGCGAAACGCAACGCTAGAATGGAAACGATATGGGACAATAATGTACCGTTAATAAGATTGAGTATCTAGCTGCAAGGACTTCTATATAATACGGCTATGCTCTCCAAAGGCTGTGATTCTTAAAACCATGAAAGTCGAGGCGTTGCGATGCAAAGTATTCCACTCAATGCTATGAGAGAGGCACCGAAACTCCAACCCCCCCAATCCTTAATCAAGATCAAAACTTTTGTCGAAACGATAATAATAGTGAGTGCTTTAGTTATACTTTCTAGTTCGTCTATCTGACATACCGCGCGTATACAGCCCTACTATCTCTATGAATGAGAAAGATGGCCAAAAGCATTGTTGCACCGGTAGCGAACACTTCTGGAATTCTAACTTGGGCGAAGAAATCGTAGAGGGGTTTCCGCTTTCTAGCAGTGAAGAAAACACTGTTCTTGACTATGCCCCCGGGTGGCAAGGCAATGCGACTAGAGTATATCTTCCCTTATTTTACTGTCGTTTTGTTCTAAAGCTAGATATTTGACTTAATGCGATGGTGTTTCTAGGCACGTTTAGCTAGAAACGTAAAGATAAACTCGATTAGAGCGATCGACGCTGATGCCGCTGCAGTTGACGGATAAAACGAACAATATTTAGGAAGATTTGGGATCCTTATTCAAGCAGAAGTTAGAGATCTTGTCACATCCGAATCTCTTGATCCAAACAACAGTTTCCCGATCCGGGCCGAGCAACAAAAGAGTTTGCACGAAGACTACGAGATAAAGGATACCTGTCGACTGTGATTAGTGCTGATGTTGATACCCTTACCGAAGAGGCTGTAGTAGAACTTTTTAAGGAAGCTGGGTTGACGATTGTCGCAACGACACGGGCAGAGAGAGCCATATCTATTTTGGGCAGAAAGATGATGGATGACGGAAAGATAATAGAATACTATGTTTTCGTACCCTAGATGATTGTGACGGCTCTGAGATGCTAGCTTAGATCGAATGGTACTAGTTGAAAGAAACATCGCGCTTTCTTCCTCCTTATGAATATTATTTATAGGTTTAATTTATATACTGTCATGGGAGATTTTAGACCGCTGAGAGTTGGTCACGTAAATTTCGCACGTATTCGACACCCTCACTGCCTCTGCCATCCGCTATTGTCCATCGTAAAAATTTGACCACGGAATTGAGTCTTGTGCTCCGAGCCTTTCAACAGTGACGGCCGCTGCCTTACAAGCCTTTCCTACTGCCGTAGCCACATCCCAAATTCCAAGTCTCTTCGTTTTGACGTATTCTACTGCGTACATCCCGGCGAATGTATCCCTGCGTCAACATGAGTTGGGAGATATCAGCACTATACACTTATAAGGGCAGCCATTACCTACCCGGCTCCTGTCGTATCTACGACATTTATCACTTCTGTGGGACTCACAAGTCCCGATTTACTCGCCGTAACATAATAGGCTCCTTTGGCCCCCAGCGTGATAACCACGTGTTCTACACCCAGTTTAATGAAGTAACGCCCTGCCGTCTGCCACGCCGCTTCTATAGCAAACTGACCGATATCCGTTTTAGATAGCTTCATTGCCTCTGACTCGTTTAGTATGAGATGCGTGAGATTGTGGTATATTCGAGTATCCAAATAATCCGCTGGAGATGGGTTCAAGAGTGTATCGATGCCATATTTTGATGTAGTCTCCAATATCTTTCTTACAGATTCTAGTGAAGTATCGAAATGAAGGATGAGAAGGTCAGGTTTGTCGCTGCCGCACAAGCTACTCATCAAAGCCTCACTCGGTTGCCAGTTCATATTTGCGCCTTGGTACGCAATATTACTGCTTTCACCGGTTTTCGAATCAACTAGCACGCAGCAAATACCACTGGCATCTGCTGGAAGTATATCCACCCCAGTCACGTCGATACCGATCTCTGATAACTGTTCTTTAAGACGCGCTCCATATCCGTCCCCCCCTACGGCACCATGAAGGGCGACTCGGATGTCGAAATCGGCGGTATCCACCGTTCGGCAGGCGAGGCTAGGATCTATACTCGGGAAATAAATTCTCTTAATACTATGATCTGGTCTGTTATGGCTTAGGCGGTAAGCAGCAACGGCCGTGTTTGCCCCTTTGCCTCCATGGAGTCTCGCAAAACTCAGAGCATTCGTCGACTCCCCAATACCAGGAACCCGGTCCGTTGTGAAGATCATATCCACGTTAAGGGAGCCTAGAACGACAATCTGTCTTCTCATGTTTGCGTAAGACACATCTCCAGATCCATTCGTTTCAGCAGAACAGAGAGATGTTGGAGCTTGCATATTGTGTAACGCATATACTAAAGCGTTGATGCGGTTTGGTGGGGATAATTTCTGTAGACAAAGGCTCATTCGCTCGTACCCAAGGACCCAACCGCCGATATGTTTCCACCAATGTAACTTATCACAGTGCTGGAATTTTGCTTTGCCGCTGAGGGTGTTCTGAAGGTCGGTATATCCTTACTTTGGTACTATTTTAACCATGCGGCGGATCCGTCTTGGCTAAATAAATTGCTACGTGTGCGAATAGGGCGGGGTGCTGTCACAAATTATAGAGAAAGGAACATGTCATTTATTTTTCTTATATAGCCAAACACCAGAACCGTACAAACAAATGATCAGATGTCATATTAACAAGCCCAAGTAATAAGCAAGGAACACCCGAAACGACGTAACTCTACTTAGTCAGCATCTTGGCAAGATTTGGGAAGAGAAACGGCTTTTCTGCATTGCAATGCCTGCTTCTTTAAATCTTCCATATATCGAAAAATTAAATCATCCACAAGCATCCGACTACTAACCAGGGTTTCTGCCCATCGTACTTCCCTTGAACCCACTCCATCATGAGCACTCTTTCTCTCGCTCAATATTTCTCCAACTTCCCAAAGTCGGCTCCTCGCGGTTCCAGCGAGAGGTAAGCTATCCCCTTGCTTGATTCTGATATACTCCTTCCCAGACCCAGAAGGGCTTCCAGTCAACGAGAAGGAAGAGCTCGCCATTTTCGAGTTTATGATTTTGAATCTTTGAGACCTTAAAAGCCGCAGTTGTTTAGACTCGACGGATCCAGATTCGGTTCTGAGATTTCACCAGTTCGTTGGATTTTTTTGTAACCCGAGAACTGTTTTTCTGCGCCCTATGTTGAGATAGGCTTCGACGAGGGCAAGGTGGCAAAGCTCTACGAAAGTCCTCGAGATTCTGCTGTCCTTGCTTTTCATGACCTGCTAGGCTATCCTGAACTTCGGAGGGTTCTACCGACGGCAGTAGCAGCGACGGACTGCTTTCCATCAAGTTTGTGGGGAACTGGCTTATAGAATCGCCCATCAAACTGATAGGGCGGCTCTGGCTCCATGGGGTTTTGGTTGCTACCAGTTTTTCGGCCTGTCGTGGGAGGTATAGCTCATCTGTTTCCCCCCCAAATAAACCCTCAACTGTAAGTGTAGACGGGGAAATGGAGGCAACGGAGTGCTCAGAACTAATGCCGATTTGACTCATAGCCTGTGGTTGGTAAGGGCTCGAATCGGGATGTTTGTTAAGGCCCTCTTCTGCAATTTGCGTATCTAGATGCCATGGTTTACCTGTTGAAGTGCTATCATGAGGCGCCTCCAGGATTGAGCTTGTGAGAGATTTTGGTAGTGGCGCTAGCCAAATATTCGGGGACTCCTCATTATATCCACAATTCCAACGGTGATCGGCCGATTCAAAGAGAAGGCTGATGAAGAAGCGAATAAAGGGCCTAAATGGTTCAATGTAGTTTGTGTTACAGCAGATAAAAGTAATCTGCTCTACGGTGCAAAAATTGTGCTAGTTGAAAAGAAGGTTGGTGGCTGATTAATCGTTCAATAGAGTGGCTCAGACTATTGACCCTTGGGCCCAGCTTCTCATCGATACCAGGGAAGCAACCGATGCCTTTCCGTTCAAAGGTTTATTTCATGACTACATCGGAACAGAGGTTGCAGGGTTGGTTTCTCATATTGGGACCGACCCTGGCACTAAATTGAATATTCGTACAAAATGAGGAAAGTATGGGACACGCTCAGAGTCAAAGGGAGAGGGGAAGACAGTAGGCCCATGGAGCTATAAAGGAGGACTACATCTACAGGATAAGGCTTTGTTTTACGCGGGTAATGAGATTGAGGACGGTAGATGGGAACTTAAGTATAGCCAAAATCAAAAAGGCAAAAAGGTTATTTTATCGCGATGGCCACTATCGAGAGAGGGAGTGATAAATTGTTGAAGTGAACACTTGTAGGCATTGTATACATGTAAATATAACAATATTGTTTTACGTTACGTTACCACGGACATACTACCTCATTGGTTAATTCCCACTTTCAATTTAAATCTGGCTGAGTTCGTAATATATTGGCTTCAGATTCCAGAATATCTCCGGCAGAATTGGATAATCGACACTCGAATAATTGGATTAATTTACAAGCCGTGCAATTGCAACCGAGCGGAAGCTCAAAAATACTCATAGGTGCCGTATTGACAGGGGAAGTTCTCAGAGAATAATAAAGGTCATAACTCGGAATCCTCAATTTTGAAAAATAAACAAACAACGTTTCCTAGGAACATTAAACATTAAACCATTATTTATTTCTTCTTCGCAGTAATAGAATATCCCATAGCGTTGAGGAGCTTGTCGATACGTAAACCTTGGATGACTTGGATGAGAGCACCTCCAAGGCCAAGCGCGCTCAATATATTTGCAAGCAAGTTCAGGACGCCAGCAACAAGCAAACCGACAGCTCCAAGAATTTGGAGGAGTGGCTCTGAGAGCATACTGAAGAGAGGACCGAGCTCGATCTTGGCTTTTGGCATCCCCTCGATTGCCTTGCGACCCTTTTCAATCGTAGCTTGAACACGAGTGCTCAGCTCGTTGCATCCCTCGATGACCATCTGCTCGTCGGCAGAGCCTTCAGCATCTTCAACATGACGTTTAGCAAGACGCTCGAACTTGTGATCAGGGTCAAGGGCCTTGATTTGATCCAAGGTAGATTGCATAACTGCATGGGCATTCTCAATGAGCGGCTTCATCTTGCTGACAAAAGCGTCTTCGTCCAGCTCGCCGTTCTCTTTTTCCTTCTCAGCTTCGTCGATAGTTTGGTCGATCATGTCCAGGAGAGGCTTGACTTTATCAAGTCCCTTGTCAACGATTTGTGCCATGCGCCTCATGGCTTTCACGCGCTCTTCTTCGTCGGCAAGCTGTTGCTTCTCTTCATCGGTAAGTTCTTTTGGTAGCTCCTCCGCTGTTTCTTCTTTAGAACCCTTTTGCGGTTCAGGGTCTCGGTTTTCGACATTTTCTTTGCCACCAAAGTCGGAAGGAGCCTTGGAAGAAAGAGCCTGAGGCTCGAGCACATTGAGTTGCTCGGCCTCAGATGTTTGTTGAGGGTTTTGATGTAAGGCGGCGCTCATACTGTCTGGTGATAACGATCCTGACGATTCGTATAAAGATCTAGACTGTCGAGGTGTGGATATATTTGTGGAAATTTGGGGTAGACCTTCAATTGGAGGTGACGATGGCGCAGAGAGAAAGAAACTTGTAAGTGATGTTTCATCTGAGTGACTAGATGGTGCGATTGATGCCTTAAATCTAATTGGAAAGAGTTTAGATACTATTGATCTGATTCCCGGAAACATGATGTCGTGGTGCCACACTCTTATAGACAGTGGCTGGGGAAGCTTCTTGGGTGCAATCACTATAAAAGCTTCCCAGGATAGGCCTGTTCTAGAGAATAGAAGATTCGTACGTGAAGAAAATCTTGATCGCGAATTTTTGGACCAAATTCATCATTATGACATGATCCGCATAACTACTTTTCTATACAATAGGATGGTTTCGGTCGCTTGCGAATCAGTGACGGTCCTGACCGGAAGATAGCGCTAGCGCCACTTCCATCTACATGCATCTGCGATTGTGACGTGCAACGTACGTTATCTGTCAAAATTTAGGACGTCTAGCCGTGTTATATTATCCTGTCCTCATTTGATTGGACGTGAAGATGCAGAGGAGCAAACGCTATGGAAGATTCCTCTTGCATTGTTGCAGATTTAAGGGGAAGTTTTAAACGAATGTGGGGCCAAGGCAAAGCTCGGTTGCCAAGTCTTTAGTCTGACCGGGTTCCAACAATAGTGGGGCCGTGGTAATGTCTGCTCATCAATATCCACGGAAGGCACAAAGGCAGGCTCCACAACTTCAGAGTCTCCTCGGGTTCTGGTACTACATCTCGGCCCGCAAATATGCAGCCTGCCGTCATTAGAATGCGTTGCATTTGTTTCTCTGGCATCGGAGTTGATGCCTACTCTAACGTTATCACTACTTTCTGTGGTTGCCTGTTTTAAGATGACTCTTACCTGGACTGCGTAGGGACAGGTTCTGTGTCTATAAGAATAGTGGCATTCGTCCATGCCCTGATGTTCTTTCTGTATCTTTGACCAACTTTTACCATTATCCAGGAGGAGTTAGGAGGCTAGGCTAGCATCCCGGGGACAGAAAAAAGAGAGCAAAAATCGAATCCCTTTGGCAACACTAGATATATCAAAACGCTGTAATCTTCCCACCAGACTGAATAACTGCCTGTAGCCTTTCTGGCATGCTATCTACCCGTTTGTTAACAGCCGCCTGAGTGATTGAGGCCCTGCCTTCGAGAATTAGTGCCTTTGTACTATCCTCATCCCAATGGGGATGCCGGCGGGTGTAAGACTTTGGGATTTGCCTGGCATTTTTAATCCGCGACAGGTCCGGAGACTGTGAACAGTTAAAATAACTAACTGACTGGTGCTGTTGCTTCCACCTGCGTGCGGTACTCTATTTACCAGTCCCATGACCACTGTCATTATCCTCCTCCAGCACAAACCGCTCGCCATGGCTTAACAACTGGCTCCAGCATTTGGTTAATATAAAGACATCTTGCCATTCTCATTGTCTGGCAGATTCGATCCAATTTGATTCGAGTCTACTAGTATCTATAAATATATGTACCGCAGTAACGTGCGTCCTTAAGCACCTCTGTGAGAAGAAGAAGATGAAGTAGTAATTGCGCGCCTGGGCTCTGGTTCGAAGGAGAGGAGTGATTAATAATTAATTCCCATGGAAAAAGTGAGCGCCTTGTTACTAATTGATTTTAACCTGATCCGCCGAAAAATGTTGGGACTTTTTGTTACTCCAGCTAGTAGAGAAGTATGTATGTGAGAGTGGAGAAAGCTGTTTGGATAGAGATTTTAACAACAATAAGAGTAGAGAGCTAATCAATATTGTATTTGAGCTGACCGATGGGGATGTAAGAAAAGACCGTCATTTATTCAGGGTGAAAACGACTGAACTAAATACGATGTTTCTTTATATAAGTACGAGTGACATCTTGATATGGTCCCTATCGTTGTGTCAGTATATGATATGGTGATATGGTCTATATCGACCTATCGGTCACGTAATACAGGACAGAATAAGATGGGCGCTGAAGTAGGTAAGCATACAGGGAAGATTGTGCGGATTCAGTGATAAACATGAGTGTTATTATTTCTGTGCGTAGGCGCTGGGCTGCTGTTGGTTATGGCTTCAAATCTGACGTGGTAGTTGGGAACCTGGCCAGCCAATCAGCGTCCGCTTGGTGTCCGGAACAGGCAACCGCCACTCCCCAACCTCAACTCAACACTCCCACACAAAGCACCCCCTTCGAAGCGCTGTTGTAGCTGTGCGGACAGCTAGCCGCAGCCAGCTTGCCAGCTCCTGAACCTCTGACACTGCGCGCACATACCAAATTTTAAAATTTTAAACTCTGTTCTTCACTGCCGTGCATATAAAATGGTCCTTGGCTCTGAACTTTGTATTTTCTGGTTTATCTTATTTTATTCTTTTTTGTTCCACCATCTCTTACAAAGTTCCGGCCTTTTTCCTCCAGCAATCGACTGTACCCTTCCGTCTAACCTTTGGGGTCTTCAACTTCAAATCAAGAACAATGGAGACCACTTCGGCGTCTTCCTCTCACTCAAAGGCTAGCCGGAAGGCGACCTCCGAGAAACCCCATATTACAGAGCTTGTACGTTCCTATAACTTTTCGCCGTCTCTAAGCTGGATTCAATAAGACGCAACCGGAACTAATAAATATATCCCCTAGCCGATGACATGGACAAACTGGTGGAAGCATACTGACTGGCTCAACGTATACTTTATCGTCATAATCCCGTTGATCGGGTGCTGCTGGGCCTGGTTTACCCCGTTGCAGACAAAGACAGCTATCTGGGCCATCATCTATTATTTCAATACCGGCATCGGTATTACCGCTGGTTACCACCGACTGTGGGCCCATACGTCTTACTCTGCAACCCTGCCATTGAAGATCTACCTTGCAGCCGTCGGC